GCTGTCTTCGTTTTGTACACTGTCTTCCTATTGATCATTTTATTTATGTCATGTCAGTGAAGTTCTGCAAGGCTCTTACTTAAACTGAAATAAAGAAATGTGGCAAACGTTCAGAATGATTTGCGAGTCTGTTTTCTATACGTATCAGCTCTTCATAAAAAACTTGTATGGCTTACTAACTATAGAAATTTATTTGATATAGAAATAATTTGCACTTGTTTTATTTTTCAATATTACTCTGAACCTAAGTACAAGTTGTCTGATCCTGATGCTGTAAAATTGTTTTGTTGTCCAAAAGTGAATTAAAATGATTCCTCTGAGCTCAGTGTTTGCATTTAAGGTGAACAGGTAAGATGATCTTGTATACCAATGTTCCTCTACCCAAATTAATCGCCCTTTTACAAGTAAGTAAGGCTGCAGGTCTGTTTTAACAAAGCTCTGATCTGTAGAATCAAATGTCTCACAACAGAAGGCACAGGACTGTTTTGGAGTCTAGCCCAGGGGTTGGCGAACCAAATGTTAGGAAGAGCAATTTTGTCAAATTTTAACCAAAATCTACCACCTTGGGAACCAAAACATTTCACATCTGTTTTATTGAAGTGACGTTTCACCATCTTGGCTGTAAACATATCTCGGTATGTGCTAATGTCCTAAAATAAGCTAAAAATATAATGTGAATGAAAATCCAGATTTAATTTGCTCTACCTTAAGCTTTAGCTCAGATATAGCTGCTTTTCTCGCAGCTTCCACAGGAAGCTTTTCCACAAAAGTGGAGTATTTTCTTGTAAAATGTCTCAACGTTTGACTTTTCATGAGGCTGAAGTAGCTTGGCTACTTGGCTACTACTATATTCACTGCGGATCACTGTCAGTATGTTTACCACCATTATGTGCAATTATGTCAAGTGCAATATTTCTCCATTTATTACTGTTTATTTATTTGCTATTTTATTCACTGTGCAATACTCACTACAATACATACATTTCTAAATTTAAATTTAATACTTTGTATATTTTTCTTGTAATTTTTGTACATATACATATATCTTTATATTTTTATTGTTTATTCTATTTTATATATTGTTTGTATATTTCCTGCTGCTCTGTCTTCTGTGCTGCTGTAACACCGCAAATTTCCCCGTTGTGGGATTAATAAAGGATTATCTTATCTTATTTTATCTTCTTATCAGAATTTTCCCGTTCCACCTTAAGTGATGCGGCTGAGGCGCCAGAATGTCGTTAGCTAAGCTATGTAGCTAACTGCTGCATCATTTAAGGTGGAACGGGAAAATTCAAACGAGAAGCTGGCGAATAAGAAGCGAATTAAGCTTCGCGCCTTTTTGGTATTTGACTGTTTCTCATCGCAGATTAAACGTATCAGAAAACCAGCTGGAGTGATTATAAATGCAAATAAGTCAATTGGTCTTTAAATTATCGATGTTTGTCTTAAATCTTCCTCTTTGCCTTTTCGTTAGCTACTAGCTAAGCGAGACTGTCTGTTGCTATGGTGACCAGCAGTGCGCGCCAATCCCGGGGGTTAAAGGATGAATAAGCAGTTATACGTCAACTCCAGCGTGTGTAAGTTTGTTGACCATTTATTGTTAAAACTAAATTATCAATATTTGAACGATCAGCAGAGCATTATTTTACTGTAAAGAGGATTATTTTATTTTTAACTAAAAATCTAATTGTGCTGTGGAGCCGCAACAGGGCAGAAAAAGAGCCGCATGCGGCTCCGGAGCCGAGTGTTTCCGACCCCTGGTCGAGCCAAACCCACGTACAGCTGATGCAGGGAGGACCGCATTAAGGGGTGGCAGCATTATCACACTCTAACAGATGCTCTGGCTCGAGGTAGAGCTGCATGACATGAACAAGATATTGCAATTGCAATACATCTATACAGTATATTAAAATGCACCAGTGAACCAATGCACTGATTCAAATGTGCGCATCCTTTGAATAAAACACGTTTGATGTACTTTTTACAATTGTGACTTTCAGTTTGTTGATGTATTTTCCTTCATGTGGTTGTATACATTTGAATCAAGTAAAGTGTATTACTTTTTTAAGTGTAATGTAACAGGCAGCAAAGGTTATTTATATACACCGATCAGGCATAACATTATGACCACCTCCTTGTTTCTACGCTCATTGTCCATTTTATCAGCTCCACTTACTATATAGGTGCACTTTGTAGTTCTACAGTTACAGACTGTAGTCCATCTGTTTCTCTGATACTTTGTTAGCCTCCTTTTACCCTGTTGTTCAGTGGTCAGGACCCCCATGGACCCTCACAGAGCAGGTCCTATTTGGGTGGTGGATCATTCTCAGCACTGCAGTAACACTGACGTGGTGGTGGTGTGTTAGTGTGTGTTGTGCTGGTCTGAGTGGATCAGACACAGCAGTGCTGCTGGAGTTTTTAAACACTGTGTCCACTTACTGTCCACTCTATTAGACACTCCTACCTTGTCAGTCCACCTTGTAGATGTAAAGTCAGAGACGATAGCTCATCTGCTGCTGCACAGGTTGTGTTGGTCATCCTCTAGTCCTACATCAGTGGTCACAGGACGCTGCCCACAGGACGCTGTTGGCTGGATGTTTTTGGTTGGTGGACTATTCTCAGTCCAGCAGTGACACTGAGGTGTTTAAAAACTCCAGCAGCACTGCTGTGTCTCTCACCACCACTGTAAACAATTCTGACTCTGCAAGTTTCTCTAGAACAGCCCATTTCACATCAAACCCCTCTGAGTCAGTAACCACTTAATAATGCACAAATTTGACAAATCTGTATAATTCGCCATTTAGCAAATCTTTGAAGGAATGAAAATATATCTATGGATAGTTTGGACAATTAAGTATCTAACTGAACTCACAGCTTACAGAAGAAGTCAGTGATAACAGCTTATGTGTTTCCTATTTTGCAGACTGCAAATGGAGCAGAGCCCCCAAAAGCTGTTTCAGAGAGTCGCAGGAAAATTCAGCTGGGACACACCTGGTGTTCTTTGGTGAAATTGTACTGTATTCTGTCTGCTGTGCTTGGAGAGGCCAAAGACAAGTTTCCTGCTTTGGCTGTGCAATAATGTTGTCTTCTACTGGTGGTTTTGAATAGTAAATAAAATGGCTATATTTGCATTAGACATTGCAGCCCCTGGTTACATTCACCACCAGTCAGAGTCTCAGTTTCTCTACACTGAACCATTTCACACCAAACCACTCTGAATGGCTTTGTTTGCTTCTTAACTAATCTTAACCCTCTACTGCATGCATTATGAAGTCAAAAATTATACATATGTATATGTATATGTATATGTATATATTCAGTTCACTTTTCTTGCATAAAATGATCTTTGATTATTAAATTCAGAAACATTTAACAACAAATAAATAAACAATGTGTACAGAGGTCCTTTTGTAAAATGTTGCCTTGAGACAACATTGTGCAACAATGAGGTGGAACAATAGAGCTGTGTTCCCTCAAGTGGTGAGACCTGGCTTGTAACTGGCTAAATCCATTCCAGTGTCATGCAATGTTGCTCGTAGGAAACAAACATATTTATTCAAATTCTCATAAAAAAGAAAATTGATACTGAATGTAAAAACAGGGGTTTAATGTTCCCACTGAGAGACATTATGACGACCAAGCACATGCTTTTTATTGACTTACTCAAACTCTTCCCTTTATTGTTAACCCTTTCGTTGCCTTTGAATATGTATGACATTACTGTAAAGTGAGGAAAATGAGTTTGTTGCCCTGATGCAACATCAGTACGGAGCCCCGGAGGGGGCGGAGGTAAAAAATAATAATTCGAGCGAACGTTTTGCAGTTCGTACACACGTTTTCTTTTATTCATGATCAAGATTTCTTAAATGCACTCCCACGTTTTCTTTACTTCGTGGGTACGTTTTTTTAAATTCGTGATCACGATTTTCGAATTCGTTTTCTCAAATGAAATGAACAGCGTTAGAGACCATCACACAATTACAGGAAGAAATGAACAGCGTTAGAGATCATCACACAATTACAGGAAGAAATGAGCAGCGTTAGAGACCATCACACAATTACAGGAAGAAATGATCAGCGTTAGAGACCATCACACAATTACAGGAAGAAATGAGCAGCGTTAGAGACCATCACACAATTACAGGAAGAAATGATCAGCGTTAGAGACCATCACACAATTACAGGTAGAAATGAACAGCGTTAAAGACCATCACACAATTACAAGAAGAAATGAGCAGCGTTAGAGACCATCACAAGCATTAAAGACCATCACACAATTACAGGAAGAAATGATCAGCATTAGAGACCATCACAAGCATTAGAGACCATCACACAATTACAGAAAGAAATGATCAGCGTTAGAGACCATCACACAATTACAGGAAGAAATGAACAGCGTCAACGTTTCAACAAACTCAAATTAAACACACACAGAAACATTAATGTGGGATGAGGTCAAATGCCGAGAGAGTTTAATAGATCTATGGATTAGATATAGATATATTAATGTGAGGATGTTGAAACGCTGATCATTTCGTCCTGTAATTGTGCGATGGTCTCTAACACCGCAGCTTGGCCGGGAGCAGAAACACCGTGGGCCCTTCGCTGTGAAGAGGAGCTGCAGTTTCCTCATAACCCCCCAAATCAGAATCAGACCTGATGAGCATCTCTGTCCATCATCTCATCAATCTAACTCGTCAAAACCCGTCAGACAGTCTCAGGGAGCTGTTATCAAAACACAAACAACGAGCGTTCAGTTAAAAATAAAACATGGCCACGGTAAAAAGAAAACGAGAGAACGATTTAAGAAATCGTGATCACGAATAAAAGAAAACGTTCGTTCGAATTATTTTTTTTACCTCCGTTCCCTCCGGGGCTCCGTAAACATCGTGCAATAGAGGCTTAAACAAAATTTTGAAAATCGGCGGAGTTCCCCTTTAAGCACGGCGAGGCGGGCTGATCTACAGGAAGGACGTTGTTCAGGAGTCGTGACCGTTTCCGAGGAGGTAAATTTAAACCTGCGCGTCGCTCCCAGGTTTGACATCAGATTAACTCACTTAATCACACAAAACTGTCCTGTTTCAAAGCGAAGTGTAGTTCTGAGGAGTGGTCACCTGTCCTGGTGTTCTGACCGCTGGTTGGGTTGTTTATTGTTGATACAAAATGCTTTTCACTGAGTTCAGCTAACTTGGCTAGCCTAGCTATGTAGCATATAGCGAACATATACCATTGTTTCTATTCACGGATTCGATTATATAACGTTAGATTGAGTTAGTTTAGTTTGGCTGAAGTTGGCTTCTAGTTTGAATGTTGCTACCTGCTGCACCATTTAAGGTGGAACGGGAAAATTCGAACAAGATCCTGTCGAATAAGAGGCTTGTTGCCTTTTCAAACATGTTAATTTAGACGATAAACGGTCAGATATCCACGCGTGAACGTCTGTATACAAATGTTAATGTAAAATACACTTAACGTTTTAAACTTTAAAAGCCAGATTTCCTATAAACCCGCTTTCCTCCTGAGTTCTACAGGAGAACAAGGTTGTTTACATTTAGAAACGTGTCTGCTCTGCACTTTTGGACCGAGAGAGACTGAAAATTATAGCATACCGAAGCCTAAAAATACGAAGGGAAATCTCTTAAATGGGAATGTAGGCAAAGTCATTAGGAGCTGTTTGATAGGAAGTAGAGCTGCAATAGTTAATCGATTAATTGATTAGTTGTTGACTATTCATTTAAGTGCCAACTATTTTGGTGACCGATTAATCGGTTTGAGTGAAAATTTAACATTTATCTGATTCCTGTTTCCTAAATTTGAATATTTTCTGGTTTCTTTACTCCTCTGTGACACCAAACTGAATATCTTTAGGTTGGGGACAAAAAAAGGGCTTTTGAAAACACTGATCAACATTTTTCACCATTTTCTGACATTTTATAGACCAAACAACTAATCAGTTACTCAAGAAAGTAATCAACTGATTAATCGACAATGAAAATAATCGTCAGTTGCAGCCCTAATGGGAAGTGGTGTTGTAGGTTAACGTGCCAACTTGGATTTCGTCTTTGTGGTGGCAATAGGAACCAGGAGTCTCATATCTACAATGCAAATATGGCCATTTTCCTAAGGTCTCCAACCAGTGAACTTCCTGTGCATTTATATATATTACATACTGTTATAAGTTGTGTTGATAATGGTAGAATAGTGGTAAATAAAAGAAAAAAAGTTTTCTTTGGGGTTCATTTTGCCTTACAACGCTCTGCTTGTTTCAGGTCAGAAACTTACCTCAAAACCATCGAAACACAGTGTTTCAGGCATCATGAAGCATCAGAAAGTATCTGTAGCCATTTCTTCTGATATCTTTCTGTGAGGGAGCTTTTAGAGGCTGTCTGGTTCCTCTGACCACCACTGTAAACAATTCTGACTCTGCAAGTTTCTCTAGAACAGCCCATTTCACATCAAACCCCTCTGAATCAGTAACCACTTAGTTATGCAATTTGACAAATCGGTATAATTTGCCATTTAGTAAATCTTCTCTTATTCACCAGGGTATATTTTGTTTTTTCCATCTTGATCTACATGACCAAATCGTAAGGCAAATTATTCAGTAACTGCATGAAATAAATGTAAAAAGTTTATTTATTTTTTTTGTAAAAGTTCCCCTCAAATTAACAGAACATGTGTTTTATGATACACATATTGCTATATGCTTACAATTTACTGCTGAAAGCCAAAAATCTTAGACGCTCTTTGTATTATTTTATAAAAATAATTTTTACAGAGCAGATCACTGAAGAGACGCCATCTGTTTATAGTTTATAGCCCAGATTTGTGGAAAAATGGGTCGACTTTCAGTAGAAAATAAATTGTGAGTTCAGCTTCTTTTATTATAAGGGTTTAAAATTACATCACCCATCTATTTGACTGGAAAGAAGACAGTTACAGCTCTCATACGACCCCCACCTTTAGAATGTAGCTTATGAAATATGAAAGTTATGAAGAATATGACGAAGGAGTTGAAAAGGAGTTGAAAAGGTTAAAGGAATGATAATATATCTATGGATAGCTTGGACAATTAAGTAGCTAACCGAACTCACAGCTTACAGAAGAAGTCAGTGATAACAGCTTATGTGTTTCCTATTTTGCAGACTGCAAATGGAGCTGAGCCCCCAAAAGCTGTTTCAGAGAGTTGCAGGAAAATTCAGCTGGGACAAACCTGGTGTTCTGGACCGAGCTGGAGAAGAGGTAAATATGATTAAGTCAGTTATATAGACGTGATTGTGTTGTAGCCAGGACTACTTTTTCTCTTTTTTCTTTTTTTATGTAGTAAATTTGATAATGTAAATATTATTTTATTCATTACTCTTTCATGACTGGCGTACATTAATGTGTATATTGAATATTGTGTTTTGTTGTCAGCCTAGAATTTGTACTGCATTATGTCTGCTGTGCTTGGAGAGGCCAAAGACAAGTTTCCTGCTTTGGCTGTGCAATAATGTTGTCTTCTATTCTATATCTGCTCTTTTCTTCTTTGCTCAGTTGAGAAAGAGCTTGAAAAGCAGGCGTCCCGCTGTGGCTACTCCCTCTGCTCTCGGGGGAGACCCTCTGCGCAAGCCGCTCCTCTCTGACAGCAACAGCGAAAGCTCTGACAAGGAGAATCAGCATGGAAAGGGAAATACACATTTAAATCTGGACTCCAGTGATGATGAGTTTGATCAAAGTAAGTTAGGAAGTCTGATGCGACAGCAGGGAAGGAATAGTGGGTGTTAGGAATAATGTCCTGTCATGTCTGTTTTTCTTCTCTGTTCAGTTCTGGCACGGAAGGCTACACCCAGACCTGCTTGCAAATCAGTCTCATCTGCTAGGGAAGCAAAGTGAGTGGGCTTTTTTATCAGTATAAAGCAGTAATGCAGTTCAGTTGAATTTAACTCACTTTCAATTGTGTAGCACTATTTATAATAGGTAATATCACAAAGAGCAAGTTGAGGACAGCAGTGGCAGGAAAAACTCCATAAGAGTGTAAAACCATCAGTCATTTATTTTTTATTTTCTACTTGTCCAAGCTGATGGCACCTTTCTGAAGTTGTACGCACATCTCATTCCTGAGGCTTACCTCTCCTGTGGTACCTGTCTGAGGCCCCAGAGAGGAGGTGGCGCTGTTGCCATTATTGACGTCTAGTGTCGTGGGGTAGTATTGCGAATAGAGCCTGAGAGTTTTCTTTCTGCAGTTTTTTGAATAAAAAAACTAAACGCTTGCTTTAATTATATTTTTCCCTGTTCTTTATTGTGTAGTTAAGTAGTTAATTTGAGCGATTTTATAGTGTTGTTATTAAAACACTTAAGCCAGCATATTATTAGTAAATACAATAAGAAAACAAACACGTGATTTTGTTGACGAAAGAGATGCCTTAAAAGTAAACGACGGAGAAAATTTAACACAAATTTGCTAGCAATCAAAACAGCCAGCTGATTTTCTTTTTTAAAATAACCATAAACATTGCCTCCACCCCAGTCAAGCTTGATGGAGGTTCTGAGAACGGCCTCGGTAATATTAGCTGGGCAACTAATCAACCGTATTGATATTAAAGTTCCACGAATATGTATTTGTGAATCAGGTTTGGTGTACGTCTAAATATACTACAGAATCGTATCAAAAATACGAAAAAGAAAGTTGTTGGTATTTCATTTTTAATCATGTGACTTTCAAAAACAATGTGACAACATTTCCCGGACTCGGGGATGACAAAGGAGGAGAGGGTGGACTGACAAGTGAGATTTACGGCCTAACGCTGTTGAAGCAGCCTTTGCTTTGGTCTGTGATTAGAGTTAAAAGTGGAGTAGCACGATTAAAAACCGTGCCACGAGAGCCTTGATGTAATGTATCATCGCTGTCCAAAGAATCTCCAAAAAAGTAACTTTACAGGAGAGGGCAAAAACGTTCTTTATTTCAGTGTAAGTTAATGGAAAGAAGTTTTATTCTAAGCAGTTTTGGAGCATTTCTATTGGTCCAATCGTCATGAAGTTTTCAGACAATGTAAAGGACATCTGCTGAGCTCAAACGATGCAGAAAAGTAAAAAATCACAAAAAATGGAGATACATGTTTTTCACTGGACAGCAACGATATGCAGAAATAGCAGAGAACTGCATCTGACTTGACTGATTTTGTGATGATATTGATGCAGTTTGGTCCATACTAACTCAGTTCATCTCTCTCTAGAGAGCCTATTCTTGTTTCCTCTTCAGACAATGACGATACTTTTGAAAACTGTAAGTTATTTCTTCTCTGTTTGTTTCTAGACCTGTTTTGGTTGTTATTCATGTTGATGGCTGCAGCTGGGAGATATTTAAACCTGTTTATTTTCTTTTGTAGTTCTGAGTCGTGTAAAAACACCCAAGGCTAAGCTCAGCCTGCAGTCTGGGAGTGGAAGTGATGACGGGTCAGTGACAGCTTTGCTGGTGTTTTAGTTTTTTTTATATTTATTGATATAAAGTGATGATTCACATCAATATTTCATTCTACAGCCTTAAACATTTCATAGTGGATGACTCGTCCGATGATGACTTTGTTGTGGAGAAGAAGAAGCCGTCCATTTCTAAAGGTAACCTTTAGAAAATCTCTTGCTATGATTTGCATCCTGCTTTGTGTAATATAAAAGACTAGAGCTGTTATTTGTATCTGTGTGCACTGACCTTTTTAAAAACACCTTCATTTCTCAGCAACAGAGCTACCACTGTAAGACTTACAGCCCATGTGTCAAACACAAGGCTGATCAGGCCCGCCACACAATCCTATCTGGCCCACAAAAGTATATTAATTTTCTATTAATATTAGCCCGTTTCACAACATGCTGCACTACAGTCCCCAGCATGCACTGCAACGTAATGTACTCAGACTTTCGTACCCCAGCAACAGTCAAAGCAACAGCGGTTATACGTCAATTCTACACAAATCCACACGAGTCATATCACCAAAATGCATTTCAGCTGCAGTTCAACCACTATAAACACTTAACATCAGCTCAGCAGCTCAGAAACTGAGCCCAAGTCTGAATGAACTTGCAGCTAAGAAAGGATGCCAGGTGTCTAGTTCGAGCAGATAGGTAGGTTTAAAAGACCGAACACCTGGGGACATTTAAATTTTGAATATTTCAAGTGTCTCTTTAATATGACAAGGTCTGCTGCACATTTTGAACAAACAGTGGCCAGTTCGGGTTATAGCACAACAATAAAAATGAAATAAAACATTTTTTTCTCTGGCCCACAAATTTAATGAGATTTTTAATATGGCCCTTTTACTGGTTGAGTTTGACACCCCTGACTTACATTAAAGGGCCTTATACATTAATGCTGGCATCCTGATGTACTTTTGACTGAAATGTGGTGTTTACACAGGAAAACTGAAGACGCCCAAAACCCCTAAGTCTCTGCAAAGGCTGGAGAAGCAGCCTGTTTCTCAGTACAACTCCCCAGTCTTTCTCAGCGAGAGTGATGACGACAGTGACATAGTAATCAAAAGCACCTGGAAGACGCGGCACAGCCGGCCTGCAAGCCAGTCCACAAGCAGACCGTCTTCTGAGGAGAGAGACATTTCACATAAAGAACCCAGGAGCACCTCGTACGTTCCTTCTCCTCTTGCTTCTGTCCCCACACCCGTGCCTTCCTCAGCCCCGCCCATGCACACTGGGTGGCGGGACAACTCGGCCAGCTCTGAGGATGAGTTTCAATCCTTACTGGACCGCATCAGGAAGACCCAGAAGTTAGGAAGCAGTAGCACTCATGCTTCTCCTAAGCCTCCAACAGGTGAAGTCACTGCATCTTTCTGGAGCTTAATGGAAATTCTCATAGCATCCATGTCAAAGCTAGGTTAAGTTGGAAAGTGGGATACAGTCAACTATCAAGGATTTTGGGGTGGAATTCATACGTTTGCTTTACGCAGCTTATTTCCTGTGTTTCTCTGTCTATGCTTTGCTGTTTAGAGCCTAAAGCCGCAACAGCCTGTGTGACCCCATCTGTGAGAGGTCCAAAAGAGAGTGATCGGGCACCAGTGAAAGGATCCCAGGTGGACAGGACTCCAGCACAGCTCCCTGTTAGCAGACCTGTGAGCCAGACTGAGGCCAGGGCAGGCCTCAGCAGCAGGTAGAGGGAGTGTTCATATCTGCTTCAGCTGTTTTCTTTTAAAATTGATTTTAATTTTCTTTTGCTGCTCTTCAGAGTTCTTAAAGTCCTAAAGAACAAAGTGTAAAACAACAAAATCTATATATGATATTAAAATTGTTGTATTAAGCATGCAGTAAGTTTTGAATGGGGGAAAAGAGAGGTGGAAATAAAACAGCTGATCAGGCCTGTCTGAGAACTGTGTGGGTATGGTTGTAATATTTTTATGAGCACCCTACTCAGTCCAAGGCCCAGTCCCATTTCACCCCTCCTCGGCCCTACCACTTAGCCCTTAGCCCTCCGTTTTGCACATTCACGTCTAGGGTTAGGGTGTCCTGATTTTTGTTAAGATAGAGGGGTAGAGTGAAGTGTTAGGGCTACATGGCCCCCCAAACGGAGGTTTTTTCAGAGACACAGTCTAAATAGTGTTACAAGAAAAAAAGAAAAACCAGCAAGATGGCTGAGCAAGCAACCAAAGAAACCCACAAATGTGTGAATTTTCTCTGTTAAAAAAGTTACGATAACCAGTGTATTATCTTAGTTTAATGTCGTTTCAGTCTATTATGGTCCTTTTCTTCATAACAAGCATATAAAGTCACTAGTAGTCTCGGTAGCTATCTAGCTAAATTTCCAACCAGGCAACCAGAATGTAATTGCTGCACCATTTAAGGTGGAACAGGAAAATTTGAACAAGAAGCTGGTGAATTGCTGACTTCAGCTTCATACCACCAACGAATTAGGGGTGGGCGATAATAAATAATAGTTGCGTATGATTCCCTAAATGTAACTAAAGCCCAGCAGTGAGGTTGCTGAACTTTACCCTCCTTTTTATTTGAGGGTCCCATTTCATAGGGAAGATTTCAACCACTACCCCTTGTAACTCAGTTCCAAGGAGCAAGGTGACACTCGAAAACAAGGGGTAGGGGTGAAACTAAGAAATAGGATTGGGCCCAAGTCTCCCTGCCTGCTGTGGGAGACTTGGACAGAGTTAAATACAACAGCACAAGCGGAGGGAAATGAATTAAAAAGGCTCTGCAAGTTGAGTTGTAGAACCACACTTAAATTAGTTTAAGTTCTTAATCACTTTACTGCTGCATGTGCATCCAGGGCTGTGCTGACATGGCTGGATAAAATCAATGAATGGGCAGATGAATAAGCAAACAAACACACAGCTGACAGGCAGACAGATGAGCTAGCTTGATAACACAGTTATGTCTGTTAGGTTAGCTTGCTTAACTCATCCAGAGACCAGACCATAAGGGAACAGTTAATCAGTACGGGTCCTAAAAGCCACATCAGCTTTGTGATTGGTGAGTAGAGCTTTACACAAGACTAGAATTGCCAAGTTTGCATCGGAAGTGGAGAATTTTGGAAAAATACATAGCCCATAGTTGCACGTGTATATTGTATGCCCACAAGAACAATCTACTTAGAAAGAAAACATGGAATTCATTAATGTCACTAGTGCTTTAATATATCTGTAATATATGACTGGTTAGGTTTTGAGATCATAATGTGTTGGTTTATTGAACTTTATTCTTAAGTTGCATTAGTTCTGTAAACATAACTAAACTTGTGTTGGTAGTAGTTGTTACAGATGTTCCAATTTTTGGTGCTGTATTTAAACTTATATCATGTGATTGTGATGCTGAACTGATTTTCTATCTTACAGAGTGGCTGTGTGTAAAACTCCAGGCTGTTTCCTGCAGTCTCTGTCCGTCCCCGACTCAGCGTACTGCCGCAGCTTCAAGCAGAACAAAGAGGAGCTCACCAAGAAGCTCTACCAACTGTATAACACCAGTGTGTTTGAGAGCAAGGTCAGTATGTCTGATCTGAAGTACACACTTGATAATGGTTACCATGCACTTAAAGAATTGGTTCTAATTTAAAACATCGATTTCTTTAGCTGCCCACTGACATGTCAGTCACCTGGAATACTAAAATGAGGAAGACTGCAGGATATTGTGTCACAGGGCAGGAGCGCGTCACAGGCAAACGATACGCCCGCATTGAACTGTCAGTTAAAGTCTGCGACTCTGCAGGTAATATTTCCGCTGAAGAATTCTTATTGTTGAACCAGAACTGTGTTACATACACCGATCAGGCATAACATTATGACATATATTTGTCCATTTTATCAGCTCCACTTACTATATAGGTGCACTTTGTAGTTCTACAGTTACAGACTGTAGTCCATCTGTTTCTCTGCATACTTTGTTAGCCCCCTTTTACCCTGTTCTTCAGTGGTCAGGACCCCATGGACTCAGCAGTGCAGTGACAATAACGTGGTGGTGGTGTGTTGGTGTGTGTTGTGCTGGTCTGAGTGGATCAGACACAGCAGTGCTGCTGGAGTTTTTAAACACCTCAGTGTCACTGCTGGACTGAGAATAGTCCACCAGCCAACAGCGTCCTGTGGGCAGCGTCCTGTGACCACTGATGAAGGACTAGAGGATGACCAACACAAAATGTGCAGCAGCAGATGAGCTATTGTCTCTGACTTTACATCTACAAGGTGGACTGACAAAGTAGAGTGTCTAATAGAGTGGACAGTGAGTGGACACAGTGTTTAAAAACTCCAGCAGCACTGCTGTCTGATCCACTCGTACCAGCACAACACACACTAACACACCACCACCACGTTATTGTCACTGCAGTGCTGAGAATGACCCACCACCCAAATAGTACCTGCTCTGTGAGGGTCCATGGGGGTCCTGACCACTGAAGAACAGGGTAAAAGGGGGCTAACAAAGTATGCAGAGAAACAGATGGACTACAGTCTGTAACTGTAGAACTACAAAGTGCACCTATATAGTAAGTGGAGCTGATAAAATGGACAATGAGCGTAGAAACAAGGAGGTGGTCATAATGTTATGCCCTATCTGTGTATTTCTCCCGATGTGTTGCTGATATCCTACTGAACCCTTGCAGATCGGTTAAGGGATACGCTCGTTCATGAAATGTGCCACGCGGCCACGTGGCTGATAAACAACGTGCGGGATGGCCACGGACCCTTCTGGAAGATCTATGCCCGTAAAGCCACACTGGCTCACCCTGAGCTGCCCATGGTCACCCGCTGCCACAGCTATGACATCAACTACAAGTACCAGTATCAGTGTAACCGCTGCAAGAACACGTAAGTGTGACTTTTCACAGCTTCGCAAGAATTTCTTTTGAAGTTAATGTTAATTATTCACTTTATACCTGAATTGAATAGCATGGTTTAAACTAACTACAGACTTTATTCACAAGAATGCACACGATTAAGTTACCTCTTACATGTTAAACTGAAAGAATCGATTAAATAGGAAAATATTAAAATATTTCTGCCTAGTTAACTCATTAACATGTAAACAGTCATTCAAGAAGATTTGATATAAAATGTGCCTTTCTACAGAAACTCACCAAGTCAGAACTGCTCACAGTGGTGGTGATGGGAACCAGACTAATGTTGAATGACTGTAAAAGCTACCTTAGAGAAAGCTATAAAACAAAATGTTTATTAATACACACAGACATTGTTTATGACGGGGCAAAAAATAAAAAAAAATTTTTAGATTTACCACTGTTTTACCAATATTAACCTACAAGTACATATCTGCCCCTGCCAATACATAAACGTTTATAAAGTGTAGAAATTGGAAGTAGATCCACCTGGATTAGCATTACAGAGAAACAGACGTTTTAGCATAGTAACCCAGCTTCATTCTGCTCTTCAGGAGAGCAGTAAATACTTCCTGAAATGTCTGATGCCAAAATGAGTCCTCATTGTGCCTCCCTAATCAATAAATGGTAGACCGAGTAACACTTTAAGCATTCCACCTTGAATGCTTACCCCTAAATATTAAAATACAGGGTGATTCAAAAAGATTCAGCCGATTTCAAAGCGCTGTATTTTTACAACCGTGAGGCGTCTAGGAACCAATCACAATCCAATTGAAAGAGGGGGTCATAGAGTTTCTGACTGTCAGTATGGCAGTGAACCTCCAACAGCTCAGAGCGTTCATTGTTGGTACCAACAGTTCCAAGAAAAAGGTCACCAGCATCACCAGATCTCACACCGTGTGACTTTTTTGTGGGGGTACGTTAAGGATTCTGTTTATGTGCCACTCCCAACAACACTGGATGATCTCTGAAATCGCACTGAAAGAGCCGTGAGTGCAGCGACACCCGACATGCTCAATCCAGTATGGATGAGTTTGACTATGGTGTTGATGTTGTCTGTACAGCTGGAGGAGGTTCATACTGAGACCTTCTACAATTACATCATAAACTTTATGCTCATTTAAACCATTTACAGTTTACTGCACTGATCTGTAATGATTTACAAGTGAAATAAATCATTTTGAAATCAGATGAATCTTTTTGAAACTCCCTGTACATCTCTTCCTGTGACCATCTCCAGGATTGGCCGTCACTCTAAATCACTGGACACCCAGAAGTATGTGTGCGCCCTGTGCACTGGGCAGCTGGTTCTGCTCACTCCTTCTAAGTCACGGGGCCCCACGCCCTTCGCCACCTACGTGAAGGAGAACTACGGGACAGTTCGGCAGGAGTTGACCGGCCAGAGTCACGCCGAGGTGATGCGCAAGCTCAGCGCCGACTTTGCTAGCAAGACACGCCTCAGCCAGAGCTGATCTTGGATCAACCTCACGTATCTCCAGCTGTCCTACGAGTGAAATCTATCAAATTTATAAGCAAGAGTGCTGCTGTACAGTGTGATTTTTGCTTCTCCTATTCTGAATGCAACTGCGCTAATCATAGATGACCGTTTGTTTTTTAATCTGGCCTTACATACCTCAGTGAAAACACTTTTTGTGTTGGGCATTATGCTTCAGATCCCTTTCCCCAGATCCTGTTAATACACTGTGAAATGCTTATTTAAACTGGACAGCCAATGAATCCTCTTGAGTGACCATGCATTTCAGTGTTTGTCAGTAATGTAGCTTGTTATTGTTTGTAGTTGTGTTCTTGAGGTCAAGTTTGGTATGTTTGAATTTTAATGTTGCGGAATCTTCAAATGCCATTTGTTTTCAATAAAATAAATATTTTTTCATTCTTACTGAAACATGTATGTATAGAATCATATTGGCTTGAACTGATATGAGTAGCAAATAAATGAATACAGTCATTCACCATGAATCTGTTTACATACAGGAGCTTATTCTTTTGTCTTCATGTAGGTGAGAGGTACATGCAGCTATATAAATATTGACTGGTGTTGGCAGACAGCACTTTGCTGAATAAATATTTGTTAAACTTGAACTAAATGATGTGAAATTGAGGAGAGGGGCGTGGTTACATACTAAGTACTTGAGTACATGTTCTTATTTGTTAATCATCTTATGTCCATGTGGCTGTATTCCTTTGGAAAGTAATTTTTTTCTAATTAAAGGCAAGAGAAAGCGCAGCTGATGAAGTGTTTCTCAGTGTTTCAGTCTACTGCCAGTGTGATTACCCAGAGATTATACAGTTGGAGTTTGGCTGTATAAACAGTTTCAGACCTGTTCTCATTCTTGCTTTGCGCTGCAGTTGGAGTCAGGGTATGTAAGAAGACTGGAGTAGAGGATCGACATCAGATGGACATCAGGCTCGGTTCTTGAGCTTGAGTTGCACAGCCAACATACTTTTGAGTGTTCCTCTCCTTCTGTTCATCTCCCACCCACCTTCTCTGCTACGTTCCCTTTGGTTCTGCAGACCCATTTACTGTTCTGTGAAAACCTCCAGCTGCTGGTGCTGTTTACCAAATCTGCCATGTTTACCTTTCTTGGGACCATTCTTGACTCACGGTCTGGGCTTCTAGTTTGTATCCTATAGTTTGTCTTTCATGGTCATGCTGATCAGTGCAGCTCTCACCACTGTGGAACTTACATGGATTCTAGCCTTGCTTATAGGCGTAATCGCATTGTTTAGTTCTAAGCATAGTGCAGGTGAAAGCCCTTTTGCCTTGCTGTAGCTGTCTGGCCATGTATGTCTTCCCAGCCCAACCAAAAGTGTTCTGCTTCTTGACCACTATATTGGTGCTGTTTCTGTGTTATCTGACCATGCTTGTCTGCGCCGCTTTATTAGGATACAGTAGGCCTGGTTTACAGGTGCAGGTGTGCAGCGATGACCCTGACCCTACAGATGGTGCAGTCGCTCATATATGTGGTATTCATGGTGCAAGTTCTGCCCATCACGCTACACAGTGAAAACTTTGACTTGGCAGGTAATGTTATTTACAGTGAGGCACTCATACTGCTCGTACATTGCGGTTAGACCGCTGGCCTCCCTGTCCAAGCCCTCTGTAGGTTGCAGTATATGCAAAATACCACTGCTCGGATCGTCACCTTTACAAAGAAGAATGACCACATCATCCCTGTCCTTCAGAGTCTTTACTGGTTGCCCATTACATTCCATGTTCAGTATAAGGTTCTCCTTATTACATATAAAGGTCTGCATGGTCTGGCTCCTCAAAATCTGGCTGAACTTTATCTGTACGTTCTGTCCTGTACTTCAGGATCACAAAATTCCAAGGTTTTCCAAGGTTTCAATTGACTTCTGTGAGTGATTGATCATGTAGTGTAGTAGCTCCCAAATTATGGAATAGGATGCCACCTCTCTATCTTCATTTAAATCTCTGTTAAAGACTCGTTTTCACTGTTATCATTGTCCTGTTTATACTGAACATTATGCCTGTATTGTTCTTTTGTTGTTAATTGTTTCAGGCGTTCATGTTCTTTGATTTGTAAAGCGTCCTTGAGCATGGGAAAAGCGCTATATAAATAAAAGTGATGATATGATAATGATGGCGATGATATCAGCTGTTGCTCAAGGCAGCTGCAGCATGGGCTCAAAATGTTTAGATCCCAAGGCCAGTGGGCCAGATCAGGCCCGCCACACAATCGCACAGCGTCCGGCCTGCAAAAGTATTTTAATTTTTTATTAATATAAACCCTGTTCTACAATGTGCTGCACTACAGTCCCCAGCATGCACTGCAACGTAATATGCTTCGACTCTCCTACCCCAACGGTCTATGGGACAGCGGTTACACCTCAACTCTACACAAGTCTGCACAGTTCCACACCAGTCATATCATCGAACACACTAACTACAGTTCAGCCACTATAAACACTTAACATTATCTCAGCAGCTCAGAAACTGAGCCCAAGTCTTAATGAACTTGCAGCAAAGAAAGGATGTCAGGTGTCTTGTTCAAACAAACAGGTAGGTTTAAAAGACTGAACACCTGGGGACATTTAAACTTTGAATATTTCAAGTGTCCATGTAATATTTCAGGGTTTACTACAAGTGTCTGTAATTTACTGATGATGTTTTTGCATATTTTAAATAAACAATGGCCAGTTCAGGTTACAGCACAACATTAATTAAAAATGAAATAAAAACATTTTTTTTCTCTGGCCCACAGATTTCTTGAGATTTTTTAACTCAGCCCTTTAACTGGCGAAGTTTGACACACCTGGTTTAGACCATGCCAACCAAATAACCTGCAATGGATCTGCACTGTTTGTCTCAGAAGAGTAGCGACTCTGCTTTGAAACTCTTTGAATTTTTGTTCATTTACGCTCATTGTGTCTTGAATCTCATTTATATTACCTATTTATGTTGAAAGGGCAGTGAAAATGTTGTGACCTTTTCATCTGCGGCAGTCCTGGCCCCTGGATCTATAATGTCATGGACACTTTTGGTTTTAGCTAATCAGAGCAGTTTTTTATTAATATGCATAAAAGTTTAACCACCTAACAGTATACTTTTTTTTTTTGATGTCCTCTGTGGTGACACCGGAACTAACTTAGTCTGTTTTTATATGAAATCTGTGGTATCACAGGTGATAGAAAATTGACTGAGGTGGAGGAAATTAAAGGATGATGACACCTTATTGTGGGTTAGAAGCAACAACGCTTAAGCTGAGCAGTTAAATACATCACTGTGATATTACTGGATCTATTTTTTTTCTTTTTTGGTCCTCATTTTTTGCACCGCCAGTATTTTAAGTATTACTCTTACTGCTAAATGGATGGCTGGAATAAGTGTATGCGGGCATTTAAGCTCAGGATCTGAGCTTTATTTAATATCCTAATTTATTAGAAAATCTCCTTTTACATAATTGTACATTTTAAAAATTAAAACATTAAAAATAAACCAATTCTCTTCCCTCTCCATTTATACCTACGATTCATCCCTACCATGGAACAGTTTGCTGATAAATTACAACACCCAATGTTGAATTCACTGGGTGCCCTGGATTTACTTTGAGCAGTACATTGGTGATAAGCACTTTGAAGACTGATCACAAGGGTTTTGAAGTTGTTGTTGATGTTGGTTTTGCTCAGATGCTGTACAGGAAACAAGAAAAATGACAACATAATTACTTTCCAATGTCCTGTTGACCACAATAAAGGCCATTACATTAAAAAAAAAAAGTGTTTTCAAAAAAAAAAAAAAATAACTGTGAGAAGTTTTATCCTAAAATTACTGAAATTCTCAAACTTTAATTTTTCTGGGTCTCAGGTGATCTCAGTTACACTCCCTTAAGTCAAGGCAGCAGTGATCATCCACTACCACCATGCTAGGGCAACGTGGATGTTGAGACCCTGAGTACCCTGTAGAAGCTGGAAGATGGGAGCCCATGGAAAGCAGTGTCTCATCTCAGTCTCACCTTTGTTTTATACCAGTTTGATATTGCCATCTGCAGCTGTCTTGTTCACCTGCATCAAAGATAATAGAAAGGGGTTCTGAACAGATACTCATATACTGTATCATTTCTTTATAGGAAAAGGAAAACTTAATTTTGATGTTTGTTAATGTATCAATATTTTCTGAGTAATTTTGGACCATTTCTGATCATGAAATGGCCACACAATTTAAAGGGCACCTGGCTTTTACCACAGGTTTAAAAAATGAATATTGGAGGTGGAATGGGGATCGAATTGGGTGAGTGACACCAAACTAGGGGTGGGCAATATAAAGTTATCATGATCATTTTTGTCACAAAATGCTTCTGAAGCATTTACTAGTGACTGACTAACTACGTGTTTCATTACAGTGTGATTAGTGTTGTTTAACTGGATTTAGTACAGTGTGGTATATGAAATGTTGCTAGTATTCGAGTGTTTTTTACAGGCACTCCTGTTCTGTATGGTTCCATTCTGACTTACCAAATCTCAAAAATTAAATATTGTGATACTTATCATGTATTGTGAAAAGGTCTTGAAGTATCGTAATACATACTTTTCCCATATAAGTTAACACTTTATGGATCCCAGATTTGAGGTGTAGGTGTTAACAGCAGCATACATCAACCATAGTGAAAGCAGACATTATAGAGACATAGGAACTCATGATATAAAACAACTGGGACACATAAAAATGAACAAAAAGATGCGAAGTACATGAAGCTGCTGTGACACCAACCCACCCACCGCATCACCTACTCCTACGATAAACTATAACCATCCATACAGGGACATGGCAAGTTATTTTTGGTTTTGATTGCCCAATTGGGTGGTACATTTGAAAAGGTTTGTGTTCAATATTCCATTATTATCACTATGTCCCCTGCCTTGCTGTGTATGGTGATTATTTTCTCATTAATGGAGTATAGGTTGCCAGAGCATGAGATATCCAGTGACAAGAACAACTGCTTGATATATTTTATTTATGCTTTAAACAGTCACATCAGTTTTGGTCTGTACAAAACACTTAATACCAGTTAATTAGTATAATAGATAGTATAAATGGCACACATCAGACGCAAAGTGGAAAAATACAACCACAAGATCACTTTACAGAACCGCTGTGGATCTTAAAAAGATGTTCCCTCTTTCAAAAGCTCAGGCAAACTAGGTCAGCACAAAGATCATACACAAAAGAGCTCCCTGAAAGTACAGCCAGATGAGTAGCAAGCAGCACAGTCAGGCTAAATAGTTGCGTACAGTTAAGGGGGGGGAGAAAAAATCTAAACCCTCAGACAGGGTTAACACTAAGGTCAAAACTTACTGTGTTCCACTAAAGGCTGTCCTAGGCACTGCGGAAGGTAACACTGATCACAAACTATTGGTTAGAAGCTCCAAGAGAAGGTGGTCTCTTGAGAATGACTGTATGTATTAACGTGGGAAAATTAAATATCGCTGTTGTCGGAAGAAAACCTTGTATCTCCAAAATGACAACTTTACAGGAGAAGAAAAAAAGTACTTTAATTTTAATGTAAGTCAATGGAACCAGATTTTTTTCCAAGTCGCTTTGGGCCGTTTCTTTTGGTCCATTCTTCATGAAATTTACATATATTGTAAAGAGCAACAGGCATTTTCAAGTGATGTCAAAAACAGAAAAACAACAAAAAAATGGAGATGCAAGGTTTTTCTTCCGACAGCAGCGATAAGTAAAATAGATTCTGGTACATTCTAGAGCAGTCGGCACCAACCCTGGCCGTAAAGACCTGTGGAGTCCAACCAAAATCTGGCACACCTGCTCCAACTAATTAACCGAAGGCATGTTTGAATCATAACTCTGCAAAAGTAGATCTCCAGGACGAGGACTGATGAACACTAGAGTAATAAAGATGTCATATTTCCTTCAAAATGTATTAAAGGATTTGTGTATTCGTTTTTGTAAACCATCTAAACTCGGTAAACATCCAGAAACTCTGGGCCAGCTTCACAAAGTATTGTCATTTTTAAGCTAAGATCGTCTAAATGTTAGTTTCAAATGCGACTCACGCTCCCATCTTTGCACTGATGCTTTAGTCAACTGATTTGTTTTGTGCATTTTATGGTCTAAAATCTTGCCTTGATGGAATAGAAGTGCTGCTCGATATGAGGGTTCTGTCTTTCCTAAACGTTGTTAAATTCCACTCTTTCAGTACAAACATGTTTTCTTCATGATCCGAAGAAATTCCTGCTGATTTACTTCTCCATCGCCATCCCGATCTGCTTCGTCAATCATCTCCTGATGATAAATCGCAGGCATTATTGTATTGAAACAAAGAGAGAACTTACTTTTGACAATAAGCGATGAATCAGATAAGTGTGAGCTACTTTCAGTTAAGTATAGTTCTCACCTGAAGCTCTTCATCAGTGAGGTTCTCCCCCAGCTCTTTGGCAACTCGCTTCAGGTTACGAAATGATATCTTTCCAGTCTCGTCGTCATCAAACAGCCGAAAGGCCTTTAGAATTTCCTCTTTTGAGTCCTTTTCAGCCTTTAAAAGAATGCTAACAGGTAAACTCGCTGGGCAATCATGTTACTTTAAGCTCATTAACCAGAATGTATATCTCACCATCTTTTGGGTCATGACTGTTAGGAAGTCGTTGAAAGAGATCTTGCCCGTGTTGTCCTTATCCACCTCTGTGATCATTTTCTTGATTTCCTCTTTTTTGGGCTCAAACCCAAGGGCCCTCATGGCCACCTGCACCATGAAAGACTCCATTTACATACATGCATTGCAGCATTTATCTCATATTATACAACAGTTAGTTCCGGCCAGGCAAGCTGATTGGTTGAGAAGCGTCTAACTGTGCTGTTATTTCACAGGTTTTTCACAAACACTGTCACTCTGCTGAGATGCCGTTGCTAAGCAACGACTTTGACAGCTGTAGGAGACGCTCAAGCCATCTGAACGTTTTTACTTCTTACTTTGCCACAAACAGAAAATGGACACTTTTAAGATCACATTTGACCGACAGCCGATTTGGTCAGACTCTGAAGATGAGACGACACTAAATTCCCAAACTGTCATCACCACTGAGCAGCTTTTCAGTCGGCAGCTGTGACAGAAGAACAGCTGAACAACCTGGAATCAGCCAGAAATGAACCCAACACCATTCGCCAAACTAAATGGGCTGTAAGATGCTTTACAGACTGGCTGGAACAAAACAACATCAATATTGATCTGGCAAAAACTGACAAAACTGAGCTGAACTTGATATTGCGGCAGTTTTATGGCTCAGTCTGATTTGTTCAGACTCTGAAGATCAGACTGTTTGGCGAATGGTATTGGGTTCATTTCTGGCTGATTCCAGGTTGTTTAGCTGCTCAGTGTTGATGACAGTTTGGGAATTTAGTGTAAGGAGCTGGAGAACGAACTGCCGGCTGCTCGTTAAGGAACTATAATTTGGCGGAAGGATCTGCGAGCATTAAAACATATTAAACGCCGCGTTCACGGCCCAGTTTATTAATTTATTACTTTATTTATTTAACTGTTATATTAAACCAATAGAACATTCGAGGAGTGTATTATCGCCAACAACATCACGGCTGTGATGATCTACGGCGACCAAATCACAGCCGTGATGTTATTTCGCGACAACACTCCCTCTCGGGTTCTACTGCTTAATTATTGCTCAGCAGCTTTTTCAGCAACTCACCTTGAGCTCCTTCACCTCAATGTAGCCAGAGCCGTCAGTGTCAAACAGCTCGAAGGCTTCTCGTATCTCCTGCCTGATTTCCTCGGTCAGTTCAGGCTTAGGGCTGGTCTTTTTTCGAGGAGCCACGGCCCCAAGTGATGGCCTTTTGGCGCTAGTGGCCTATTAGGAAAAAGCAGAGACCCTCCATTAACGACGACGAGAGAGCTACTGAAACCTATTAGGCTACACAAACCGTAGAAATGATGCGAATCACTAGAAGGTAAAGCCACAGAGCTGAAATACTGCTAGATAATGTACACAGGTCGCAGTTAGCACTGGCTCTGATACAGTGACCCACCATTACAGCCGTCCGGACACCAGCAAAACGGTCAGCGGTGCTTCTCAGTAAGACGCCGGTGTGTTAAAGCCGAAACACCGTCCGTGTCTTCTTCGTATGTCAAACGGATCTGGAGAGGATTCACAGCTACATCACTGAGCCTCACGACACCTCCGTGCTTGCAGCATCACCCTCCTCCCTGTGTTCACCGTACAGTGGGCTCCGGTTGGCTGGGTGGGCTCTGCCAGCGCTGATTGGTCTGTGTGGTCTTCCGGACCACCTTCTCAAGGTACTGGAGAGCAACATGGCATTCCACACACGGAAAACAGCTCGGGTTTCTTTGCCGATCTGACTGTCTTCACTGATATGTTTGCAAGCGATCAGATCGGATCTAAATTCGTGCCGTGTTTTCATTCTCTGTCGCTTGCAGAATGGTTGCTATGGCGATTACGTACGTAGGCGTGGGCACGGAGATTACGTAGTATCGTGACGTCGCGATAGGCTTTGTGGACAACTTATTAGAAATGACCATTTTATAAAGTTTGTAAGTTTATTGTAATTTAAATATACAGACACGTGGGGAAATTGACTAATATTTACTTAGACTGTACAGTAGAATCACTTCATTATTCATATATACATAGAGTGATAACCTCAACTGATATCTGCTGGGTTTCTGGACTATTTATTAAAAAAGGACCATTTTATTAGGTTTTAACTGCATCTATTTATTAAAATACAGTTGACAAATGTAGGGATTTTGGCTGCCAGTTACTTAAAGATTGTACAGTAGAACCACTCCGTTATTCATATAAGCATAGTATAACTGACATCTGCTGGTTTTGTGGACTACTTACTAGAAATGACCATTTTATAATATTCTTAGTTTTACTTATAATAAAAATATACAGACAATTGTGGGGAAATTGACTAATAATTACTTGGACTGTACAGTAGAATCATTTCATTATTCATATATACATAGTGTGATAATCTTAACTGATATTTGCTGGTTTTATGGACTGTTTGTAAGAAATGACCATTTTATAAGGTTTTGACTATTTATGAAAATACAGTTGACAAATTTAGGGATTTTGGTTGCCAGTTACTTAAAGATTGTAGAGTAGAATCACTTCATTATTCATATATACATGGTCTGATAAACTCTGAACCGATATCTGTTTGTTTTATGGACTATTTTTTGGAAATTACCATTTTATAATGTGTTTAATTTTACTTACAGTTAAAATATACAAGCAGTTGTAGAGATTTGGTCTGCTGATTACTTTAAGATTATACAGTAGAATCACTTCATTATTCATATATACATGGTATGATAAACTCTGAACTGATATCTGAAGATTTTATGGACTACTTATTAGAAATGACCATTTTATGATGTTTCACTATTCATTAAAATACGGTTGACAGATGTAGAGATTTTGGCTGGCAATTACTTAAAGATTGTACGGTAGAATCACTTCATAATTCATATGTACACAGTATGATAAACTCTGAACTGATGTCTGTTAGTTTTATGAACTACTTATTTAAAAACACAATTTTATAAAGCGGTAAAATTGACTTCTGAATGAAGGGCTTCTCTTTCTCAGGTCTGCATGTGCTGTGGCTCTTACCGCTAAGTGTGTAGTATTCGCGCACTCTAATGTTCCGTGCGGCTAGTTTAACCGTGTTTTGGTGACAGGCGTCTGGCTTAACCGCAGTGACTGGAATCGGATGGCAAGACTTCAGACAGAGCTGAACTAAGGTCAAAACTTCCTATGTACAGCGAAAGGTCATTCTGACCGCAAAAATAGAAGTTTGAAAACTAGAAGCTTTAGCTGAGTGTCCTCTGCTCTTGGCAAAGGAAAGGGCGTAGCTAGAACTTAGAACCAGTGGCTACATATGACTCAGAGTTTTTATTGGGGTGGCATACAACTAAGAAAAAAAATTAAAAAGCATTACCATGTTAAAATAACACAAAAAGTGATGCGTTGTTTTTTTTTCTCTGCACATAATTAAATCTTTCCATCATTTCCACATGAATAAAATATTACATCAACACAATTATAGCCGAAAGTCAACTGACAGACAAAACTATGTTGATGTAACAGGTTTATGATTAGAACGATAACCACCTCTGATTTCCTTGACACATTTGCTGTAAAACATTACACGTGCCTATAATAGGCCACCTCAGTACATCAAGTAAACTAGCAGCACATATACACTGACCAGGCATAACATTATGACCTCGTTTCTACGCTCATTGTCCATTTTATCAGCTCCACTTACTATATAGGTGCACTTTGTAGTTCTACAGTTACAGACTGTAGTCCATCTGTTTCTCTGCATACTTTGTTAGCCCCCTTTTACCCTGTTCTTCAGTGGTCAGGACCCCCATGGACCCTCACAGAGCAGGTACTATTTGGGTGGTGGATCATTCTCAGCACTGCAGTAACACTGATGTGGTGGTGGTGTGTTAGGGTGTGTTGCGCTGGTCTGAGTGGATCAGACACAGCAGTGCTGCTGGAGTTTTTAAACACCTAAGTGTCACTGCTGGACTGAGAATAGTCCACCAACCAAAAATATCCAGCCAACAGCGTCCTGTGGGCAGCGTCCTGTGGGCAGCGTCTTGTGACCACTGATGAAGGACTAGAGGATGACCAACACAAACTGTGCAGCAGCAGATGAGCTATCGTCTCTGACTTTACATCTACAAGGTGGACTGACAAGGTAGGAGTGTCTAATAGAGTGGACAGTAAGTGGACACAGTGCTTAAAAACTCCAGCAGCACTGCTGTGTCTGATCCACTCAGACCAGCGCAACACTTACTAACACACCACCACCATGTCAGTGTTACTGCAGTGCTGAGAATGATCCACCACCCAAAGAGTACCTGCTCTGTGAGGGTCCATGGGGGTCCTGACCACTGAAGAACAGGGTAAAAGGGAGCTAACAAAGTATGCAGAGAAACAGATGGACTACAGTCTGTAACTGTAGAACTACAAAGTGCACCTATATAGTAAGTGGAGCTGATAAAATGGACAATGAGCGTAGAAACAAGGAGGTGGTCATAATGTAATGTCCGATCAGTGTACAGTCTTCTGTCTGTTTAAAGTCGCTTTCTTTCAGAACAAATCTACAGGGACCGCCTCTAAAGGCGGGCTGTAGGTAGTGCCGTTCGCTGATTTGTCCATAGGATGGTGTAATTTGACGTCAGCTCGTAGTCATTGGTCAGACGTGTATGTTACGCTGACAGCAGAGAAGGCGTGCAGCCAATAGCGGCGCCCCCCACTCTCTGCTGACCGTGTTCAAAGTATTTCCCACCCGCGGGTCGCTGAACTGCAGGCCTTTCACTGAACCCCACAGGTGAGTTGAGAAGCCAGCGCTACCTGCTCTGTGTGTTTACTTGCTTTCGTTTTCGACGTTTTTAGTTCGTCATTGTTGAAACTCATTCCTATCAGCTTCGGAAATCTCATCTGTGTAACATACCTGACATTTTTGTGTGCAGCTGACTTTAAGCCTTCTTTCTGTGCTGCTTCTCAGGGCTGTAACGTTAGTCCACTCCGTATAGGAGAGTGCGTTGGCTATGGCGACACGTATCCGGCCGGTGAGTGTTACATCTACTACTTTTGTAGAATTTCTTGGGCCATATTAAAAAATCTCAGTCCAGTCAAGTCCGTGGGCCAGCTGTGTTTTTCTTTTATTCTCATTTAACATTTTGCCATTTATGTGTTCAAAATGTGCCAAAACTACAACCGTAAAAAACAGGCACTGCATACTTGAACAATTAAAAAATAATTTCAAATAAAAACAAATTGCTTTATATAAACAATATACTATAATAGCTGCAGAGAACTGTTAAACCTCTTTAAATGTCCCCAGTGTACTGTAGGTTTTTTAATACTGCCCACTCGCTTGAACTGGACACCTGGCGCTGTCCGATAGCAGAGCCTGTTTTATATCAACAGCAGGACTTCAAAACAGCAGAGGGCGCCCGCGAGCGAGTCTTCGATGAATGGGAGTAAATAGAGCTCAACGGCTAAAAAGTTAAAATACACCGATCAGGCATAACATTATGACCACCTCCTTGTTTCTACGCTCATTGTCCATTTTATCAGCTCCACTTACTATATAGGTGCACTTTGTAGTTCTACAGTTACAGACTGTAGTCCATCTGTTTCTCTGATACTTTGTTAGCCCCCTTTTACCCTGTTGTTCAGTGGTCAGAACCCCCATGGACCCTCCCAGAGCAGGTACTATTTGGGTGGTGGATCATTCTCAGCACTGCAGTAACACTGACGTGGTGGTGGTGTGTTAGTGTGTGTTGCGCTGGTCTGAGTGGATCAGACACAGCAGTGCTGCTGGAGTTTTTAAACACCTCAGTGTCGCTGCTGGACTGAGAACCAGTCCACCAACCAAAAATATCCAGCCAACAGCGTCCTGTGGGCAGCGTCCTGTGACCACTGATGAAGGACTAGAGGATGACCAACACAAACTGTGCAGCAGCAGATGAGCTATCGTCTCTGACTTTACATCTACAAGGTGGACTGACAAGGTAGGAGTGTCTAATAGAGTGGACAGTGAGTGGACACGGTGTTTAAAAACTCCAGCAGCACTGCTGTGTCTGATCCACTCGTACCAGCACAACACACACTAACACACCACCACCACGTCATTGTTACTGCAGTGCTGAGAATGATCCACCATCCAAATAGTACCTGCTCTGTGAGGGTCCATGGGGGTCCTGACCACTGAACAACAGGGTAAAAGGGGGCTAACAAAGTATCAGAGAAACAGATGGACTACAGTCTGTAACTGTAGAACTACAAAGTGCACCTATATAGTAAGTGGAGTAATTAAAATAATTTTGTGGGCTAAATAGGATTGTGCCACGGGCCTGACGTGGCCTTGTGTTTGACACATAGGAGATAGATAGTTATTGACTGCTGTGACAGTGACCCTTTGATTGTCAACCGCTGGGTTTATGTTCACTCTCACCAGAGCAGCAAGCGGTGCGCTGTTATAGGAGGCTCTGGCTTTTTGGGTCGACACCTTGTTGAGAGGTTGGTGGACAAAGGCTACTCGGTTGCTGTGTTTGACATCAGACAGAGCTACGAGCTTCCAGGAGTCACATTTCACCAAGGAGATCTCTGTGATAAACAGGTGAGCTGCAGGCTGTGCTCCTTTAAAGGGTGTTTATCAAAATTTGCTAAGCTGCAAATTTTAATCCACTGTTTTTGTAGTGTCATGAAAACCAGTGCATCTATTCAGCCTACAGCAGTTTTACGATGGCATTTTAGGGCCACTGTTAATAAAAATAAAAACAGTAGACTCGTCGTAAAATGTCGAGAAAAAAAAGTCGTAATATTTGGGGGATAAAGTGGGCTAACTGTCGGGGGGCTAACTGTCGGGGGGCTGCGATAACGCGTTGGGGTCCCGGTTGCTGTCCTGGCGCCGGAGCTCCACTCACTCCTGTCTCTCTGTGGATCATTTTGATCATCATTCTCACTGTCTGTGAAACTTCATGCCCTCTTTGAATGGTGTGGAGATGGAGCCCCGATAGCCGTGTAGACGACCCTGCCTGAGATTCTCCTTCAACAACACAGACAGACAGTTTCCTCCGAGTCCGTCTGGCTCTTTATTCCAGATAAACACAGTTTCCTGCTCCGCCGTTTCAGCCGGTTCTTATACTAATAACAGGCCGGTGCTGATGTGCAGGAGAGACAGGGAGACTGAGTGTTTCTTTATGGGTGAATCGATATGAAAGTAGAACTCCACCAACTCACCGCCCCTCATTTAACACGAGGAGGTGCTGCCTTCAGTTTGCAAAGCCTTTGGCCACAATATTGACCTTTCCTGGTATTAATGCCACTTCAGTGTTGTAATTCTACGACTTAATTCTCGAAATATTACGACTTTATTCTCGAAGTCTACTTTTTTAATTTTTATTAACAGTGGCCCTAAAACGCCATCATACAGTTTAGCCCCACCCATTCACACTGAAGTTATAAAGAGTGTTTCAGCCTGTACTGCTTTTCATTGAGGCACAATACGAGGCAGCCAGCCAGTCATTTACATGTCAGTCTTCAAGGAACAGTATCAAAAACTGTCTTTTTATTGAGCGTGGATTTAAATGGCTAATGAACCACCACAAAAGTCATAAGTATAAAAAATAAAATGCAAGAAAAATGTAGAATATTGCACTTTTTCATTTTACACCCCTTCCTTGACTCTTTCTTGTTTTCCCCAGGCTTTACTCACAGCTCTGAAGGATGTGTCCCTTGTGTTTCACTGTGCCTCTCCTGCCCCTTTCAGTGATGACCGAGCTCTATTTCAGAGGGTCAACGTCGAGGGCACGCGTACAGTCATCCAGGCCTGCCAAGAGGCTGGAGTGCAGGTAAGAGCTCCAGACACACTGGGGTGATTCAAGAGAGTAAACATATGTCTATTTCAGGTTTTGCTGAAGCCAGTTAAGTTTTACTGATTGTCATACTCTCCTAACCAAAACACAGGATGGTCTGCTATGGTCATAGGAATGAAAGCATGGAGACTGTTTGTCTAATATGTCTTGGCCTTATTATATGTTGTGCAGAAACTCGTCCTCACCAGTAGTGCCAGTGTAGTATTTGAAGGAACGGACATAAAGAACGGAAAGGAGGATTTGCCTTATGCGAAAAAGCCCATTGATTATTATACAGAGACCAAAATCCAACAGGAGAAGGTAAATATGTCTTGTTTTTCATAAGTGACACTCTTGACATGCCCACATCATAAATGCCTTTTCAATACCCTGTTCTTTAACTAAATTTATTTCTGCTGTGAGACAATCAACCCTGTTTCCAAAAAAGTTGGGACGCAAATTGTACATAAAAACAGAAAGCGACGGTGTGCAAATCACTTAAACCCTGTATTTAACGTAAAATAGTACAAAGACAATATATCAAATGCTATAACTGAGAAATGTTATTGTTGTCAGCAACACATTCCAAAAAAGTTGGGACAGGGTCAAGTTTACCACTGTGTTTCATCGCCTCTTCTTTTAACAACACTCTGTAAGTGTTTGGGAACTGAGGAGACGCTGCTGTAGTTTTGAAAGTTTTCCTTTGTCATATTTTTCATTTCATAATGCGCCAAATGTTTTCAGTGGTGACAGGTCTGGACTACAGGCAATCTCTTAATACAGAGCTCTGCTGTTGTAATACATGCAGAATGTGGTTTGGCATCGTCTTACTGAAATAATCAAGGCCTTCCCTGAAAAAGACGTCGTCTGGATGGTGCATATGTTCCTCCAAAATCTGTATATATCGTTCAGCATTAATGGTGCCTTCACAGATGTGTAAGTCACCCATGCCATGTGCACTAATGCCCCACTGTACCATCATAAATACTGGCTTTTGAACTGTGACTGATAACAAGCCACATGGTCCCTCTCCTCTTTAGCCCAGAGGATGCAGCGTCCATGATCTCCAAAAAGAATTTAAAGTTTTGATTCATGAGACCACAGGACACTTTTCCACTTCGCCTCAGTCCATCTTAAATGACCTTGGGCCCAGAGAAGGCGGCAGCGTTCCTGGATCCTGCCTATATATGTTTTTTTCTTTGCATGGTAGAATTTGAACTTGCATTTGTGGATGCAGTGATGAACTGTGTTCACAGACAGTGGTTTTCAGAAGTGTTTCTGAGCCCATGCAGTGATTTCCTCTACAGAATCATGTCTGTTTTTAATGCAGTGCCGTCTGAGGGCCAAAAGATCACAGCCAGTAAATACTGGTTTTTGGCCTTGTTCCTTACATACAGAGATTTCTCCAGATTCTCTGAGTCTTTTAATGATATTATGTACTGTAGATGATGAGGTCTTTGTTATTTTATGTTGAGAAACATGATTTTTGAATTGTTGCACTATTTGCTCGTCTTTCACAGAGTGGTGAACCCCTCCTCATCTTTACCTCTGAAAGACTCAGCCTCTCTGGGAGGCTCCTTTAAACCCAATCTTGTTACTGACCTGTTGCCAGTTATCCTAATTAGTTGTAAGATGTTCCACCAGTTGTTTTCTTTTAGCATTACACAACTTTACCAGCCTTTTGTTGCCCTGTCCCAACTTTTTTGGAACGTGTTGTTTGCGGCTAATTCAAAATGGCATATGTTTTTCTTTGTACTGTTGTCAGTTGAATATAGGGTTTAAATAATTTGCCCATCATCGTATTCTGTTTTCATTTACGTTTTGCACAGCATCCCAACTTTTTTGGAAACAGGGTTGTACATTCACGTGTGATGAGCGTGGGCTTTTTTCAGCTGAGTGAGGCTCTCCTCAGCTCTTTCGCAACTCGCCTTAGCTTACAGAATGACATCTTGCCAGTCTCGTCATCAAATTTGCATGACTTTATTAGCACAGTAGGACTAGACTTTGGATGCACTTCAATAGGGCCTCAAATGTCTGGTTAATAAATTATTTCTCTTTCTCTTTTCGTCTGCTTTGTAGCTTGTCTTAGAGGCCTCCAGTAAAGAAAAAGGTTTCTTCACTGTAGCGATCCGTCCTCATGGCATCTTTGGCCCTCGAGACCCCCAGCTTGTACCCATTCTTGTTGATTCAGCCCGGCAAGGCAAGATGAAGTTCATCATTGGGTGAGTAAGAGCGATTTTGGATGATTCGTCAGATACTTTACAGCTCCTATAACCAGCCAGTACGTCTTCTCTGGCTGGTCATATCATTTTAAATCATCAAACGTTGCGTCTCCAATCACGTGACCCTTCAGCTCTTTTGTGCCTCCTTTAGTTTCATTAGGCTTTTATAACTTTGTGCTCTGGTGCTTCTGACTATTTAGTTCAGTTTTGCTGTAGCTATGCTGGTGATATTTATAGGCTAAAAAGAACCACTTTATTTGTTGCATTAAACCATACAACCACTCCACCATACAACCACTAGGTGGCACACTGACCTCAGGGACATAGGCAGTACCTCAGTGCCTTTGTTGCACTCTGGCTAAATGTGATCAGAGAACGTTTAGTACAATTACCACAGCAGAAATGATCAATTTTATGATCAATTCTGTTTTTTCTAATATCCTGTTATAAAAACAGACGCACATCACAGACTAAACCTCATGGGAGGTCAGATCTCAACAAAGACAGCGCAGTCCCATTTCTTCTTTTTACCCCTACCTCTTGTTTTCAAGTGTCACTTTGGAACTGAATTACAGGGTAGTGGTTGAAATCTTCCCTCTGAAATGGGACCCTCAAATAAAAAGAGCATCACTTCATTAACAGCTACCAGCGCTGCTCTGTAGGCGACACTGCCAGTCTGCAGTGACAGCAGAGGAGGGTAAAGTTCAGCTCCTCACTGCTGGGCTTTAGTTACATTTAGGGCATCATATGATCTTCAAAGAGGGGGGCAATTATTTATTATCACCCACCACTAATTCTTCAGTGATATGAAGCTGATGAGTCAGCTGTTCTCCAGCTTCTCGTTCTGATTTTCCTGTTTCAACTTAAATGGTGCAGCAGTTACGTTCTGGCACTTCAGGCCTCAGAACTGCTGGACTATTTAAGGTGGAACGGGAAAGTTAGCTAGCTGGCTACCTAGACATTAGCATGCTATTAGGGATTTTTTTTTAATGCTTGTTATGAAGAAAACAACCATAATACACTGAAACAACATTAAACTAAGCTAATACAGTGGTTATTGTAATTTTTAATGGAGAAAATTCTCACATTTGTGGGTTTCTTTGGTCTCTTGTTCAGCCATCTTGCCGGTTTTTCTTTTTTTTTCCCTCATAACTCTCTGTTTGGAGTCTCTGAAAAACCTCCGTTTGGGGGGCCAAGTAGCCCCAGCACTTCGCCCTACCCCTCTATCTCGAGACGAGAGCATGTAAAACAGAGGGCTAGGGGCTAAATGGTAGGGGCGAGGGGTGAAATGGGATTGGGCCCAAGTATGTTCATTGATTTTAGTGGGTAAAAATTAAAACTTAATCATTCATAGTTAATAAGAAGCATTTTAATATTATTAGGACATTTAATCTGTATAAGGACACTACACAGAAAGAAACGCCCTGTGAGATTTTCTTTTCACAACCATTTCATGAACTTGATCGGATTTGTGTGGCAGGATTATTTGCTGAAAGGCGAATCAGAAAATTGAAGGAACAGATTCCATTATTTGGCTTGGAGGGAAAGATGAGATCAATATGTGATGTGTGGTGAGAACTCATTTGCCTGCCGATATCCATTAGGCTGCACAGGAAGCTGTAGATGGATATTTCCATCCGGAGACATGATGTGGATCTTTTGTGTGAATTTTGCAGAGATGGATCAAACTTGGTGGACTTCACTTTTGTGGAGAATGTAGTTCATGGTCACATCCTAGCTGCAGAGCACCTGAAGCCAGACTCCCCACTTTGTGGAAAGGTGTGTGTCTGTGTTTGTTCGTTTGTTTTTATGTGTCCTTAATACAGGAGACTTGCAAAGGGAAGTTTGAGAATATATTATAACACATGTATACAAGGAATACAGTGTTAAATTTGATATACACTGAGTTTCCTACCTTGTACACTACACTAACCATACCCACCATTAGTGATGTTCTGCTGGGTGCCAGAGCTTCACACTTGGGTCAGGAAGGTAGGGCACTGGCAGTTGAAGCTGCCTATCAATGCTTGTTTTATATCCTGAAATGACATCATCAGTGATGACTTGAAACCTTGTTTAGGGATTGCTTTGAGAACGGATCCATCTTGGCGGACAAACGTCTCGAGGCCCCATTTACCCCATTTAGAGGACTCTGTCACTCTCCAGTTGAAGCACATAATCATTCTTCAAATTCAGATCTTGCACACAAATAACTGAATTGACATCAATGATGATCATTAGTGAATTGAGCTGGAAATGAATCCAGGCTTACAGATGTCAGTGATTACATCAGTTAATTGTAAAATTATGTGTACCTAATAGCATAATAAGCTCTTTCAACATACAGAAAGTGAACACGGCTGTAGGAGAACGAGGCTGCAGCGTCAAAGAACAGTTAAGTCTAAAGAATCCGAGGACGCGAACCAAAGAAGTGACCGCGCCGTTTTTACGGCGAGCTGAACACATTCTGGGTGATGAGCCCAGCTGTCAGTCAGTGAAGCTTCATGATGGCTCCTGTGATGCTGGTGAAGATGAAGCTGATCCTCCGGGAGCGACTGGCGTTCGTTGGCGGTCGTGATTGTTTACCTCTGAATGAGCCGTGAAGCAGCGTGACGCTCTGTTCTTTTGCGCATGTGGGTCAGTTTAGGAGCTGATCTGCTCAGACTGATGTCTCATACAGATCACATTTAAAAGATAATCTGAACAGCCAAACAAAAAATCAGATTTGGTGAGAAAATCAGATTTGGGCCACTTTTACCTGCTGTGTGAACGTAGCCTAAGCTCCCATGTCCCAGACTGGACATGGCGGAGTCACACGACCACACACACGGTAGTAAGTTTTTAAGGGGACAGTACATGAACACACAGAGTGGGGAAAGGATTAACAGAATTAAAAAGAATTTAAATAACCGACATGGGCAAGATTACGTTGGTTAGAGGTTCTGAATGTCGGTTTCGATTACTTTTCGATTAATCACCCAGCCCTACATACAATACAGTTATTTTCTGCTGTTTGAGACGTGACCACTGAGAACTGACACTTATATTTCACAATTCACAGTCGACAACTGAAAGTCATCTGGCAGCAAAGTGCAAGTGCTGACAGTCAAATCTGTCAGCGCTTTTGAATTAAAACTATTGGGAGTATAATATTAAAATCTAAATACAACTTCAGAGCCAATATTACTCGTTATTGAAGGGTTTTTTTAAAGCCCCTGAGGGTCTCAATTTTTATATCAATCAAGCCTTAATAATTACTGACTGCTGGTTCCAACCCCATCAGTGTTTCTGTGCTTGTTCTTGGACATTCGTATTTATGCATCACACAGTAACTTGTTTAGCATGTTGTTATCACTGATGTGCTGAGAATGGTTGACGACCCCAATGATCTCTGGCCAGTAGTGGTCCTATGGTGGTGTCTTTCCATTGTAGAGTGAAGTAGGTTGCAAATTGTACAGCAACAGTCGCTATTCGTTCACCTGCAAAGTGCACCTATATGGTAGGTGTACCTAATAAACTGGTCAATTGGTGTGTAGTGAATAGATCTGTTCTATTCTTCTTATTTTTTAAAAAAAGGTAAACTAATCAAAAGAAGAAACTGTGAAGTAATAATACTAATTTTCAGTGTGCCCTGTGCTTATCATACACTTTTCTGCTCAAGCACACCTGATTCAACTCCTTAGTTAATTACCCAGTTTAGAAGGCGTGTTGGGCGTGTCCCATGTGTTTGAGCAGGATCGTCACCAAACTGTTCTGGATTCCAGCCCTTCAGAACCGGAACTGGGCGTCGCCTACCAAGGTTTTTTGCACATGACATCAAACAGCACGGAACGTTTAGTGTGACAGATTTATATTTCTCATTTGTCATGTTTTTTAAGCATCTATGAACACCTTCATAACACATTATAATGCCTTCATAAGGCATTATAAACATGGTTTATAATGACTTATGAAGAAAACCAAGTACCTATCAGCCCCTCCCCTGAACCCCCTCTGACATCACACTCAGCATGAAGTCACTGTGGAGTGAAGGCCTGGAGAGGGAGAGGGGAGATAGTAGAGAGCTGTCATTGTAATTTGTTCCCTCGCTGGTTCTAACGTCGAGCGCTAGAACCCTTCACTCTGTAACATCACTGCTCTACGGTACAGTAATGCTAATTTCTGCTAGCATTCTGTTGGATATGCAGTGTTAAGTTAGTGCCAAGCTAACGGTGGTGTACATTACCTTTCCCACATTGGGTAAAACACTGATGGCAGCTCTAGTTTAAACTCTGACATTTGAAGCCTGTAATGAGCTTTATTGTGTATGTTTTAGTGTTTCAGTAAATCCTTCAGTAAATACTTCAACTTGAAGCCTCACTCTGAACACTGGAGGAGGCTTTAGTACAGTACACTTCACTTTACTTAGAGCGGACTAATGTGTTTATAGGTTCTTATAGACATAATATTCATAGAAAGTGTTACCTATTCAGTAATAATAATAATAATAATAATCATCATGGTTACACTTTCTATGAATGTCGTGTTTGTAAGTATGTATAAACACATTTATAACGTTATTACATGATTATAAACATTTATAAAAATGAATTACACTGGATTACTCTTTACAGCCATGTGTATTATACATTATGAATTGTTAATATAATGCATTATAAGTAGTGTTGATAACATGTTATACTGTCAGTGCCAAAGAAGTCAGTCTCAGCTTGGAGAGCATAAAGTAAAGACAAATACCAAGCTAACGGTGGTGTACATTACCTTTCCCACATTGGGTAAAACACTGAGGGCAGCTCTAGTTTAAACTCTGACATTTGAAGCCTGTAATGTGCTTTATTATGTATGTTTTAGTGTTTCAGTAAATCCTTCAGTAAATACTTCAACTTGAAGCCTCACTCTTAACACTGGAGGAGGCTTTAGTACAGTATGCTTCACTTTACTTAGAGCGGACAAATACGACTTATGAGCTCTTATAATTTGTTATGAACAGTACTTATAATGTATTATGTTAACAATTCATAATGCATAATAAGCATGGCTATAATGTGTAATGCGTTTTTATAAATGTTTATAGCCATGTTTGTAATGCCTTATGAATGCATTACATAGATGCTTACAAAGGTGACATTCATAGAAAGTGTTACCATAATCATCATCATCTTGATCACTTTCCATTTTACTTACAAAAAAGTGCGTTACGCAGGAAGGTGCGTAAGACATTGGAAAGACAAGATATTACCACTCAAATAAAATAACAGCTCAATTGCAGTCATATGCAAAAGTCTAGGCATCGGTGGTTAAATTACATTTTGTGGATTTTCTAAGTGAAAATATCCTCGACAGAGAACAGACTTCGGCACATTTTAATGCAGTTTCTTTTTTATTTGCTGAATGGAACATACTGGGGGAAAAATAAAACATAAAATGTGTGTAAAAGTCAGGGCACATTTGTACATTGTACAGTTTACTTTTATTGATATGTTCAACTCAGTAAATATTTAGAAATTCTGCAGTAAGTTTGCAAAAAATGCCAATTTAAGTTCATATTTAAGGTTATTCAGTGTGTGGGATGTATTAATTTGTTTTTACTTAGAAAATCGACAGAACATAATTTGTCTCTGGGGTGTTCAATCTTTTGCATATGACTGCAAAAGCTATAGAAGGAAAAACATGACCCCACAGGCGTCTAATACTCTCTGGCACACTATTCCTCAGTATCCCCCTATTCCGTTTAATAATACACCAGTCCAATCTACTGTATCAGTATCAGTACTACTACTACTAATAATTGAATGATAATAAATGAAGTAATAATAAAATGGTGGAGTTTGAAAGACTGTGTGACTGTAAGAGGAGTAGGAACTGGATGAGTAAAGATACGATTGAGGGAGGACAGAGGAACAAAGAGGAGGTGGGGTGTGGTGAGGTGTGAAAACTTTGTCATGGGAAATGTTAGATTGAATGGGAGAGGAATTTAAGGCATGGACATCCTCCCAAACTTCGGTTTTAATAATGGCATTTATTTTTATGTAGGTTTAATGTTAAGGCAAGGGAACATCTGGGACCATGTTTTCTTACGTTTACATTAATGGTATGTAGCAACCGTTCTTATTCAGAGTGACTTACAAAAGTGCTTTGTTGTCCACTCAGAGTCCAACTACACTCGAGCTAAGACACTGGGAGAATGAGAGCTGGTGCTGATACCTAGAAAGAAAGCTACAAAATACAGAATTAAGACGTAGCAAAAGTGCAATGCAAAACATTTCGGTAAATGTTAGATTACTGTTTATTTTAGCGCTTCACATAGAGAGTCTTCAGAAGACTTTGCTGTTCGGACATCTGGACATTCGTTGCAGCACTTGGGTGCCAAGATAGGGAAGAGACTTGATGCTCGTCTTTCCAGGATGGCAGGTCAAGCCGAGCTGTACTTGAAGCTCAAAAGACATGAGGTACGGAATGAGTTTTGACCATTGGCGTAAGGGAGAGAGGGGCTGGTCCATTTTTGGTTTTGGAGGTAAGCCTCTGGGTTTTAAATCTGATAGGGGCAGCTAGAGAAAGCCATTGAAAAGGAACGCAACAGTGAAGTGACCAATTCTGGATCCGCGGTAAGGGCCCGATGGCCTGCATACGAAGACCAGCCAGGAGCAAGTCTTCAGATGTCAAGAGGCCGAACAGCACCTGGGTGGCCTCCCTAGAAAGAAATGGTCGAATCTTCCGGATGGTATAGGTTTGCAGTATGAACTAAGAATGAGATTTGGTCATCCAATGGAAGATGGAAGTCCATGAATGTCTTGATAGAGATGGCAAGGTCAGGGTGATGACCTGTAGTTCCAGGGATGAATAGCAGCTCTTGGATCATTACTTAAACTTGGCCATTCAGATGTCAGAATAGGGGAAAAATGCAGCCATGCTTCCCTAAATCCATTGTATCTTTTTGTTATGCTTTCCCCACAGGCTTACCACATAACCAACGACGAGCCAATCCGCTTTTGGGACTTCATGTCTCAAGTGCTGGTGGGTCTGGGCTACGATGCCCCTCGCTACCACCTGCCCTACATGCTGGTCTATGGAATAGCCCTGCTGCTCTGGCTGCTAACCGTGCTGCTCCGCCCCCTGATGACCATAAAGCCCACCTTCACCCCCATGCGTGTGGCCCTGGCCGGAACCTACCACTACTATAGCTGTGCACGGGCCAAGCAGGACATGGGCTACAAACCACTGGTGAGCTTGCAGGAGGCTATAACACGGACCGTGGCCAGCTACCCACATCTGCGGAAAGGAAGCTAGTGTCTTATCAAGTCCATTTTAATTGCATTGGGTCTGTTTTCGGAGTAGGAACACTGATCATGCTTATTTAGGCCAATCCTGATCTCAGGGACTGATAAGCAGTGCTTTTGTTCATAATGCTGGCTGCAGAGTCAGTTTACGGTCATTTATAATCTCTGGGCTGGTATTCATGAAGCGTAATGCAGACGAATGCTCATCTGCAGTCAAATTCTTGCCTGTGTATACACAGCTTTTGTATTCCGAGATGCTTTGTGAATCTCAGCCCTGCTGCAGTTATGAAACTGCTGTTTGAGCCTTTTGACAAATGTCCTGGATTACCCATGTTTGCTGTAGAGGCCTGTATATTAACAAAGCACTTTTTCATACCTGCCCCAATATTACACTCTTTTTGACTTTGGTCTATATGAATAGTCTTTAAGTGTTATATTCAGCTGGTCAGGCCTGTTTTTTTATGTATCTTGGAATGATGATTTCATTGAATGGCTCTAAGAACACTTTATCTCATATATATCGCTGCTGTTGGAACAAAACCTCATATCTCCATAATGAAGACCTTCTTGACTTTTAATGTAAGTCAGTGGAACCAAACTTTTTTCCAAGTCATTTTGGGACATTTGTTTGATCTATTCATCATGAAATGTACACACAATGTAAAGGGCAAGGCTTTTTTAAATTGTCAAAAACTGAAAAATGACAAAAATGGAGATGCGAGGTTTTGTTCTGACAGCAGGAATATGTATAATTTATATAATCAGTTCACTTTTTCCTGTATATTTCTCAATAAATACATTGTTAAATTCCATTTTGCTATGGACGACTCATTTTTCTCATTTTTGATGTGTTACAGTGTGAAAAACAATGAAATAAATAGGTTACAGTTCAGAAAAATCAATTTTCTACACTTCAAATCTCAAACACTTCAAATCAACAACTGGCTTTGCACGTTTTACTGTACATCTTCAATCGTCATTAAGTCTCTTAACTATTCTAAGCATTTACTGTATCTTAAGTAGTAACTGTTCATTTTCAAGTGAAAATATGAATGTAAACAAAGTTAAAGAAAGTTCTAGAGTAATAGGGATGGGCCAAATTTGTCTGCTTGCTAGCGTTGCGCAACGCCCTGCACATATTCCCACTCCACGCCCTCAGTCGCAAACGCCCTTCTCCAGCTCTGCCGAATCCTTTTACCCCTTTATCTCCACTACATCACAATACATCACAGTGACCATGCAGATACTCATGCGGCTCAGCCTGTCCTGCGGTGCATTACTGGCATTCCTGCTCTCAACATGGTGACAGAGGGGGGATGTTGATGAGATACCTGGAGTTCCAGGAACAATGATACACATTGCAGCTGAGTTTGTGACTCACAGCCATCAGCGCAGGTCGTCCGACCTGTTTGTGCCGTGGGTAAGGTGGTAGCTGGGGTGAAACTGTTACAGGGCCGTCCGCTGAAGGGTGAACGCACAGCCGTCGCTGCTGGCAGTTTGATTGAGTTAATGAATATTGTAGAACAGCGTTTCTCAACTGCAGTTCTGGGAGGTAGCTCGTAAAGCTGGATAACTTTAGCCCAAAATGAGAATCGTTAGGAACGCCCCTGGCCTCTGCTACTGGATTTTCTGCATAGTTCTACTGCAGTAATATAAACAAAGTCATTCCCAGTGGTTTGATGTGAAGAGTCCATTGTAGAACATTATACAACAGAATATGAGAAGTGTTCTAACCGTGCTGTTATTTCGCCATAACATCTCGGGTCTTGGGGCGGCACGGTGGCGCAGTGGGTAGCGCTGTTGCCTCACAGAGAGAATGGCCTGGGTTCGATTCCCAGCCGGGCGACCAGGGTCGTGTCTGTGTGGAGTTTGCCTGTTCTCCCTGTGTCTGCGTGGGTTTCCTCCGGGTACTCCGGTTTCCTCCCACAGTCCAAAAACATGCAGTTAAGCTAATTGGACATGCTAAATTGCCCCTAGGTGTGTGTGATTGTGTGTGTCTGTCTGCCCTGCGATGGACTGGCGACCTGTCCAGGGTGTATCCTGCCTTCCGCCCAATGACAGCTGGGATAGGCTCCAGCACCCCACCGCAACCCAGAAGGATAAGCGGTTTAGATGATGTATGTATGTATGTATGTATCTCGGGTCTTTCACAAACACTGTGTCACTCCGCTGAGATGCCGTTGCTAAGCAACGACTTTGACAGCTGTAGGAGACTCTCGAGCCATTTGACCGTTTTTACTTCTTACTTTGCCACAAACAGAAAATGGACACTTTTAAAATCACATTTGACCAACAGCTGATTTGATCAGACTCTGAAGATGAGACGACACTAAATTCCCAAACTGTCAGTTGGTCTGTGTGGAGCTGGAGAACGAACTGCTGGCTGAGCAGCGAGTGGGCGGTGTTCATTACTCTGACGTAGCAACAAGCTGCTTGTTAAGGAACTATAATTTGGTGAAGGAACTGCGAACATTAAAACATATTAAACGCCGCGTTCACGGCCCAGTTTATTAATTTATTACTTTATTTATTTAACTGTTGTATAAAAGCAAAAGAACACTCGAGGAGTGTGTTATCACCAATAACATCATGGCTGTGATGATCTACGGCGACCAAATCACAGCTGTGATGTTATTTTGTGATAACACACTCCCTCTGTGTTCTACTGCTTAAATATACAGACTCAGATTCTTTGAAGTGATGGTGGAACCAGAGGTTCCTAAGAATGTATAATTTCACATCAGACCACTCCAACAGACTTTGTTTACATCGTAATGGTTTATTTATGCAGAAAATCTGAAAAATTGACAGAATTCCCTTTTATTTAATCTTGCTAAATAAGCAGTTCTGCTTTTTGAAATACTCCCTAAAAGAGCCACTTGTGTAGCACCATATTCACTTAAAAGAAAGCAACTTTTATCTGTAGCATATGGTGTATTTTTCTGTTTTTGATGTACTTTGTTGTACATTTTGATGTCCTTTTCTGTACTAAGAAATACCAGACAACAAGTTGGCTTGAAACACATAACAGAAGCTAACTCAAAGGAAAATTACTGTTCATGGTTTTGTTTGACCTCATGCTGCAGATTGAGTTAGACTGAGTGATGAGTTGAAAATGATGGAGGATTCCTTGAATTATTATTAATGATAAAGAGTTATGAACAATAATTCATTACTTATTTCTAAAGAAATGGCTCATTTGCAGGGAAGTTACACAACTGCAGTGCAGGTGGGCCTTTCAGCCTGAAAACACTGTTCTAGAAAGTTGCAGAATGTTCCTCAATGGCTCAGCGCATTAAACAGAGAGCACTGTTGGAGCCACACCTCTTCCCTCTATGTTGTGTTACCGTTGACAACGATACCCATCCTGTAGGTAAATAAGGTTGTCCTCACTTCTCCACAGGGAGCCACTCAGCCGTTCTCTTCCTATCCTGCTATCAGCACAGATGAGATTCTATATTATATTATATAGTTCACTAAAAAATCAAATATGTACAATTGTCTGTATGCTGTATGATATCTAATTGACATGTTTGGTGTCTGAAGTTTGCTTCTTTAGTTTTGCACTGATGTTTTAAGGCTAAAAGTAATAGAAATCTATGTGGGTGATAAAGACTTCTTTAGCTTCAAACCTCCAGCGCAGGACTAGGCAAACTGTCTTGGCCGATAAACTAAGTTTTACGTATTTCACTGAAACATTTCTTAATAATAATAATAATAATAGAATTTTATTTGTATGTGCCCAAGGACATTGTACACAAAATATTAAATTAAAAATTAAGATTAAAATATAAAAAAATAAATCACAGACATAAATAATTGGGTAGACAACTAGGTCAGAATATTAATGAATACTATGCCCCACTTCCATTTTCTTTCCCTTCAGTTTTGTGATGTTCCTGTGCTTTTGTTGTTGAGCTCTGATTTTAATGCTAGGTGCTCTGGAAACCAGATAGATAATTAACACTATTAATCATCTATTAACACTATTAACACTATTAATAAGTTGAGTGTTAATATGATTAACACTCAACTTAGCTTGACAAGGATGTTGCTATGAAATCCCAGGTGGTTGCTAAGGTGTTGCTAGGCCATTACTAGTGTGTCCCAGGTGGTTGCTAAGGTGTTGCTAGGCCATTACTAGTGTGTCCCAGGTGGTTGCTAAGGTGTTGCTAGGCCATTACTAGTGTGTCCCATGTGTTTTTTTTTTTTAAAAAGCCAAATTGTTAATGTTTTAACTGTCCACTTGTATTGTCCATTTATGTAAGTGCGAATTTTGCCAAGATAAAATTCCTCATACATGCTTGGCCAATAAAGTAACTCTGTAACTCTTTGACTATTTACTACATAGTGTTTGTTTCACTATAAAGTGAACATTCTAGGGAACTAATGTAACAAACATCTAGAAATAGGTCAAATTATGCAAATTTGCAACCCTCTCTCATAATTAGAAATATTAGATATATTGACAAGATGTGCCGTATAATATTGCTGTATATATCATATAGGAAGCTATTTCTGTCACAGAAAGCAATTTCAAACTCAGTTTCTGGTTTTGATTGTGATGTGACTGTATTCCCATGAGGCCTTGCTCCAATTAAGACCATGCACACTGTGTGCTTTTTCAGTGAGCTTTGTGCGATTGGTCCCACTGGAACCTGGACGCATCTTCCACTTGAACTGATCTTGGAGCTGTGTCAGCGTTTCAGACGTGCAAGGTCAATTCAGGGGTCAAGCAGTTAGAACCGATCCTAGACCAGCTGTGGTGCTGGGTGAGATATTTGCTGAGTGATGAGTTGTTTATCTCTCACACCTCTTGTCTTTGTCTGGGCAGGTGACACGTAGAAAAAAAATGTGAGATTTAGGTATATAGAAAAGGACTCCTCCTATTACACTCCTCCTGACGCGTACACGCCCACCCCAGGCAGTCAGGCTTCTCTAACTGGCTCAGCTAGTCAGTCTATGCCAACGCCTGTACCTGCTCACTCCAGGAGACAGCTGTCAAACAGGTAGCCTTCCTCAGGGTCGCTCCTGCTGTTCAGTCCTTCATCCAGCCTGAGCTTCGTGTAGCTCCCTGGGCCAAAATCAGGTGTTATTCAGCTTTTTTTTTGGATGTGTATTTTCTAAGACCAAGGTAAGATTGTTTGTGAAAGAGCTTTTTATGGTGTTACAAGGTTCAGCTAATGTTGAGCAATGTTTGCCGTTGTTGGAGACGTTTTTAATGCCTTTTTTAAAACATCTGTTTATCATCTGTAAGGCCAGCTGAGCCTTCCGACACACTTAAACTTTTCATGGGGGCACATTCAAGCATGCTGAGCTAGGATATGCTTATCATATCATAGGCTTAAAGAGATATAGATAGGATGGATAGGATAGATGATCTTAGATCAGCATGTATGAGCTATGGATCTTTCCTCTGACGCTGAGTGTTGCTCTAAGACTGTTTGCCTTCATATAACCATTTGCCTGCCACTCTGTTTGCTAGGCATGATTGCTTTCTTGCTTTTCTCGTCCAGTCCTGCGTGCTTGCCTTTGGAAGTCGTTTTGTTTGGCTGTGTCGCAATGTTTAATCTTGCCTCACATTGTTTGGTGCACAATGGATTTTAGACAAAAGCACGAGTTTGGATCAGGCAGTCAAATGCATTCAGATTTACTATACAGACCAATTACTTGATTATGTTCATACTTTAATTTGTGCTTCGGTTCTGGAGGGCTTCACCAAGGCAGAGCTTAATAAGCTTGAAGCTCATTAAAGCCTTTCATGAGTTCAGTCATGTGTGGTCAAGCAAGGAAGACGCTGTTCTAGCTCTTGAACTTGACCCTCTGATTTAGAAGCACTGTCCAGATTTCACTGGATGTCACTGCTGTTGATCCCACTTTAATGGAAATATAATTGGAATATCAGTGGCATTGGGTCCACAGTGTTGGAATATTAACTGTGTTTAAAGTTTAAAAGCCCTTTGGTCTACTTTCCTGCATGAAGAGTTTCCAAAACATTATCTGATCTTCATAATAATAAATAAAGATGGGCTTGTTTTTACAACACACGCAATATTTTACAGTGCAGTCTTAAAGTAAAGGTTCCTAAATGGTTCTCAGCTTGGAATAGGAATAAAATTATGGGTTTAAACAACACAAATGGTGGATGGAATGATGCTACTTGATGGAGAAGTGCAGGAAGTATTCCAGTCTGTAGGACAGAATCAGTGGTTTCTTCTGTGGTAATATCCTATTCCTATTCAATGTATTTCTTGCTGTAAACTCAAAAATGCAGATGTTTTTAGGAGCAGGAGAGGTTTGCAGAGAGGCTTAGCTCTCACACTGGGCTTCTTTGTCTCGTTGGAGCTCTCTGTGGTGGTTTCTGTTTTGTTTTTTATTCATATAGCTGGCCAAGACAAACCCACGCTAAATTAACTCTAACCTGTGTCTTCAGTTGCGCTCTTTATAAGACGTTACATAGAATTTGCTCATAAACAACATGTGATATGTGAAAATACTGTAAATGCTGTATGTTTATGTGCTGTCTGTTAAAGAAGACATGCAGAAAGCCGTTTCGGCCTTTATTGAACACAACCGTACAGTTACAAATATGATTGATAATCAACTAAAGTACTTTGTTGGATGTCATCTTAAATATGTGTGCATAAGAGAGAGAATGTGGTGTGAAAGTGGTTGGACAGGCTAGAGAGCATGGCTAAGCAGTGAGTCAGGAATTCCAGATGTCAGAAGGATGAGTAAACAGCCCCCCAAAGCATGGGCGGCAGTTTATTTACTTCAGTGAAAAAAAAATGATTTACGTAATTTACTTCCTTATTCCAACAGGGGAACTACAAAGGCAATGTTTATGATAATGTTTATCAATGATTTCACTGCTTTGCTTACAATGTGCATGTTTTACAGTTTTGTTATATAGCTATTGTACTACATTTCACATTATTAGGAAGCATGAGAGAGTAACAAAGCAAATGCTTCAAAAATCTTTTTCCATCATATACCATTAAATATATGCACTAGACATATATGTTGATATATGGCTGAAATATATGTCCCATAATTGAAAATGGCCGATAAGTAAGTTGGCATAAATGTCGCATACAGGGTGATTCAAAAAGATTCATCCGGTTTCAAAGCACCGTATTTTTATAACCGTGAGGCGCTGAGGAACCAATCACAATCCAATTGAAAGAGGGTGTCACAGAGTTTTTGACTGATTCCCTTCAGTCTGAGAGGAGATGAGACCCCTGAGCAGAAAGCGTTCTGCGTTCTCCGCTTCAATAAAAGTGAATCCGTCATAACTGTGCAGTGTGATTTTCGTGGGCAGTGAAGCTCCAACAGCTCAGAGCATTCGTTGTTGGTTCCACAACACTGGATGATCTCCGAAATCGCACTGAAAGAGCCGTGAGTGCAGCGACACCCGACACGCTCAATCGAGTACGGGCTGAATTTGACTATGGCATTGATGTTGTCTGTACAGCTGGAGGAGGTTCATACTGAGACCTTGTACAATTACATAATAAACTTTATGCTCATTTAAAACATTTACAGTTTACTGCATTGATTTATAAGTGAAATATATCATTTTGAAATCGGATGAATCTTTTTGAATCACCCTGTGAATGGCCATATGTGACAAATATAAGTTGGATATAAGACAATAAGAAACGTCCACATATACTAATATATGTCATATATTTGAAATCCATATATTGCCATATATCATATTTCTGTATGGGAAGGTAAACAGTGGTCTTAGGATCCAAATTAATTATGTTTAAAAGGCAAATTACACTCACTTTGCCAGTGGAAAGGTGCATATTTGGAACTTTAGCTCATAGGTTAACATTTTAAAATAGAAAACTGAACAAAAATAGAATTGAATAAAATAGAGTATGGTACAGTTACATTCCCAAACACATGAGATGGTGTATTGATAATGCCTGACCCTTTTGGCAGGATGATTGTCCATTTACGTTTGTATGTGTCAACTAACCTCAACGCTTCCTTCTTTATTTGAACCAGGCTTTCCTTATAGACGAACTTTGGATACAGAGAACTGCCGGTCATGTCTACAGGCAAGTTGGACGGACTTTGTTGATTCCTTCCACACCCCTTTTTATCTAACCTGACACACACACACACACACACACACACACACACACACAATTGCAGAAGACACTTTGCTCCAAACCCGGAATTATGATGACTAATGGAAGGCAGTCAATGCTGTGTGCATGAATACCACAGCTGCTGTGTCTTTCCTCATTCAGGATCCACCCAGACCACACCACAATACGCCAACCCAGGGCGAACTGGCAGTCAAAACCTGTCATTCAACATATCATCACCCTCAGTGTCTTTAGGGAAATATACAATAGTCTGTGTGCATCTATCAAGGTTACATTGCTGGTGTTGATTCATATCTGTAGTTGTAGATCCGCTGGGAGGTCGTAGCCAGTACAACTGTGAAATTATGAGATGCTGATAGATTCTGATTGTGTGTGTGTGTGTGTGTGTGTGTGTGTTTGTGTGAAGCAGGGGACAGACAGTCTGTTTTGCGTACGACGAAAGTCCGCAACACGCTGAAGGGTGACAACAGCTGGATCCAACGCCGCAAAGATCCTGAAGAAGAGGAGGAGGAGAAGCCATGGTGAAGACATGTGCTGTGTTGTGTGTGTGTGAGAGAGAGAGAGAGAGAGAGAGAGACCAAGAGGGAGAGAGTGTGTTATGTCTTTATGTCTTTATTAGAATAAAAAAGTGTTTAAAATATAGTTTCCCCTCACCCCGATTGTAACCACCAGGTTAAAATTTGCTTCTTTATTTTTTCACTGGAGCTACAAGGCTAATGTGGTTAATAAGTATTCACAGCTTTGAGCCACCAATTAGCATCATGCAAACTGTCACCCCATATGGAAATCGATATATGGAAATATGGATTCTAAATATATGACATTTATTAGCATATGTGGATCTCCAACTTATCTTTGTCACATGTGGACGTACACCGATCAGGCATAACATTATGACCACCTCCTTGTTTGTCATTGTCCATTTTATCAGCTCCACTTACTATATAGGTGCACTTTGTAGTTCTACAGTTACAGACTGTAGTCCATCTGTTTCTCTGCACTGTGGGGCTAACAAAGTATCAGAGAAACAGATGGACTACAGTCTGTAACTGTAGAACTACCAAGTGCACCTATATAGTAAGTGGAGCTGATAAAATGGACAATGAGTGTAGAAACAAGGAGGTGGTCATAATGTTATGCCTGATCGGTGTATATGTGACGAATGTGCCAGCTTATTTGAAATTGGCCAGTTTCTATTATAGCACATTTTTATTTTAGGCATACATCAACATATATGTGTAACACATATATTTAACAGTATATGATAGTGAACAATATTCATATATGAAATGCATTTCGCTGCTCTCGGAAGGAAACCTCGCATCTCCATTTTTATCGTTTTTCAGTTTTTGACATAATCTGAAAATGACTGTTGTCCTTTACATTATGTGTAAATTTCATGATGGATGGACCAAAAGAAACGGCTCAAAATGACTTAGAAAAAAGTACATTACATTAAAAGTACAGTAGTTTTTTTCTTCTCCTGTAAAGTTACCATTTTGGAGAGGTTTTGTTCCGACAAGAGCGATATATTACTCATATATGCTAGCTTCATTAAAGCATCTGCTTTGTTTCTTCCTCATACTTCCTAATAATGTGAAGTTTAGTGCAATAGCTACATAACAAAACTGTAAAAACACGCACATTGTAAGCTATGCAGAAAAATCATTAAAGCAAGAAATAAATGAAAATATTGTTCCCTGAAACACTTAAATAATGTAATTTAATAATTTAGAAGCAAACAGATAATATTTATAACAATTTGTAATAATTATGACTGTACTGGGATGTATTCACCCATGTGTCAGACACATATATATATATTTTTTATGCATATATGTGTTCATGCAGCTATCAGACATATATGTATGATCCATATTTTACACATGTATGTCCAATATTTGACACATATATGTACACATCTCATATGTACATATAGTTTTTGAAGTACATGCCTGACTCTTTATGATGTATGTGCATATGTGGTATCACATATGGAAGTATGGGATGTCAAACCATGTTCAATTGTTTAATAATCCCAAATAGACTTGCTGTGAAAAGTGTGCTACAATAGTACCTTACAGTTAAATACAGTAGTGGCAGCCATCCTGAAGCCTTCATTTTGCCTGTTAGTTCATTTTATATTATATTTCTATAGACAATATTGTGTCACGCAGTAATCAGAGGCACGTTTCTGAGTATTTAAGCCTGCGGTTTACGCGGTGCTAATTGGAGAATAGGCTTAGATTATTGGTGAGCTACACTGGCCACATGGCTCCAGTGCAAAACTAAAGAAACAAACCTGAGACACCAAACACTTCTTGGCTGATTGACTACGTTTGTGGTCAGAGGAAACTCTGTAAATTAGATTTTTAGCCAAACCTTTTACCTTAAAGACATTATTCAGTGGAACTTATATGTAGGTTGTGGAGTTGCGACAGTGAGGAATTGGTGTGGGTCCACAGACACTACTGTTCAAAAATTTGGAATAGCTGTTTGAAAGGTTAGAGTCAGTGTTTTTAATAATATAAAGTCAATTTGCGTGCAGATATATGTGTATAAAAGGCCCTCTGCAACTTCACAGGAAGCTGTAAATGCAAATTAAGAGTCCAGAATAATAAATGAAGCTGTAGGTGATTGCGAAATGAGTGAGAAAGCTGTATAACACTGAGAATAAAATTAATATCCAAGCTTTACCATATTTCTAAGGTAGAGATCACATCTCAGGGCAAATAATGTGATCAGAAAATACTAATGTGAATAAATAATTATACTATAGCAAGAGGATAGTGCTGATGGCAAAGCTGGTGGCCCACTGGCTTTTTGCTGAGCGTTTTCCTGGTGGTCCACTGCTAGTTAGGCAGAGTTAGACAAAGTGCCATGTTTCACGTGCCACGTGTAATATTTAAATCCATACTGTTTAACTCAGGGGTGTCAACCACGAAAAGGGCCATATTAAAAAATCTCAGCAAAGCCGTGGGCCAGCAGTGTTTTTATTCCATTATTGCTTAACATTTTGCCACGACCTGAATGGGACATTGTTTATTCAAACTATGCCCGAACTGTAACAGCAAAATAGGCACTGAATACTTATTCAAAAATAATTCTAAATAAAAATAAATTCTTTTTTAAAACTGCCTATTTGCTTGAACTAAACACCAGGCATCTTTTCTTTTCGTGTAACTGCTGGCCCATAGATTGTTGTTGGGGGGTCGGAGCATGCATTATGTTGCAGAGCATGCTGGGGACTGTAGTGCAGCTCGGGGTGAAACGGGCTAATATTAATAGAAAATTAAAATAATGAACAGGATTGTGCCACGGGCCTGACGTGGCCTGCAGGCCTTGTGTTTGACACATGGGGTTTAAATCATTAAAATTGTTAATATGGAAAGTGATACCAAACTTTTGAACAGTAGTGTGTGGGCCTTTGTGAGTTTAAGGGTTGATGAATGAGAAGAAATATGAAAAGTAACGTATCTCTTCTGAACCCCTGAATTGTAAAGGGTCGTAGAGGTGCGCGCAGGTCGCCTCAATGGTGCATTCAGCGACACCCCACCAGAAACCACCCCTACCCAACCAGAGCCTCAGCCTAAGCCCAGCACAGACAGGTAAGACACCGCTACGTTATTTCATATCAGAATGCCTAGCCTTAGGCCCGGCAGTTTTTAAATGCTGCATAAATGGCATTTATTATCGTTGACCTTTTCTACAGCCCTAAGGCACCAGCGTCTGGATACCTGATCAGGTAAGTCAGGCTTTTTAGCTGCATTTATTTGGAGGCATGTCATAACACCGTTACATGCTATTAACCTCAAAATCTTTCAGAGGCGTTTTCACAAAGACGGACACCAAACCAACTTCACCGAGATCTACCAACGGCTTTGCGTACGTAGGCAATTCTCCAAATCTTGTGCAGGTTTGGCTGCATTAGACGTCAGTCAGAAAACAGGAACTTTCAGACACAGTGGTTGATATGGGGAAACTGGCTTGTATCGTAAAAGGTTCTCTTCTCTTTTTTAGTGGGACACCTGGCTTCAACAAAAAGCCCTCTGAGGGATACAAGAAAATGTAAGCATTTCCTGTGTTTGACCGATTGAGTCGTTCATTACCTGCTATAAAAACCTCATTCTTTGTGATTTAGATTCAAGCCACAGGGGTTAGTGGTAATATGGTTTGTATACACTGCTAGTCAAAAGTTTGGGGACACCCGGCTTCCGTTTGAGATGTGGGGCCAATCCCATTTCACCCCTCGCCCCTACCCCTTAGCCCTCAGTTGTGCACGTTCACGTCTAAGGGTGTTCAGATAGAGGGGGAGGGTGAAGTGTTGGGGCTACATGACCCTCCAAACGGAGGGTTTTCAGAGACTCCAAATAGAGAGTTATGAGAAATTTCAATTTATTATGGTCGTTTTCTTCATAACAAGCGTAAAAGATTGCTAATAGTGTGCTAATGTCTTGTTAGCTAGCTAGCTAACTTTCCTGTTCCACCTTGAATAGTCCAGCAGTTCTGATGCCTGAAGCTCCAGAATGTAACTGCTGCACCATTTAAGGTGGAATGAGAAGCTGGTGAATATCTGACTTCAGCTTCATATTATCAAAAAATTAATGGTGGGTGATAATAAATAATTGCCCCCCTCTTTGAAGGCACTTGATGCCCTAAATGTAACTAAAGCCCAGCAGTGAGGAGCTGAACTTTACCCTCCTCTGCTGTCACTGCAGACTGGCAGGGTCGCCTACAGAGCAGCGCTGGTAGCTGTTAATGAAGTGATGCTCTTTTTATTTGAGGGTCCCATTTCAGAGGGCAAGATTTGAACCACTACCCCCTGTAATTCAGTTCCAAGGGGTTAAGGTGACACTCGAAAACAAGGAGTAGAGGTAAAATAAGAAATGGGATTTGGCCTTGGAATCGACTTTTTGCAATTCAGGTTTTCACTATTAACAAATTACTATTTATTAGTTATTTGCATTGATGGTGTAGATACTACACTTTGCTTCCTGTTCAAAGTGGTATGAAGACTCAGTTTTGCCAAAATAATGCTGACAGATTTTTTATGTTGAAAATCTTCCTCAATATACACTATCATTCAAAAGTTTAAAGTCACTTATTATGTTAATAATCTTACATGAGAAGAAAAGGGACAATGAATTAAAGTTAATAAATAAGCAGTTTGTACAATGTAGATTTAAATATCATGAACTAGATACCAAAAATGTTTTACAGTTTTTATTCAACGTTTCAGTATTTCCACAGTTCACAGGGTGGGCGTGGCTAGGGTCAGAGGACCTTTCACTTCTGAACAGTGGACCCATAGACACTTTAGGTCAATGCGTTCTTCTAAGACCATCCCACCTGTAAAAATGTGTCAACAATCAGAGGCAAAATAAAGATCGCAGAAGCAAAGGACAGATCCTAAACCCAAAAGGTCATATTTAAAAATGTAAAAATGTATAAAAATTATGGCCAAGGCTGGCACAGTTCTCCTTAAAATGATAATAACTTATCTTTTATATATTTTACTTGGGAATTTTATTATTTTATTCAAAACATTCTGGCACTAACTTAACTCTGTAATAATAGAGTATATTTTTTCTTTCTGCAAAACAAAACTACACACAGCATTAATGTTGTCTTCTACTCATGAACGCGAATGTGGAATTGTTTCAAAGTTAGAAAACCGCACCTTCGGCAGAATTTCTCCAACAGAAGTAAGACGTTATTCAACAAAATATGTAAAGAGGCTCCACGTTTATCAAAGTATGCGCGATGAAGGATAATATTATGCATTTTTGCAAACCAGCAGAGAAAATTGCTCATTTAAAACCTTTTAAACCTTCAGATTTCCCCAAATCTCTGACAGGCAGTGTATGAAGCATTTTGTGTCTGTCTGTGTGACCTGTGGGATGTTGTGTGTTCTTCTCAGTGCTCCTCACACTGTTCGCCCAAGCTTGGAGAGCACAGCTGGAGAGACAGACCCAGCTATCAGCAAAGAGGAACAGGAAAGAAGGTGAGGAGAACGTCTGCAGATACAACCCCAATTCCAAAAAAGTTGGAACGCTGTGTAAAATGTAAATAGATGTAAATAAAAACAGAATGCAATGATCTGCAAATCTCACAGACCCATATTTTATTCAAAATGTCTCACTTTCAACAGCTGATATATTGATCAGGTATAACATAATGACCACCTTCGTGTTTCTACGTTCACTGTCCATTTTATCAGCTCCACTTACTATATAGATGCACTTTGTAGTTCTATTACAGACTGTAGTCCACCTCCCTCACAGAGCAGGTACTATTTGGGTGGTGGATCATTCTCAGCACTGCAGTAACACTGACGTGGTGGTGGTGTGTTAGTGTGTGTTACGCTGGTACGAGTGGATCAGACACAGCAGTGCTGCTGGAGTTTTTAAACACTGTGTCCACTCACTGTCCACTCTATTAGACACTCCTACCTTGTCAGTCCACCTTGTAGATGTAAAGTCAGAGACGATAGCTCATCTGCTGCTGCACAGTTTGTGTTGGTCATCCTCTAGTCCTTCATCAGTGGTCACAGGACGCTGCCCACAGGACGCTGTTGGCAGGATATTTTTGGTTAGTGGACTATTCTCAGTCCAGCAGTGACACTGAGGTATTTATAAAACTCCAGCAGCACTGCTGTGTCTGATCCACTCAGACCAGCGCAACACACACTAACACACCACCACCACATGGTTGTTACTGCAGTGCTGAGAATGACCCACCACCCAAATAGTACCTGCTCTGTGAGGGTCCACGGGGGTCCTGACCACTGAAGAACAGGGTAAAAGGGGGCTAACAAAGTATGCAGAGAAACAGATGGACTACAGTCTGTAACTGTAGAACTACAAAGTGCACCTATATAGTAAGTGGAGCTGATAAAATGGACAATGAGTGTAAAAACAAGGAGGTGGTCATAATGCTATGCATTGTATACATGTATTTACATTTTACACAGCATCCCAATTTTTTGGAATTGGTGTTCTACTTTCTGACGCCTCTCATTGCCCTAAGCATATCAGAGTGAAAACACTGATCTAAGATCAAGTCTCCTCAGGTCACAGTTCTCCTCAGTGTTGTGTAAAAGGCAAAGGCTGATAAGTTTGATAAATGGTCCGTTGTTTATAATGTTCTCTCACTGAAATAAGATTTGAACGCTGCTCTATGATGCTCCTCTTTTTCTGTCGCGTGTGTTTAGGACTGAGCTGGCCAACAACGCCCTGAAGAGCTCAGCAGCCAGACAGCGGTCATACGTTCTTTCAGCTGCAAAGAAATATGAGTAAGTTCCACTCTGAATTATAAAAATGCATCGTGATGCATTGATAAAAAGGCGGCGATTCAAATGTATTGATTTTTATAATATTATTTGATAGAGTGTGTGCTTATTAGGCCAAAATAAGATTTTATTTTATTTTAAAATCTAAATCTAAGAAAAAGCTTAGTGTATTGTTTTCATTGTCTACAATTCCAATGTGATGCAACTAATTCCACCAGTCACATTGTTCATTCAGTGTATTTAAAAAAATATTTCTGAATTGCATCAAAATAATCGGTAAAACTTCATTTGAAGGCTACCTACATAAGGACTTCATTACACATGAATAAGTATTGAATAACATATTTATAAAGCAATACTTGAGTATTGAGTATAAATGAGCAGCTTATGTTTTTAATCGCAAGATGACATAACATGTTTTATGAAGTAAATAACATTGTACTGGCACAAGGGACCTTAAACTGAAATGATGCACAGTTTGTTTCATTTATAACACTGTTATAACTATGTTCTTCTCAAATGATGGAGCTTATACAGGGAGATTCACTCGAAAGAGGCCCCGAACATTCTGTTGTAACTCCCGTTAGGATGAAGCAACCTAAACCAAAAAAATATGCTACATACCTTGAAGCGCTGCTCAATACTGTACACCACCATCCTGATGAGAAGTCGAATGACTGAGTAAAGGGGTACGGGAGTATGCACCCGGAAGGTGCAAACAGAGGTTGCATCGGCTTTCCGGTGCCCACCTCATCGCTCCGTCTCAGGGGCAGCCCGGGTTGTTCGCAGCTCCATATACTGAGGAGTACATTGCACATTGTTTCGTTCAGATTGCTTCATCCTAGTGAGAGTTATTACAGAATATTCGGGGTGGATCTCCCTGTACAAGGCTATGCAGAAGCCTAAATAAAACACTATATTAGTTATTTATATATTTATAAGTATAAAACTTCAATTTTTAAGATGTTTCAAAAGGAATAAATGCCTATGACCCGTATGTCAACACCTTAAAATGTCAGCCTTACTGCGTTTACTTCAGAAAACATCCTGTGTCATCCTGCGATTAATGGCATAAGCTGTTCATAAATACTCAACTATTGCTTTATAACTACATAATTCAATACTTATTCATGTGTTATGAAGTCCTAATGCAGGTAGCCTTCAAATAAAGTGTTACCAAATAATCAAATTTGTTATGATGTATACTGTTGTTGTCATATCATTACCACATAAGTCCACATAAGTCCAGTCAGTCAGATTTGAGATCTTGTGATGCTTTGAGTCGTTTGTTAAAAACAACAGCGATTGAACTGAATCGTTGCTACTGAGAGATCTGAAGTCTTTCAGCAGGAAAAAAATCAATTCGATTTCCTGACGGAGATTAAAACCTTCTGCAGGATTAATGAATTAATCAAAGAATGAAAGGGGACAAATTATAAAGAAAGAAGAGGAGAGAAAGAACAAATAGCAAGGAATGAAAGAAGGAAAGAAAGAAAGGTAGAAAAGGAGAAAAATAGAAAGAAAAGGGAATGAAATAAATAAGTGAATAAATAAGGGGCAGTCGTGGGCTGGAGGTTAGGGAACCAGCCTTGTGACCGGAAGGTTGCTGGTTCAATCCCCTGAGCCGACAGTACGTGACTGAAGTACCCTTGAGCAAGACACCTAATCCCCAACTGCTCCCCAGACGCTGCGGATAGGGCTGCCCAACACTCTGGGCAAGTGTGTTCACTGCCCCCTAGTGTGTGTTCACGAGTGTTTTCCTAGTGAAAGAGAGGAACAATCTATCTATCCATCCATCCATTCACCCGTTTTTAATCTCCTCCTGTAAAGTTACCATTTCAGAGATATGAGGTTTAGTTCTAACATGCTTCTCTACACTCCACTGTCCAAATTCATTGTTGTCATTTCGTGATATATTTTTAGGCGTTGACTTTTATCGATTTATGTCTCCTTATGTCTCTATTGTTTTAGGTCTCCACCAGAGAAACTGGACAGCTCTGACCCGCCAGTCATATCTTTTGTTGCCAAAAGGTAAACAGCTTTATGTGGTAAAGTTCCATGTGGAACAAACAGGATGTTCTTGCCGCTGACAGCACTGTTCTGTGTGTGTAGGGTTGTCATCAGTGATGATGATGAAGACAGTGACCCAGCAGTCAAACCCCCAGCAGCCCCGGCTTCTCCAGCTCCAGCTCAGCCTGCACCTAAACAGAGGTACACTGTTAATTCAGTACCACTTCAGAATAAGACTACCTTTATAAAGGGTTTATGAGTGGTTTAAAATAAGTTTATTAACAGTTATAATTTAGGTCATAAACAGTGTCAAAATTATTAATAAGCAGTTATAACACATGAACAAAAAGGTGAGCTGTTATATCTGATGAGTATGAATATGTGAGGAAGCTGATAGTTTAGTGCTGACTGATGGAGAAGACAAAGGAAAATCAGTGAAGATCAAAATCTGAGGTTTAACAGTAGAAATGAATGTAGGTTCACTATTAGGCAAACACCAGATCACTGTTGCCCTTCAGGCTGGTTAAAATGAGTTTAGTAATGGTTATTAATTAGGCCGTAAACACCTTATAATCATCAATGAGCAGTTATAACATTTAAATAAAAAGGGCTATTGATTGCCTAATAGTGAACCCACTATTATATTGGTAAAGCTCAGATTTTGATGCTTACTGATCTTAATCCATCAGTCAACATCAAACTGCTGGCTTCATCGCCCATTCATATTCATCAGATGTATGAGCTCACCTTTTATTTATGTTACAACTGCTTATAAATTATTTATGAAGTGTTATAAGTAATAGCCATTAATAAACACATTTTAGACCATTCATGGACCCTTTATAAGGGTTGTCTTATTCTAAAGTGGTACCGTTAATTCTTACTAAATCAATCAGTTTGAAACCCAGGGAAAAAAGCCTTTCTATGCAGTAATTTTTTACAATGTAGATTTAAATACTATAAGCTCTACATTTATGGATATATAAGATATTTTAGTTGTTTAATTAATATTTCAAGTACACTATATATCTGAAAGTATCCAGACACTCCTTCTAATCAGTAAACTCAAAATACAGCTGACACAGGTGTTCAGTTGGCATTCAGCTTGTAAAATCTCCATAAAAGCATTACCAATAAAACGTGAAGCTCTGGAGATGCCAAGTGTCAGGAAGAGGGGTATAAAGCCCCCCAGCATTGAGCTGTGGAGCAGTGGAACTGTGTTCTCTGGAGTGATGAAGCTCCATTCAATAGCTTTAAGATGAGATATTGTGGTGTTTGAGATACAGAACTAATCATCCAACATCAGTAGCTGACCTCACTAATGCTCTTGTGGCTGATTGCAATCAAATCCTCACAGCAATGTTCCAACATCTACTCCCTGATAATACCCCTTTTTATTTTTCTGAAATATGAATTAAATATGTTATATCTCCATTCTGGCTGTACAGCTTTCTCAGAATCAGAGTCATTTGAGAATCTTCTGCACACATCTAAAATCCTCACAGGACAGATGTTTTAGTATTGATTTGCACAGTGAGGCCCAAATGTCTGAGATCACATTGAAAATCTGTATTTTTTTCATTTAAACCTGGAAATAAACGACAGAAAGTTTTAGAATTTTGAAAGTTCAGTTGGTCACTATTGACGTTTAAGCAAAGTTGTGACCACATTAAGGCCTTTATACAAAAAAAGTTTTTTTTGAGTCTCATCTCTTCCATTGAAATTCGTGTTCTGAAGATTCTCAGTTGGGGTTGATCTGCCCATTAGAGGCTTGTTGTATACACTGGTGATCTCAGACTTTTGGACCCCGCTGTGTATCGCTGCTGTCCGAAGAAAACCTCGCATCTCCGTTTTTGTTGTTTTTCAGTTTTTGACATAATTTGAAAATGCCTGTTACTCTTTACATTATGTGTAAATTTCATGATGAATGGACCAAAAGAAACACCCCAAAATGACTTGGGAAAAACTCTGGTTCCATTGACTTACATTAAAAGTAAAGTAGGTTTTTTCCTTCTCCTGTAAAGTTACTATTTTGGAGATACGAGGTTTTCTTCTGACAACAGCGATGTGTATCTTACAGAAAGCACTGATTCCAAGCTTTTGAATTGTAGCGTATGTCCACAACTGTTGCCTGTGTTATCCTACAGTGCGGAGATGACCGTGGATGGCCCGGCACTTCCAGCTGCTCCAGTCAGAAAGAAAGTGCCATCTGCAACACCTGAACCAACACCTAGGACCAAAGCAGAGCCTGCTCCAAAACAAAGGTTTATTGTTTTTAACCTAGCTTTGGATTAGGAATAGATGCAATGCATATGTGTTACTAACCACTTTATTAATTACTGTGTTTGCTGAATTTAACATACTGGGGGGGGTTAGAAAGTAGGAACTAGCAAATAATGGAAATTGTGTGCATAAACTTGCAGAAAGATGCCTTATATATGGTGTGATGTGGATGTGTTCACTTATTTCCACTTAGGAAGTGGTGTTCAAACTTTTGCATGCGACTGTACCTACCTTGTACTTCCACTCATTGGTCATTCAAATGAGGTCCACAGTATAGCTGTAAAATTACAGACTTTAGCTCCTCTGTTGCTGCACAATTTGACAGCTATCCTCAGTCTCTCTTGTCATTGGCCAGTTTCTGATCACAGGACCACTGTTGACCAGAAATTATTTGGTAGGTGGATCATTCTCAGCACATCAGTGACACTGACATGGTGGAGTATGTGCTGCTCAATGAGTCAGACACACTGGTGTTGCTGGGGTTTTTACACTCATCAATGAGTGAGTTTACATGCACTTTTGTAATCAGATAAAGGGGAAACTCCAGGTCTATATGAGTCAGACAGTTATCGGATTTCTGCTTTACAACCAGCCAATAAACTCACAGAAGAAGACGTGACGTAAACGTAATGTAAAACTCAAACTTCCCGCCACTTTACCTGAAAATATGATATGCATCATGTAGAAGATGAAGAATATTTAAATCCTTCATTTCGTCAAGCATGTAGTTGGTTTCAGCGTCGCTCCAAAAGTGTTTTGCTGCGTCTCGCGGCGATGCTGTTTGCTTTTTTCCGGTACCGTAGTCTGTTCTGGCACATGCTCAGACTGAGAAATCCGAAAGAAATCAGAGTAAGAACAAAGACATCAGAGTGTGCAGTTTACATGACCATTTGAAAACTCAGATAACTGCAGATATCTGATCGATTTTGATCAGATTATTGAGTGCATGTAAACTCACTCCATGTCACTGCTAGGCTTACAGTGCTTCACCACCCAAAGATATAGCAAGCCAAGAAATTGAGCACTGATGAAAAGCTAGAGGGTGGCTAATGGATGGTCAACAGAAGTCAACTTTTTGCACAGCTTTTTTCTAAAAGCTTAGTTTAGATAAAAGGTCTGTCTTACTTTTATAGTGATGCATCTCCTTATTTTCAATAAGCCAAAGTTAAATCTTCACTATGCAGCGTAAGATGCGGTACTAATTAAGCTTTTTAGAGGAGAACTTTTAATTAGACTAAGTTGAGAAAAGCTGAAGTTACCTTTACCTTTTTTAAACTTTTTTTACCATGTAAAACTATTTTACCATGTAAAACTGGACTTTTAAGGTAGGTGTTTCTAGTAAAATGACCAAACAATGTATTTAGATGCACATCATAAAGATCTTATCATTTTATCATTTTAATTTGCATTGTGGTTCCATAAGCAGAATCAATTCATTCATTTAAAAATTAGCATTACTCAATGAATAAAGGCTTCAATTTGTTAAACTCATTGTTTTTTTTTCTTTTTTTATACAGCAGTAATGCCCTTGATGCCCTCTCTGATACTCTGATGTCTTCCACCCCAGCACCCAGGTACCAAAATACTTCTGGATCTTTTTTTCATTATACACAACAGACCAAACATAATGAGGATTAATATACAAAAATAAAACAATAAACAAAACAAAACAAAAATTTTCTGTGCTTATCTTTCTCTTTCCTCCAGTGTCTCGAAGCCGGAAGTCACTCCACCTGCTCCAGAGGCAAAAAAAGCCCCATCGACAGCCCCTGAACCCAAACCCAAAACGGAGCCCACTCCTAAACCAAGGTTTATTGTTTTTTATCTTATTTTAGATTTTGAACGTAGATTAAAGTCATTAATAATCCCAGTATAAGGCTATTACAACTTTACATAGCAGACAGAAATGTTACAGGAGCACTTAAAGGCCCAATCCTGTTTCTTATTTTTACCCCTACTCCTTGTTTTCGAGTGTCACCTTGCCCCTTGGAACTGAGTTACAAGTGGTAGTGGTTGAAATCTTCCCTATGAAATGGGACAAAAATAAAACAATAAACAAAACAGTGCAGGGAAAGTACAAAAAGTACTTTCCCAATTGAATTAACTAACATTTAGGTGCTTTTTATTTAGAATGATTTTTTATGTTTGTTATGAAGAAAATGACCAAAATACACTGAAACTACATTAAACTAAGCTAATACAGTGGTTATCGTAATTTTTAACGGAGAAAATTCTCACATTTGTGGGTTTCTTTGGTCTCTTGTTTAGCCATCTTGCCGGTTTTTCTTTCTTTTCTCATAACTCTCTGTTTGGAGTCTCTGAAAAACTTCCGTTTGGAGGGCCATGCAGCCCTAACACTTCGCCCTACCCCTCTATCTCAACAAAAATCAGGACACTCTACCCCTAGACGAGAACGCGCAAAACAGAGGGCTAAGGGCTAAGTGGTAGGGATGAGGGGTGAAATGGGACTGGGCCTTAATTCATTCATTCATTCATTTCTATTGGTCTGTTCATCATGAAATGTTCACATAATGTAAAGGGCAACTAGTGTAAAAAGAAAACAAAAGAGATACAAGATTTTACCATGATGTTGATGATGATCTGAGTACAGAGATGCTCTTCTAGGACCTCTTTTTTCTGCCCTCTTGTTCTGAAACTCTTTATGCATGCAGGCCCAGGTTTATTTCCCTGAATCATAGAGTCTACCCCTGCACCTTTCTCTGTCTCTCTTGCTCTCTCTCTCTTTCATTCCTCCTCCTCTATGATGAGCCTTTTATAGAGCTCTTTTTTTCCTGCAGAACCTCTGACTGCATAATAATAGCAAAACCAGTGTGAGGGAAGATCACAAGCGTGATCTCCTGGGATGCACATAAAATATGTCCCATCATTTTTTCCTCCCAGATCCCTGAGATGTTGCAGTCATTCGTATCTTATTTTCTGTGCTTATCTTTCTCTTTCCTCCAGTGTCTCGAAGCCGGTTGCTGAAGTCACTCCACCTGCTCCAGAGGCAAAAAAAGCCCCATCGACAGCCCCTGAACCCAAACCCAAAACGGAGCCCACTCCTAAACCAAGGTTTATTGTTTTTTATCTTATTTTAGATTTTGAACGTAGATTAAAGTCATTAATAATCCCAGTATAAGGCTATTACAACTTTACATAGCAGACAGAAATGTTACAGGAGCACTTAAAGGCCCAATCCTGTTTCTTATTTTTACCCCTACTCCTTGTTTTCGAGTGTCACCTTGCCCCTTGGAACTGAGTTACAAGTGGTAGTGGTTGAAATCTGCCTCTGAAATGGGACCCTCAAATAAAAAAAAAAATCACTTCATTAACAGCTACCAGTGCTGCTCTGTAGGCGACCCTGCCAGTCTGCAGTGACAGCAGAGGAGGGTAAAGTTCAGCTCCTCACTGCTGGGCTTTAGTTACATTTAGGGCATCATATGCCTTCAAAGAGGGGGCAATTATTTATTATCACCCACCACTAATTCTTCGGCGATATGAAGCTAAAGTCAGATATTTACCAGCTTCTTGTTCGAATTTTCCCGTTCCAACTTAAGTGGAGCAGCAGTTACATTCTGGCGCTTCAGGTGTCAGAACTGCTGGACTATTTAAGGTGGAATGGAAAATTTAACTAGCTAGTTACTGAGACATCAGCATGCTACTAGCAATTTTTATGCTCGTTATGAAGAAAAGGACCATAGTACACTAAAACAACATTAAACTAAAATAATACAATGGTTATTGTAATTTTTAACAGAGAAAATTCTCACATTTGTTGGTTTCTTTGGTCGCTTGTTTGGAGTGTGCCTCAGAAAAACCTCCGTTTGGGGGGCCATGTAGCCCTAACACTTCCCCCTACCCCTCTGTCTCAACAAGGATCGGGACACCCTACCCCTAGACTTGAATGTGCAAAACGGAGGGGTAGGACTAAGTGGTGGGGGCGAGGGGTGAAATGAGATTGGGCCAAAGAGATGGCTCAGGCAGAAGTGAAATTGACAAACTTCAGGCTCTGAGATGTTCGCTACAATCTTTTTCAGATATACTTTCATCTGCCGTCTGTTTTTTCTAGATAGCTGTATGTTATATAGTTTCAGAAACTCCTAAACAAGTCTATTTTAGATCACTTAACGACTTGTTGGCTGCATCATAATCGCCCCAGCGCAAAACTAAAACAGCAAACACTGAGCACAAAACATGCCACATTTGGTGTGAGGAGAAACTGTCATTTCGACTTTTGGCTGAATGATTGGCTGAACAATCTCGTGAGGACCATGTCTCATTTTCTGGATTAATGTCTTTTCTTCTTCAGTGCCACTGAGCCAGTCACTCCAGCTGTCCCTGTCGCAAAGGAAGCCCCATCCACAGCACCTGAACCTAAACCCAAAGCAGAGCCCACTCTTAAACCCAGGTTTGTTACTTGTATTTAATTTTAGATGAGCAGTCTAGTTTGAATAAATGTATTCACTCACCAGCCACTTTATTTGAAGCTGTTATTGGGCTGGGTCCCTTTGTTCCAGTGAAGGCTGATGTTAATACCACGGCACACAAAGGCCGTTTAGACAATTATATGCTTCCAACTTTGTGGCAGCAGTTTGGGAAAGGCCCTTTCCTGTTGTAGCCTGACTGTGCCCCTGTAGAAAAAGCAAGGTCAACAAAGACATCTGTCATGTCTTTGACAAGTTTGGTGTGCAGTGGACTGCACAGAGCCCTGACCTCAACCCCACTGAACACCTTTGGGATGAATTGGAACACAAACCAGGCCTTCTTGTTCAGCAGCAGCGCCTGGCGTAACAAATGGTCTTTTTACTCCTTGAAAGCCTTCCTGGAAGACTGACAGTGGTGGATGAAGTACACAAACCATGTACTTGAGTTAAAGTAGAGACACCCAAGGTAAATATTACTCCAGTAAAAGTAGAAGTTCCTCCCTTTAGACCTCCACTTGAGTAAAAGTACAGAAGTATTTGCCCTCAAATGTACTTAAGTATCAAAAGTGAAAGTACTAAAAGATTAATTATGGCTTTAATGTCCTGTTATCATTTTTGTAACAAGACTCTTGCTTTATCAGTTCATTTTAGGTGAAAATACTCCAGTGTCACTCTTGTAACGCCAATATTTTAATAGAATGTCATTAATTAGTGACGCTGATGTCTATTAAAATTATCATAAGCACAAAACACTGAAGGCAAACAGTTTACATCAGGTAGAACTGAGTGGCTCTGAAAGAACCTTTTGCGAACAAGCAAAGTTTCAGTTTAAGATTTATTCAAAATTAAATTTAATTAGATTTATTTAAATTTTTAAGTTTAAATTTAATAAAAACTTTAAACTCAGGTTCACAAATGAGTTTCCTTTACTAAACTGCATCTGTATGTCTCTGTTCATAAACATAAACTAGCAAAAACAAATTTACTATAAAATGAAATTGTGTTTGTATAAATTCAGAATAAAGACATGTCAGTCACAACTGCATATGTGTACATATTTCTATATTGTGGTCTGTTTACCCACAAAGTTAGGTTAGTTCATCATTTATGTTGAATAGACACTCCCAAAATTTTACGCTGCTGCTGATGTTGAACCGTGTGCTGCAAAGTGTGCTGTGCCCTGATTGGTGTTCTTGCTTCACGCTTCTTTTGTTTTCACATGTAAAGTTTTTATACACACATAAACCAAAAGGAACAACAGATTTCTCATAATGTAGTGGAGTAAAAAGTGAGATATTTGACTTTGAAATGTAGTGGAGTGAAAGTAAAAAGTCACCCAAAATGGAAAAACTTCAGTAAAGTACAGATACACGAAAAAATACTAAAGTACAGAAACGAATTACATTTACTTTGTTACTGTCCACCACTGAAGACTGGAGGCTGTCATAGCTGCAAAGGGGGGGCAACTCCATATTAATGCCCATGGTTTTGGAAAGGGATGGCCAAGAAGCTCATATAGGTGCGATGGTCAGGTGTCCACATACTTTTGGCCTTATAGTGTATGCGAGGTGACAGATGTTTTTTGGCCTTAGGTTGTGTCAGGACACTTTGTCGGGATAGAATTACATAAGAAACCATGTAATGACATATGATGCCTATTATGAATATTTATGTAGGTTTATGACTGTTGACAGTGAATGTGCCATTTAGCCCTACGCCTTTCAGTTAAGTGTACTCCAATATTTTATGCCTGTATTGACACTTTTTTCCAGAATAGTACTGTTCATAGGCTGAATAAAAGCGTCAGTCTCATCCATGCAATAGAATTAGAAATATCAGTTGCTGTGCCACCTCATGATAAGTCCTCACGATAAAAGGCTCTTTCTTTCTGTGCTGCTCTTCCTCTACAGTGTCACAGAGCCAGTCGCTCCACAGAAAGTTCCAGCAACAACACCAGAGCCACAGCCCAAAGCAGAGCCCACTCCAAAACCAAGGTTCATTGCATTTACTCTATTTTACTGTGTATTTTTGTGGTCATTATATCAAACATTTTAAAAAATGGCAGCTGCTCTTTATCTGTAAACAGTTCATGATAAATAGACCAATTAGAAATGGCCCAGAACTACATGGAATAACATTTTATTACACATTAATACCTTCTCTGATAAAGTTAGCACTTCGGACATATGAGGTTTTGTTACAACAGCAACAATATGATATATATGATAAAATGATATAGGTAATGTCTAGATAGATTCCCTATATAGAGGCTGTATTATTTTATGCCACTTTAACAGTGCAGTCAATCAAAGAAATAAATGAATCTTTATTAAAATCCTTTATGGTGTGGAAGTCAAATTATATTACTATTTTCTCTTTCCTCAGTGCTGCTGCCCCAACTACTCCAGCTGCTCCAGTTACACAGAAAGCCCCACCTGCAGCACCAGAACTCAAACAGGAACCCGTGCCTAAAATAAGGTTTGTGACCATTTTTAGATAAGTAGCCTACAGCATGTATGATGTGTGGGTATTGTATATGTAGATATCTAGTATATATATATATATTTATTTGTGTATTATTTTTATTAGACTTTCTCATTGTATGTGTCACGTGTATAAGTAGCGCTTTGCTCCACTCCCTTGTGATATGATAGTCGCTCTTTTCTCATTTTCTCTGCTGTTTTCTCTTTCCTCAGTGTCACTGAACCAGTCCCAGCACAGAAAGCCCCATCCGCAGCACCAACACCCAAACAGGAACCAACTCCTAAACAAAGGTTTGTATATATGTATATAGATACATATACACGTATATATATATTTTGCATGTATTAATGACCACTGACTTGATGATGTAAATTGTATATTGCTGTAATATAACTGATTATTGGTCTGAACAATAGCATCAAAACAGACTGGAATCACATAGTTGATCTTAAGGTCCATGCATACCAATAGTGCCATTAAAATCCAATTTTGCTCACAATCCCTGAAAGATCACAGCTGTCCTTTCATGCTGCTGTCTCTTTCAAACAGTGTTACTGAGCCAAGTGCTCAAGTCACTCCAGTTGCTCCAGTGGCTGCAGAAAAGAAAGCCCCCACTGCATCACCTGAAGCCAAAAAAGAGCCCACTCCGAAACCAAGGTGCAGTACAACATCCACCTAATTACAAATATCTACCTTATGCTTCTATCATTTACTGCCACTTCGTGAATCTTTTCTGTTCACTATCTTTACAAAAAGATCTATTGTAATACAACCCTGTTTCCAAAAAAGTTGGTTTGCTGTGCAAAATGTAAATAAAAACAGAATTCAACGATATACAAATCATTTGAACTCTATATTTAAGGAAAAATAGTACAATGACAACGTATCATAGTCCTCTGTTCTTACTTTCTGTTTTTTTGTCTCCTCAGTGTCCCAGCTGCTCCAGTTGAACAGAAAGCCCTGTCCACAACACCAACACCTAAAGCAGAGCCCACTCCTAAACCGAGGTGCATTATAATTACATCATAATATATGTACATGGTGTGAAGGTATATACACAGGTATTTATTAGAAACACATCCATTATACTTCCACTTACTGGACACTTTATCAGTTCCACCTACCTTACTGGTTCACTACTTACACAAAAATATCTAGTATTACTTTAAGCATCTACAGTCATAGGCAAAACTTTAGGCACCTCTGATTCATGTTTTGTTGAATCAAGTCAAAAAAGTACACATCATCTACAGAGAACACACTTCTGCACATTTTGATGCACAAGTAATGTTTATTTGCTGCGTTTAACATATTGGGAAAAAATAAAATATTAAATGGGGCCTGTGCAAAAGTTACAGCACATTTTATATTTTATGTTTTATTTTTTTCCAGTATGTTAAACTCAGCAAATAAATAGAAATTGTACACTCAAAGTTGAAGAAAAATGCCATATTTAAGTAAGTGCAAAAACAAGAGTCTATGTCTTGTTGTTAACTTAAATTCAATAAACTCAACATTTTAAAGCAGCCCAGTAACTTTTTTGCAGAGGATATGTTATTATATACTTATTTTGACTTACAAAATCAATAAAACATGAAATTTGGCAGGGAGCATCCAACCTTTTGCATTCAGTTGTGTAAGATTACTGTAGCGCTGTGTAATAATATGTAATATTGCTGTCTTATATTAATCTAAACTGTTTATATAGTATTATACAGTATACTTTAGTAACTACATGAATTTATTATAAGATTCTTACAGGATTCCTGTAGAAATTCATCTTGTATTACTGTAGAACGTAGTGTATTTGGTATACAGTTACTTTATCATTGGTCACTTTCTGACCACAGGGTTGCTCTTGAACAGAAACCCTTACCTTGTACTTCCACTCAGTGGCCACATTATAAGCTCCACCTACCTTACAAGCCACAATATAGGTGTACTATAGACTGTAGACCATCTGCTGTAAGCCACTACTATAGTGATCATTGGTCAGTTTGAGAGTGAGTCTACCAAAATTTTCAACCAAGAGCTGCTCTGTGGTCCAAAACTAACCACCAATCTCCAAAATAGTAACTTTACAGGAGAAAGAAAAAACATACTTTACTTTTAATGTAAGTCAATGGAACCAGACATCTTTTCATGTCATTTTGGGCCGTTTCTTTTGGTCCGGTTATCATGAAATTTACAAACAATGTAAAGAGCAGCAGGCATTTTCAAATGATGTCAAAAACTGAAAAATGCATCTATTTTTATGCTCCTGTATGTAGCTGTCTATCTCATACTTGTTAGTCTGGCCTTTTCCACTCATGACATTCTAATATCTTCCATGGCACAATATATGATTCATTTATAACAGTCAGTGACATTAAGATAAATAGATTCTGTGTCATGAATTCCTAAGCTGAAATGCCATTGCTATCATATCGTTTTGTAAATATTTGATGATGAACTGAGCAATAGGTCCAAATTGACTTGGAATAAAATCCTGGTACATGAACATATATTAGTGTATTTTTTATGAAGTAGGGGAGATACAAGCATTTATTACCACACTGAAAAAATGGATTTAGTAGTCTGTGTTACAGCAAGCACAGATCAAGAACTCCTCCGATGCTGTTGCCCCAAGCCTGCATTCCACTTTTGTTCTCGATCTCCATTTTCTCTCCTTCTGCCTTACAACCCTTGCATTATCATTAACGCAATATTGGTATCATAATAGCTTGAGATCGAAGTGCAATCTCTAGGGATGTGTAACCCCAGGCCCTTGATATAGTCGTCCGTTTCTTACTTTCTGTGCTCTCTGTTTCCTCAGTGTCACTGAGCCGGTTCCAGCTGCTCCAGTTGCACAGAAAGCCCCATCCACAACACCAGAACCCAAACCCAAAACAGAGCCCACTCTGAAATCAAGGTTTGTTCCATTTACCTTACTTTACATAGGAATCTAGTGTCCATAGTCCATTTTTGTGTTATTTTATTTACAGTATTTGATAATATCAGCTGCTCTTTACATGGTGTGAACACTCCATGGACCAATGGATGGATTGGTCCAGAATGGACCAATAGAAATGCTCCACAATTCCCATTACATTTTCCCTTCTCCTGTAAATGCACTGTTCCAGAGATACAGGACTTTATGACAGTGGTGATATTCAGTGGTGATTTCAGCTACTTTAAGGTGCACCCATTGCTGACACAGGCATTTAACTGTGTACACAGTTTGTATAATCTCAATAGAAAAGCGTTGCCAGTAGAATGAGATGCTCTGGAGGAGCCGCACATGAGCCTAAGGTCACCATACCCAGTGCCAAGCATCAGCTAGAGGGGCATAAAGCCTCCAAGCACTGGGCTGTGGAGCTCTGGAACTGTGTTCTTTGCAATAATGGAGCTCCATCCAAAAGCTTTGGATGAGTTGGAGTGATGTTTGTGATCCAGAACTAAGCAACCAACATCAGTACTTGACCTCACTAATGCTTATGTGGCTGAATGTAATCAAATTCTCACAGCAATGTTCCAACATCTAGTGTAAAGACCACCCAGAGTAGATGCTGGTACTGCAGGAAAAGGGAAAAACTCCCTATTAATACCCTTGATTGCTGGTTGTCTACAAACTTTTGGACATATTTTTAAATTGATTTAAAAATAAATGTATTTCTTGCACTGTTCTCTTTCCTCAGTGTCACAGAGCCGGTTCCAGCCCCGTCCACAACACCAGAACCCAAACCCAAAACAGAGCCCGCTCCTAAACCAAGGTTTATTGCATTTACCTTATTTTATGTATGCAAATATGTGTAGTTGTAGTGTTGGAAGTTATTATTCTTTATAACAAGAATGACAGCAGCAACAATAACATACTATGACTACTTAGAATAACACTATGAAGCAGACATAATAATTTTGCCATTGGATAAAGATGTAAAAATGGCCTGTTATTAGAGCTGCAGTTCTGCATTTCTTATTATTTGCCATGTTTCCTCAGTGTCACTGAGCCGGTTCCAGCTGCTCCAGTTGCACAGAAAGCCCCATCCACAACACCAGAACCCAAACCCAAAACAGGGCCCACTCTGAAAACAAGGTTTATTATATTTACATTATTTTAATCTGAAATTACATATGCACAGGCTGTATTCTTCTGTTTCTTCTTTTTCTTCTTCTTCTTGTAGCAAAAAACTATTCAATTCACATAATACCTCAAGATAAAAATAGAATCATATAGTGCGTTTTGCTCCCATTGGTAATTGATATTACAGCAATAGGCCTACATAACTTATTTTCTATGTTTTAACTCTTAAGTGTCGCTGAGCCAGTTCCAGCTGCTCCAGCCCCACCCACAACACCAGAACCCAAACCCAAAACAGAGCCAACACCTAAAGCAAGGTTCATTACTTTTACCTCATTTTGTATACATATATGTGCCTATAGTGTTCATATATATTAATATTGTAGTTACAGTATGTATGATAATAATAATAATAATAATAATTATTATTATTATTATTATTATTATTATTATTATTATTGTTTCGGAATAATTCAGTGTTTAGTGATGTAAGACAGGTACAATACAGCACATTTGTACTTTTTTCAAAGCAGCCATTCATTACAAAGAAAAAATGAAAAAATACAAAACAATACATTAGAATACATTGTTTACAATGTTTGCAAATTCAATTTAACTGTATTTTTTTTACTTTCCCTTCATCATTCATTTGTCCCAACATAACCTCATGGCATGCTCTCTAATATTTCTACCTACATTGAATAATAATAATAATAATAATAATAATAATAATACTAATAATAATAATAATAATAATAATAGTAATTTTTTCATTCGTTAGTCTTACTGAGCCAGTTCCAGCTGCTCCAGCTCCACAGAAAGCCCCATCCATTACACCAGAACCCAAAACAGAACCCCCTCCTAAAGCAAGGTTTATTACATTTACCTTATTTTAAGCTCACTTTACATGTGCACAGGCTGTATTCTCCTTCTTTTTCTTCTTCTTCTTCTTCTTCTTCTTCTTCTTCTTCTTATTATTATTATTTGTTGTGTTCAACCATTCAGTCCACATAATACCACAAGATAATTACATTAATCTTACAGACTGAATTACTTATTTTCTATGCACTCCTCAGTGTCACTGCTCCAGCTGCTCCAGCTGCTCCAGCTGCTCCTGCTGCACAGAAAGCCCCGCCCACAACACCAGAACCCAAACCCAAAACAGAGCCCACTCCTAAAGCAAGGTTTGATATATATTTACTATAGTTTACATACGGAGCTGAATGTACTATAGATATAAATCGAATATTGCTCATGCACTAAATCTCTATTTATGCGCCATGCACAGTAAGTCTATAAATAAGTCTATAAACTGATTCACAAATCACGTTATCTCCTAATCAGTCGGATCAAATGCACTGTAAACAAAGAGTTGTGTATTTACACATTAATACAATGTATTACATTTAGTTTATTTTCTTTCTGCTTACGTACTTTTGGCAGTAATCGTGTTTTAATGTGTTTTATTAATGCAGAAAATGATGGTCCACATTTGGATCCACTAATACAATCATATCAAAAGCCCATCTGAAGCATTTTTCCTCATCTTATTTTCCGTGCGGCCGCCTCTCTCTCCTCAGGGTTGACCCTAAGCCGGTCGAGAAGACCAGCGGCTTGAACGATGATGATCTGCTGGGGCTGACTCAGAGGTCAGTGTCACACATGAGAGGCTGCACTGAACAAGTCATGCCCGCATTCATGTTAGCGTTTACCATTTCATACACAGCCACTACAACCTTCTGACATTTAATGAACCAGAAGTGGCCACAGGAGGGCACTAGAGCTCTATTAGTGGCGGCGATTCCAAAAGAGTCGAGTGGTACTTGGCTGCAGCTCCATTTCAAAGAAAGCTGCAGAGATACTACCTCCCTCATAGTTGTCTTGAGTCATGATGTTGGAGCGTTTGTACTCTGTTTCACACACAGTTAACACGCATGCCTCTCTCTCCCCCCGTCAACCCTTACAGTGCACCTCAGAAGCCAGTGAACCCCGTCCCCACCACCACAGACCTGCTGTCAGGAGCTGACAGGTGAGAAAGTGTACGCAGCATGAAAGTGGGGGGTGGCTGAAAATAGCTCTCGCTGCGTCTCCTCTGGAGCTTTCGTGTGAATTCCGTGGGAGGACTTTTGTGTAGGAGGACGTTAGGATAACAAGCCGAGCAGGATTTGGAAGTGATCTGAGGATGCCATTGGTTACACCTACACAGTGGTGTAGTGTAGTCTGAAGTAATGGGAGTACAGTGACTAGTTGTTGGAAAGACTATCCAAGCTAGCACTGCAGTTAAAACACTTAATATCTAATGTAAGGATGGGAAGGACACCAAGAAATAACAAGGCTAATACTCCTACAATAAAACAGACTCCTTTTAAAGGTCCTCTCAGGCACTTAAAAAGATAGAATGTGTCATATCTGCAGTGAAATCCCCAAAAAATAAAAAATTTGGAATCACCGTTTGTAATAACACACAAGCAGTTGGTGGAAGATACGTGTATCAAATGATTACAGTATGACTTAACTTTATGGGTTGCAACTAATTCGCAGAATGCTGTAAAAATGAAGACATTATGCATCCAGAATGATGATTAAAGCTGATGATGGTTTTAAAATTACTGAGAACAATGAAAATAAAGTTATTTTAAAGTGAACATCCAGGTTTTTTTTTGAAAAACTGAAAGCAAGTTTCTCAAAAAAGAATGGAAGCTGTAATAAAGGCAAAGGATGGACACATTATTTTTTTGTGATCTGATGTTCTTTTAAATATGAAGCTCCAATGTAATATCAAATACAGTAGGCAACAAAAAATATAGCAACAAAATGGAGCACCCAACCCGCCCAACATTCCCCGCCCACATGGCACCCATAAACTGATCAAGGAAAAAATAAATAAATAAATAAATAAATAAATAACCCCTTTGACATATTGAGTAATACAAACAAACCAGTACAGTATAATGAATATAATACCAGCTGTAATAATGCAATAATGCTGCTAGAAAAAAAAACAAGCAAATAAAACAAAACAGGTTTCGCTATAAGTCACCAATTCTCTTAGCTGCACTTTCCAAAGAGTTCAAGGTCCTCCAGCTCCGTGAATCCTTGCAGTTGAAAGTTCCATATTAATAATATCCACAAAGCTGAGTATCCATTGCCGCCAGCACAGAGAACGTGGAGGTTACCAGAGTCATCTTTTAGAAGCAGAGTTTGGACTGTATTTGTTATGATTTTATTGAGAATGTCTGATAATGTAAAGACACATTAACTATTTAAAAAATTGACATATTTAGTTATTGAGGCTTCTGTGTAATTTTCTGTTAAATATGTTTTCAGCTTTTTTCTCTGATGCTAAAAAATGAAGAACTTACTGAAAATGTATAACTAAAAGGCTTCTATTTTGGAGATACATGTTTATTTTTGGACATTTTTTGTACCATTTTTAGTATTAAATATACATTCTGTTTCAGTAATCAATCAAAGATCAATATTACTATTGAAAATTATTTGATATTGATATTTTAGGTAAAGAGTGGTTCTATGTATAAATCAGATATATCAATACTTGGTTATTGAACCACACCACCCACACCTGTCACTCTAGCTGTAGTTAGTTGTAGTGCCTGCATTGTCAATACGTCAGCCAGTTTGATGAGGCCAGTTTGTGCTTCTCCCCCAGCTCTCTGCCCAAGACTGAGAAGACCAAGAAATCTCTGGACCTGCTTGCGGACGATGTCATCCCCTTTGATACCAATCCTGACAAGTGAGGTTCTTTGTTTCTTGAAGGATCAACACATTAGTTAATGTACTTCTCTGTACGTCTCATTTGCTGAATGTATATGAGTCATTTTATGGAAACGTTCATTTTTGTGTCCCCAGTGTTTACACATATGACACAATTTACAATTTTTTTATTTTAAAATAAAACAATAAGTTATTTTAACAATTACACCTTCTTGAGCCTCAATTTAGCAATATTGGTTTTTAAATCAGTTATATAAAATTCCAAGCACCACAGAAGAGCTCATCCTCACGGTCATGTGTAAAGGCTGAGGCCATATTTTGAGGTAGAAATCATGCTTTTCTGCAATTTTTACTGCAATAATCAACACATGACTTTGGAATATATAAATTAAATGATATAAAGAAAACAAATGGCAAATAAACATTATAAAATATATAATGAAAGTTTATGGTCGCCAGGAGTCGTGTCACTGGTGTTACCGCGTAACAAAAAAACTCTTATTTTGAAATAAAAGTCACACCGATGACATCACTCGACTTCCTTTTACCTGTTTTCTGAGGATCTATGAAGAAAAGCACATGGTGAGTCCACTGTGTCTTTCAGTTATCAGAGATTTTCTCATTCAGCTCATGATTTCATATGAAGTTTTAGCTGAAGTCACTGGTGTGACCGACTTTATTCTGAGGTAACTGTGAAAAAATAGAATACAAATGGATTAAATTACATATTTTATTGGATATTCCATGATTGACAACATGTAGTTTGATGCTCTGTAGCAGCCATTTTGTAAAATGCATTTTTCATTAAAAATGTCTCTGGTGTTCCCTTTATTATGTGTAACACCAATGAGGATCAGTAACACCAGTGACTCCTATGGACAGATAGAAAAGTGGACATTTCTGTAGAATGACTCATATAACAGACAGCTAAAGGAACACTTAGAAATATAAACATTTTAGTGTTTTATCAGATTGGACTTTTTCCTTGATGGATTTTTTTTTAAATCTGATAATCTCATTTTAATCTTTTGCTTCTTACCCTCAGACAAAGCACTGATAAAACAACTACGAAGATTGAGACAACACAAACTATTGTGCAGTCGAAGGACCCAAAGAGGTAGAGCATCAGTTTATCCCCTCGTTTATAAAAAAGATTTTTTTCTGCTTTCTTATCTTTTGATTTTACTGTGTCTTTTCAGTTCAACAGAAATGGTCACCACCACAACCACCAAAACTGAGACCATCACACAGAACAGGTACTGTCCTGCACGGTCCTTCATTCATTCCTCTGGAGAAACTTTCCAGGATTCTTCCTGATTTGTTTATTTTAGATGAACTCTTGAAATCAAATTAAAAGTCAGTTTTTAACATCAATGCAATCTTAATTCAACATTAATTTGAGCTCATTTCAAGCAGAACTTAAAACACTAGACAGTGCATGACTAACAAACACAGATTTACACAGTTGTACACACATAAAATTGTAACATTTTTAATAATAATAATAAGTATTATTTTCACACGTTGAGAAATTTAGGGATTAGGGTTTGGGACAGCCACCTGCCTATAATAGGTACCCTATAAATGATGATTTAGCTTATCTCTGTCTCAGTTAATGTCATAACATAATCCATGTAAATATCTAAAGTCTGAATACTTCATTTATTTTAAGTAGTGTTTTTGTGGAGCTGCAGTTTGAACTAAATTACTTTAAATTAATATATCTGTGGTTTCCGCCTTAAAGAAATAGTCCTAAACATTTTTCCTCATCAAACCTTTTCCCAGCTTTTCCAGTGTTTTTAAAAAATGTATTTATTTATTTTTTTTGTGAAATGCATGCTTTAAAAGTAAGATGTTATGCAATGATTACTTTCTTGAGGCTTCTATGACACAGAAGGAAACAAAACTGCTTTTAGAAACTCTAATATACCATTAATGCAGTGATGCAACATTTCCCAACAACTGTACTTAATTATGTCCATATTAACATAATAAAGCATAACATCTACCTGAATGATCTGTGCATGATCATACATAATCGTATAGCTGCCCTGGAACAACAACCCCAATTCCAAAAAAGTTGGGACGCTGTGTAAAATATAAATAAATATAAATAAAAACAGAATACAATGATTTGCAAATCTCACAGACCCATATTTTATTCACAATAGAACATAGAACACATATCAGATGTTGAAAGTGAGACATTTTACCATTTCATGAAAAACATTAACTCATTTAGCAGCAACACATTTAACAACAGTCTGTAAACGTCTGGGAAGTGAGGAGATCAATTGCTGGAGTTTTGGGAGAGGAATGTTGTCCCATTCCTGTCTGATGTAGGATTCTAGCAGCTCAACAGTTCTGGGGCTTCTTTACTAGATTTTTTGTCTCATGATGCGGCAAATGTTTATACTGGTGAACGGTCTGGACTGCAGACAGGTCAGTTCAGCTCCCAGACTCTTCTACTGTGAAGCCATGCTGTTGTGATGGATGCAGTATGTGGTTTGTCTTGCTGAAATATGGAAGGCCTTCCCTGAAAGAGATGCACCCTGGATGGCAGCATATGTTGTTCTAAAACCTCTATATACTGTTCAGCATTGATAGAGCCTTTCCAGATGTGTAAGCTGCCCTCGCCATAGGCACTAATGCAACCCCACACCATCAGAGATGCAGGCTTTTGAACTGTGCACTGATAACAAGCTGGATGGTCCCTCTCCTCTTGAGTCTCCAAAAAAGGATTTCAAATTTTTATTCATCCGACCACAGAACAGTTTTCCCTTTTGCCTCAGTCCATTTTAAATGAGCTTTGGCCCAGAGAAGGCGGCGGCGTTTCTGGATTGTGTTGACATACGGCTTCTTCTTTGCCTGATGCAGCTTTAACTTGCATTTGTGGATTGCACAGCAAACTGTGTTCACAGACAGTGATTTCTGGAAGTGTTCCTGAGTCCATGCAGTAATTTCCAGTACAGAATCAAGCCTGTTTTCAATGCAGTGCCGCCTGAGGGCCCGAAGATCACAAGCATCCAATACGCGAGTAACTGAAGCTTGTACATCAGGAAGGCTAACTTTTAAGCTAATGAGTGAATAACAATAGTATGCTAAACGCTTCTGGTGAATGTGTTAAAATGCTCATTCGTAATTCATACATTAACCTGAACATATGATGTCATTGTAAGTAGCTCATTGGGAAAAGCGTATTGGAGGTCTGTATCTTACACTAGAGGCACACATTTCACAATGAAAAAGCCCCAAACTTGAGGAAAATGTTGGACTTTTCTTTTTAAATGTGTGGACTGATGGAGAGTCACTGGTATGTGCCTCGTGTCGTGATCTCAGCATGTCATTGTTTGCTCCCTCAGCTCTCTGCCCCAATCACAGAAGACTCAGGAGTCTTTGGACCTTCTTGCGTTTGATGTCATCCCCTTTGACACTAAAAAGGACAAGTGAGCATTTCTCTTAAATGAGCAACTCTTATTGATGTTCTATAAACACAGTAAAGGGTAAAACTACTGCAAGCAAGGCATTTTTACAGATTTAGAACAAAAAATGACAGAGAACTTTGTTAAGTATCTTATTAAAGATTATGTAATGTCTTCCTGCATTATTTCCCTTTCTTTTCTTATCCTGCCAGACTGGACGCTGACAAAACAAAGAGCAAAGTTGAGACGACCAAAACTGTGACGTGGCCGAAGGAGGAATTACTGAGGTACAGTAGCAACACTTCAACTCTGGTTCAATTATATTGTTTTCTTTTTTTAAGCAGTACAGTAGAACTAACACTGGAGAAATAATAGCTTTAACACAGTAACTCCACATCCAGGTATGGACACCTAACAACTGCTGATGAAACAACTTAGATTAGGCCTGATGAAGTCTAAACCAATCCATCTTTATTGACACTTTAAGTTTAATTTGCAGTGATGTCATCTTACTCTAATGTATTGTTTAGGAAAAGTCTTCATCGTCACTGTTTATAACAAACTCCTCATTTAGAACATCAGGCCTTCAGGAGCATCAGGTGGATCTGATTAGGGAGGCAAGAAAACTCTGCAGGAGCAAAACTAATTAACCGCCAGACAGTCTGACACTACTGTTGCTGACATTTAGTCAAATTTATATTATGATTAATAAATATATTACTGTATCATCTGGGGTGTGCATCTAATAAAAAAGTAAGTAAATAAGTAAATAAATACATAAATGAACAAATAAATAAACACACATTATTATTATTATTATTATTATTATTATTATTATTATTATTATTAAAAACTACTGACATTTGTCAAACTTTATTTCTGCTCTATGTTAAGGTATTTTAATATAGTGTACATCTAATAACCAAGTAAGTAAGTAAGTAAATAAATAAATACAACATTTATTTTCTTAGATGTTTTAAAACTCATTAACAATGATTGCACTTTTATCTAGTTTTGGTCTGTAGTGCACATCTAATTTATACATTAATAGATAACAACACATTATTATTATTATTATTGTTGTACTATTTTATTAAACATATTACAATTACAAAGGTATTGTTTCCAAACTGCTGCTCTGGAGTGTACGTAATAATAAAAATAATAATAATAATAACTTTTTTATAAATTACATTCAAATTTTCTAGGTGTAAATATGCTATCACATCCTCTACACACTTCTGCACATTTTAATGCACAAATATAAATAAGTTTATTTGCTAAATTTAACATATTTGAAAAAAAAAAAAACCATAAAATATGGCCTTTGCAAAATTATGGCATTTTATATTGTATGTTATATTTTTTCCCAATATATTAAACTCAGCAAATAACTAGAAATTGAGCACTAAAATTGAAAGACAACATATTTAAGCTTGTTACCTTTAAAGACTGTTACTTATAATTTATTTTCATTAAATAAAACAACGTAGTGTCATTTGAACCTGATAGTTCGAATTTTTGCATATGACTGTAAATACCGTTGCTGTCAGAGTAAAACCTTGCATCTCCAAAACCTTTTTTTTTGCATAAAATGAAACACTATGTCAAACTTCACGATAAATGAAGTTACACTGAAAGTTCAGAAGGTTTTTCCATCTGTAAAGTCACTTTTTGGGTGTATATGTGAGGTTTTGTTGTGACAGTGATGATATTCTACTTAAAACTTGCTGAACTACGAACCCATCACACTCATCACATCAGAAAGAGGCACAGTGCTGTAGTACTACACTAGATTGTCCACTAGGGGCAGCAGAGGCCACTCTCATTCTGCCCACAGCTGAGTGGAGTGGAGCGTCTCTATTAACAGTCACATCAGAATTCAATTTGCATATGACAAAGTGTGTTCTCGCCTCTCGGAGTGAAATCACTGTGAAATTGTTTTTTTCAGCTCTGCTGATCCATTTGATCCTATTCCGATAGTGAGCGAGTGCACAAAGAGGTAATGATTTGGGCTTAAAGGTGACGATTTCCGAATGTAACGCAATCATCTGTGTACACATCACACCTATTACAAATACAACACCTTCTCTCCCTTTCTCTGGCAGCCCTGTGGAGCTGTTCGATCCTCTACTGTCGGACAGGTACGCGCACAGGCCGAACAAATAAACGCAGATGAGTGATGATGATGGTAATGATGGTGATGACAGTGATAATGATAATTATTATGGTAATGTGAAAGGTGGGCGGGATGAAGGTAAAGATGCTGTCAAAACAGCTCAGTGGTAAATCATTATGATTACTATGCCCATGACATTACTGAGCCTGAGGAAGGAAAAGTCGAGATGGCAATACACATAAACTCAAAGACTGTAATGACGTTAGAGATGATGAACATTCAGAGGGGTAAGATCAAGAGAGGCACCACTGGAATGACAATGATGACGCTGATTGATTGAAAGGGATCTTCGCATTGGCATGGTTTGATCTATATACACTGATCAGGCATAACATTATGACCACCTCCTTGTTTCTACGCTCATTGTCCATTTTATCAGCTCCACTTACTATATAGGAGCACTTTGTAGTTCTACAGTTACAGACTGTAGTCCATCTGTTTCTCTGATACTTTGTTAGCCCCCTTTTACCCTGTTCTTCAGTGGTCAGGACCCCCATGGACCCTCATAGAGTACCTGCTCTGTATGTAAAATGAACAATGAGTGTAGAAACAAGAACATAATGTTATGTCTGATCGGTGTACGTAATTATTCAGTCCCACAGATCCCAGCTCTTCGAAAGCTATGGAAGAGTCCATCAGCCCTGTGCCTCATTGATTTCAAGCTCAAACTCTGTCGTACACCAATTAGCCAGTTTATTAGGTACATGTCCAAAAGTATCCAAACACTTCCTAATAAGTAGATTCAGCTAGTCGAGGTGCACTACACAAGCACAGACAGCTTCTATAACCTCTCTATAAGAAGAAAGCATGTCTACAAACTTTTGGACATATTATGTACCTTGTACACACTCATTGGCCATTTTATTGCACTGTTATGAGCCCAACATGCATTACCATCAACTGGCCCACTTCCCAAGTACAATCAGATAAGAGGTGGTCCTAAACTTGTCCTATCCTATTGATGGACAAGGAAGCGGGGGCTGACAACCAACTTCTGAGACTGAACTTTGGAGGTGTGGAAAAATATCCCTGTAGATTTCTTTGTAAAACTGAAAGCAAGTCTGAAAAGAATGGAAGCTGTAATGAAGGCAAAGGGTGAACAAACTAAATACTGAAAATGTTGGTATTATATTTACGTGTTGAGGCTTGTGTAAGTCCTGTTTTTATCTTACACTAAAATAAGAATAAAATAACTGTTTTGACTGGAAATGAAATAAATGAAGGTTGGACTTTTACACACTACTGCATACACTCTCAGAAATAAAGGTACTAAACTGTCACTGGGTCAGTGCCCCTGTTGTCACTGGGGTGGGACCCTCAAGGGTTCATCTCAGTCCCTTTAGTCAGGGAACATAACTGAACCATAATCGACTGAAATGATATGTTCTAAGCTGTACTGACTCCACACACCCCGTCTCGTCTCCAGGCTTTTATTTTACTGTTCTGTTTTAAAACATTCGGTTATGAAAAGGTACAAAAACGAACTTTTCACCTGGAAAAACTTATTTAAGGTTCACAATCAGACCTTAAAACCACTGTTGGAGCTTTGAGGGAACATTTACATTGTTTGCACCTTGATAAACGAAAAATACCTGCACAGTACCTTTATTACTGACAGTGTATGGTGGGTGTACCTGAAAAAATGGCCAATGAGTGTGGATACAACATAGGCCGGCAACTCAGTATACAATTTGGCACCCGTTCTGAAACCTGATGCATTACAAACATGGTCAGATATTCATAGGCTAAATGTTCCACTGTATTATTTTCAGTTCCAGTGAGAATCTGCCTGCTGATGCCCTGAGCTCCTTGGCTAAAGATGTCATTCCAATCGACACAGACTTCACAAGGTAATGCGTTTGTAAAGCGTTTTGATGGTGCGTTCACCTGTCCAGGAAACACCTGCGTGTAATGGCACTTCCAAAGGTGCATATTGAGTACAACATGCGACTGTCGCTTTTTTGCGTTCCAGCCTCAGCAGTGACACTTCAAAGGAGCCTTCTGACAGCAGTGTACCCAGCGCAAACCAGAGGTGAGTGATCAAAGCCTCTAGAGCACATTTTCTGCAGGAAGGGTGTGTGTGTGTGTGTTTGCATGTGTGTATGTCTGGTGTGTGACCTTTGAATGCTGTGTTTGAGTCAGAGGAGCATGCAGCAGACCGTTGCAGTCACATTTGAGATGGAGTGAGTCATGTCTCTCTCCCTCTCTCTCTCTCTCTCTCTCTCTCTCTCTCTCTCTCTCTCTCTCTCTCTCTCTTTCTCACTCTCTCAGTCTCTCACTCTCACGCCTCAAAACACCACAATAGTCACATTGCGTGTATTATTAATGCCCACACTTGGCTCGGTGACCTAGAACTGATTGTACACTGGTGCTCACATAAAAATAACCTGGACATGGCCTAGCTTTTTACCAAATTGCAAAGCCTCCTCTATTCTTTAGCACAGCAGTGTATCCAATTACTCCTTCACAGGCGTCACCACTGACCCCTCAGAATATATTGAAAATGCATGAAATGTATCCGCCTGAAGCTGTTATTTATATGTCTTAGGTCATCTGACAATGTCTCCCCATGGGACAGATGGACATCTCCTATTCTAAACACCACAACGGAGAACAGGTACAATGACACGTCATCAGGCTCTTGCTTTTCAGTTGGATGTAGGTGATGGGTGATCTGTTTAACACACTCTGGGTTTGACTTTGGCACAATGAAAAAGCTTCATCTTAGACATAATTTAAAGTCTCAGGTGCTAATTGGTGCATTTGGTTGGTTTTGCAAACTTCAAACACAAATTTATGAAAAATGGAACAGTGCAAGTTTACACATTTGCCCAACAATGGCTGTTTTAAATGGGTCAAACTTGAGTTCGGAAGGGTTTTCCTTATTTTTAATACTTCCATAGAAAGTAAATACTAATGCCTAGTGTTGTAGGCAAGACAGTTAGAGGTGACTCCGAGTCAAGATCTGGACACATTGAGTTCGAGTCAAGGCTGAGACCGATACAAGACGAAGACTAGATTAGGATTTTTTTAGTACAAAAAATAAAAAGGAGAAAGGGAAAAAAAAAATCGAATTAGTTTGTTGTTTATTGTACATTCATTATAATTCATTATCGCTGCTGTCAGAAGAAAATGTTGTATCTCCATTTTTGTGGTTTTTCAGTTTTTGACATAATTTCAAAATGCCTGTTGCTCTTTACATTGTGTGTAAATTTCATGATGAATGGATCAAAAGAAACGTTCCAAAATGACTGAAACATGTCTGGTTCCATTGACTTACATTAAAAGTAAAGCCGTTTTTTTCCTTTTCCTGTAAAGTTATCATTTTAGAGATACGAGGTTTTCTTCTGACAGCAGCGATATGCATGATAAATACTGATAAATCATATGTTTTGTAAAATTATCACATTAAATAATACATAGCCTAAAAATATTATTAATTATTATTATATTATAGTCTTAATCCAACTTTGCATTGTTATGGTAAATGTTTGGAAGTTGGTGAAGTTATTCTCTGTCGCTTCTTCTCTAAAACCTATTCAGAAATCGCTGCCTATAGTCGACTGAATATAGACCAAACAACATGCATCCATTTTTCAGGGATGTTTGAAATTTGGAACCTCAGCAAAATAAATAACACCCAGTTAAGCCATCATGGAAAGATCAATTGGATCATCAAGATTTTATTTAATTACGTTAAGAAAGGATTGTTTTACTGTGTTTGAAAGTTTTGTTGATTTTCAATCAGGATAGAAGAAAAGTTCAGTTTTCAGTCACCTCAGATGCCGAAGCACTGCACTTGTCCGATCTGGAGAATAGTTTCTGAGTACACCTCCCCCCAAGAGCAAGACCAGACCGGGTCCAAACGATTTTGAGACTGAGTCAAGGCCGAAGCCGTTAATTTTCGGTCTTGGGTCCCACAACACCAGTAATTTCATCATAACAATGTAATAACACAGCGATTAAACAAACAAACCAAATATGTCTTAGCGGTCTATTTTAGGCTTATAAGACATAATTTTAAGCTGTTTCTGGACATTTGGGGGTCCCAACCAGCACAGTCATATCATTTTGAGAGCGAGAATAAAAAATATTTCCATATTTCAATAAAACAAGGTTAATAAACTCTAAAGTAAACACAATAGAACAATAGCTTAATTAACTGTACACTGGGGAAATAGAATCTTAAAACAACTAAATTGTTTCAAACAATAAATAATAATCAAAGTATAAAAAATACAGTTAAAATAAATGAACGTGTGTTTGTGGTTTGTGTTTATTCTGCTTTTGTTGTTTTCTTCCTGAAACACAGTCGCTGCCCATAGTGCTGTCCTTCTGTCAATATCAATAGACAACAAAACATAGTTGTGGGGCCCCCTGGTGCCTCAGGGCCCTGAAGCAGCTGCTTATATTGCTTATATTAAGGAACGATCCTGGTAGCCACCTTTGCCTTTATGCAGCTTTTGGCATTCTCTCAAGCAGCTTAATGAGGGCGCCGTAATTTAATCACGAGTCTTTAGGTCAAAATGTCTTATGACATGAAAAACACACTATTCATTCAGGGAGGCACAAACTTTTGACTGGAGCTTAAATGGGGAATTCCACCAATTTTTCAACATTTGTGAATAATTAAATGGTCATTCAGAGTGGTTTGTTGTGATAAGGCTCGTTGTGAATTGTGATGTTTTACAGTGGTGGTGATCGCAACCAGGGGTCATAATGTCTACAATGAAAATAAAGACATTTTATTTACAATCCAGAATTACCTGCATGCATCCTCTGAGTTTTTGTGTGTAATGCTAATGATGGTAAAATAGTGATAGTGATGCAAATAGTGAAATAGTGATGCATGTGAAAACGTAAATTTTCTTTGGGGACTATTTTGCCTTACTGCACATACCCCTCCACCATGAATGGATTCCTGGCCAAAAGCTTCTCAAACCTATTATAAAGACAATGTCTCAGGCATCAGGCAGCATATTCATAACTATCTTATGTAATAACTTTCTGTGAGGTCAAGCTTAGAGGCATTAAACACTTCAGATGTCTGGTTCCTATCACCACCACTGTGAACTGTCCTGACTCAGTACGTTTCTCTATAATTCATCGCTTTCCATTAAACCACTCTGAATGACTTTGTGTACATAACCATTTGAAATTTTAAAACATTGATGGAATACCCCTTTGAAGCAGTGTTCAGTCCTCTTGTTTTAAAAAACACTTCTCATTCAATTCAAGCAAGAATCAGATTTCTCCACACTACACTTTAGAAATGAAGGGATAAGGAGTAAAATTAATAGGCACTCCCACATATGTGGTAAGTAAGGGGTTAAAATTGGGGGATGGAGGCAGGCCAGGTGCAGGACAGCCCAACCTTCTCCCTACACCTGCTCTATCTACACCACAGGTCCAGAAAACACTGAACACACTGCGTATCTGTCATATAGGAGACCACTTTGATCTCATTTAAACGGCTAGTTTTGTGATTTCTTTATTTTTGTCCTCACAGGGACGCTGACCTGCAACCAATGGATACGTAAGTGCAGCTTTCTACACTCTTAAACAACGAGGCCAAAAAGATGTTTTACTGGGGCCATGCCATAGATATACCACTTCTGGTTCCTTAAAGAACCTTTCAGTGGATGGTTTCTTGGAGAACCGTTCTACACTTATTAGTTTTATTAGTTTATAAGTTTTTAACTTGTACGTTTTTTTTTCCTAGAACCGTATATCTGAGCCAAGAACCAATTAAGAACCTGTATTTGAAAGAGTGTTCTGTAAAGGCACAGATGCCTAACCCAACACTCTTAAAATCAGAGGTGCAAAAAAGGGTTCTTTGGAGAACTTTTTGTAAATGAGATGTGCGAACCTTTCTAGGAAGAACCCTTAAACTGTTTACATTGTATAAGGGTTCTTAGAGCTTCTGAAGGGTTCTTCATGCTCACAGATCTCTGTACCAAACATGGTTCTTTAGTGAATCAGTGTTTTTTTAGGGCATTGCTCACAGGACCCTCTGCGGCATCTCCTTAGAGTATAACCCAACTGTATTGATGTTAAATTGGATTTTGCCTCTGTTCCAGAAATCCAGCGAGTAGGAGTTCATTATGTCATAATTTGAAAATATGCTTGCAGAGATTAAACAGATTAGAGTTTGAGGTCATGCTAAAATGGCTCTCAATTTATCAAGAGTATGAATTCTAAAAAAAAAGGCTCTAAATTAATCAAAAGATCAGGATGTGCTGACGCCGCTAACTGCACTACGTGCATTTTACACTGTACAATCATTACTGTCACTTTAACATCTAGTTGGATGCATAAAGATTGCTGGCAGCATCTTGCTGTTGGTGGAAAGGGGGTCATTTACAGTGTGATCACTTTACATTAGCAAAAATCCCATCGGAATATAATCCTTTAAAAACAAGGGATTAGGATTACAGGATGTAGACACGTCCCAGATTATGAGCGATGGACAGGCTTTTTTAGTGCAAGCGCTTTGCTCCCCCAGCCACGTCTTGATATAGATCATCTTAACTTGTGCTTCCCGTTCACTACCTGCACGGCGTAATAAGAGACGGACGGCTGAAGCAGCACATTAAGGCCAAGCTTTCAGAAAAGAAGTAAAGAGAAGTTCAGCCCTTTTGAGTTCTGTGTCCACAGACAATACTGATCTCATCCTGCCTTGATGGACATGTGTTTTTAAAAGGGAAATCAAGCTTCAAGTTTCAAGTTTATTTGTCATTTGCGCAACATGTCAGGACATTCATGCATTGAAATGCTTGTGGCGAGGCTCAGATAATCACTCTACAGAAAATAAACAAGTAAAAATAAAAATACAAGAAAACACTGAAACTGAAATATATTATATAATATTGATATATAATATAATATACACAAAATATAGAGACAGGGGGGACCTATGTAAGGATGTAAGGGAAAAACAAAAATAAAATAAAAATCCTCTCTGCTATGTACAAATATATTTATATTATACAAGGGATAAGGGATAATCTGTGAAGAATATATACATTTTAAAGTGACTTGAGGGACTCAAATTGAGTGACTTTTATCTTTTTGCATGATTAAATTGTTAAGACGTAAATCAGAGTGTGACATTTTAGAGAAGCATGCAGAGTCAGAACTGTTCACAGTGACGGTGATAGGAACCAGACTTCCGAAGCATTAAATGGCTCTAAAAGCTATTTCACAGAAAGCTATTACATGAAATGGATACATGCGGCTGATGGCAGAGACACTGTTTCACAATAATTCTGTGTTAAACTTTTGGCCTAAATCATTTTTAAAAATACATTCATGGCAGAGATGTTAATGCAGGGCGTTGTAAGGCAAAACAGTCCCCAGAGGAAACATTTTTTTGTTTTTTTAGCACCATTTTGCCATTATTAACATTGCATATAAAAGAATATGTGTAGGTTTACTTGTCATTTCGGTTAGCAAAGAAAAGTACCACAGTCGTATGCAAAAGTTTGAACACGCCTGGTCAAATTACATGTTTTGTTGGTTTTTTAAGTAAAAATAAGACTTAAATATGGCATGTTTAAACAAACCTCAGTGCATAATTATAATTAATTTGCTGAATTTAAGATATTAGAAGTAAAACATAACATATAAAATGTGCCATCACTTTTCCACAGGCCAATTGTTTTTCCAATGTGTTAAATTCAGCAAACAAACAGTAATCGTGCATTAAATTGTGCAGAAGTGTGGAATTTCACTGGGGTGCCCAAACTTTTGCATGACTGTATATTCACATTGTAGATACTGCCACCCATGATTCCTGTCACCACCACTGTAAAGAAAATACATATAGGTTTCTCTACAGTGCATAGCTTTGTTTACATGTCAATGATGGAATTATGCAGAAATTTTGAAAAATCGGTGGAATTCCCCTTTAAGGACAGTCTATGTTGTTGGCTCCTTAAAAGCCCCTCTCTTGTTCTATGCAAACACTCGAAACAACTTTAAAGGAATACCCTCACCAAAAATGCTAATGTGGCTAACAATAAATGGAAACAAGCAGCCACCAGTTTAGCATAATGCTATTTTCATTATGCTAACTGGTGGCTATTCGTTTTCATTCATTGTTAGCAACATTAGCATGCTTGATTGAGCTGTTAATTTGTAATCCACTTCAAAACCAGACTAATTCTGATTAAAGAGCTCTGCTAATAACAAACGAAGACCAGTGGTGTTTGACGTGTTTAAGCACACATTGCAAAGCAGTTCAGTTCCAGTTGAGTTCAGTGCTGCATTTTCTTTTATCTGATCTTGGACAGAAGTTACACACCTTACACCAGAAGGGTGGACAGGAGTGCCCTGGAGCCAAAGTCACTGGACAGTGACCTTAAGAAGTAAGTAGTCATACTTTAGAATCTTTATTTATATACTGGTAAATACATAAAACTCACACCTTTGACCTCTGCTGTCTTTCAGGGGCATCGTTTATGTCAAAGAGTACGTAAACACGCCTGGGCTGCCCACATACAACAGCAGGTAAGATGAATGGAATTCTTATGTATAGAATAATGATTAGTTGATATATCTGACCAAAGCAGGTGGCCTTCAAGCTAGATTCCACAGATCAAACCTAAATTTAAAGGGCCGATACCATGGAAAACTGAAATTTTCTTCCTTAACCTCTTATTCTCCAGGGTATATTTTGGTTTGACCAAATCGTAAGGCAAATTATTCAGTAACTGCATGAAATAAATGTACATTTTTATTTATTATTTATTTTTTTTAATAAGCTCCCCTCAAATGAACAGAACATGTGTTTTATGATACACATATTGCTATATGCTTACAATTTACTGCTGAAAGCCAAAAATCTTAGACACTCTTTGTATTATTTTATAAAAATAATTTTAACAGAGCAGATCACTGAAGAGACGCCATCTGTTTACAGTTTATAGCCCAGATTTGTGGAAAAATGGGTCGACTTTCAGTAGAAAAAAAAAAATTGTGAGTTCAGCTTCTTTTATTATAAGGGTTTAAAATTACATCACCCGTCTATTTGACTGGAAAGAAGACAGTTACAGCTCTCATATGACCCCCCAGCTTTAGAATGTAGCTTATGAAATATGAAAGTTATGAAGAATATGATGAAGTGTGTTTTGGAACCACTGGTGATCTCAAGGAGTTGAAGAGGTTACAAAAAAAAATGTAATGTGTAACACAGTTGAAGTTTTACTCCTCAGCACAAATTGTCCACATATGGAAACTGATCTGATGATTCTGAATTCATTGGTTTTTGTGATGTCACACTTGCATATATTCACCCTGTCCATCCGTACTGAAGTTATAAGGTGCGTTTCAGCCTGGACTGCTTTTTGAGTGAGGCACAGTACAGGGAAACCAGAACAGAGGTCATTTACATACATCAGTCTTAAAGGCACAGTAACGAAAACAGTCTGCTTAATTCTAAAGTTTGGGAAATGGTCATGTAAAAATAAATTGTGGCTGTTTTTGGTGTATTAAATTGCTGCTTTTTAAATAATCGACCTTTCAAAAAATGTACAAATGCAGGGGTGGACAAAATACAATACTTTAATATTTATATGAACAGATTTGAGTAAAAGTACAAGTGTCCTTTCTACATTTCTATTTCTATACATACTTGCTTATAAAGGTAACAAACGTAAAAGCACTTTGAGTTATTATATTTCATGTACAATGTTATTTTAATGAAAATGTTGTATTAAGGAGACCGGTGTGGCTGCAGACATGAAATAGCAAAGCATATTCCACAAAAAATCTGCATCTGAGATGCCATGACAAGTTTTGCAAAGCAGAGCAGGACCAGATCTTAATGGTCAGTGTTCTGAGGTGGAGGTTCAACATGACATCACACATCATATAAAAGAATAGACTCGTCCTTATTGTGCTTCTTTAATTCTTCCTAACCAGCCTGTGAGCAACTTTAGCAAATACCTTTAACAATGCAATTAGCAAATACATCATATAGCTACAGTTGTGAGGGGCACCTGTCCTCTACTTTTAAGGGTACGTTTTCAGCAAACCTCTGGCGTATATAGGGGATGGTACATATGCCAAAAAATTAATATTTAACTCCTAGGTAAATATTTATTTGCAAATGCAAGCAAACCTGTCCTACGGTGAAGCCCTGTGTGTGCACGCTCCAGGTTCATTTTACCCACCCTCTTTTTTGATTGGTTACCTTGTGAAAAGTGACACATGACCAGCGCAGCTTTTTGGGTGAAGTTGAACATTTTTCAAATGTGGGAAAAACGTGGGAAAAACCACGTTCCACAGTTTAACAACAGGAGCCCATTAAATCCACATCCTACCCTAGGATATAATGGTGTTTTGAATGCAGCTTTAAATGTCTGCAGTTTCCAGGTCTTTGTAATCATCATCGGGGAAATATATATATATATATATATATATATATATATATATATATATATATATATATATCGCTGCTGTCTGAACAAAACCTTGTATCTCCATTTTCCATTTTTGTCGTTTTTCAGTTTTTGACAATTTATATATTATATATATTACTCAAATGAATATATATGTATGTATATATATATATATATATATATATATATATATATTTAAGCTCATTCACAAGCAAGTACTTTTGTACTTTTACTCAAGTAGAAATACTGACAGTACTTGTACTTTTACTTAATAATATTTTAAGAGTACTTTTCTTTATACTGAAGTATACAAGTGTTTGTATACAAGTACTTTGTCCACCACAGCACAAATGCCTGTTAATCATTTAAACACAAGAAAAAATGTGGACACTTTGACTTTTACAAAGGAAACCAACACTACTGCTCTTAGATCAGCATAGAACAGTATAGACTTACTGAAACGTGGCTCTGAGTTCAAACGCACCTTCCAGCAGGCAGCGGAGCGCTGAACAACATGAGAATAAAACATGCCAATGCGCAACTGTACTAATCATATCACCAAAACACAAAGCAATTGTAGCGGCTATTGTGTTCAATTTGGCGGTGCAGTGGACCGAGCAATATAACGAGCGGGGAATGAAGCTATCATCTTGTATTAAAAAGGCCAATGTGTGTGTTCTCGCCCACAGCGACTTGGATTATGTGACCTCGGCCAGCTCCAACTATGCATACAGCAGCCCCTCCAGGTAATATACACGACTACCTAGGTTAATGAAGACTAGCCCGAGGCCTGAAGGATCATATTACACAGGCTGTTTTGCTGGATGACAAAAGTTCTCTCAAGCATTTATGAAACGCAGAGGACTCTGAATATGTAATATCACTGCACTCAGAATCTGACAAACAATTGCAATCTCAATTTTCTATTCTGTGCAGCAGTGCAGCTAATGTTGGAAGCTGTGCCCTTAGTGAATGAGTAAATGATGAGATGTGTATTAGAATTAGTCCTGATTTTTGTGATGACCTCATATTTTCTGATCACCAGCACAAACATGACCGCCTGCACATACTGTGGTGGCCCCGTAGGGAATGACGCCAAGATCACCATCGAACACCTCAACATCTCGTGCCATCCTGAATGCTTCAAGGTATTTTTCAGTGTAGTATTTATACAAACTGCGACTGTCCAAACAAAACAAGCATCTCCATTATTTTTCTACATGATTTGAGCACAAATTTAATGAAGAATGGACCAATAGAAATGCTCTAAAATTGCTTATAAATTAATCTGTTTACATTAACTTGCCTTTTCCTGTAAAGTTGCTGTTTTGCACTTAGATGGCACCAATATTTTTATTCAAATTTTGCATGGTGGTTAAAACATTCATGGCTTATTCCATCTCAGTTCACTTAAAGGGAGATTCCACCAATTTTTTTTTACAAAATTCAGTCACTGAGATGTAAACAGTCATTCAGAGTGGTTTGATGTGAGCTGGAGTTTTTAAACACTGTCCACTCACTGTCCACTCTATTAGACACTCCTACCTTGTCAGTCCACCTTGTAGATGTAAAGTCAGAGACGATAGCTCATCTGCTGCTGCACAGTTTGTGTTGGTCATCCTCTATGGACAATGAGCGTAGAAAGCGTATGGTCCTAATGTTATGCCTGATCGGTGTATATGGACATGTTTATTTTGTTTCAAGATTGGCATATGAAGTGTATCTAAAATCAGTTTCAAAGTCAGAAATCGCTACTTTTTACATGATCAACCTTTCAAAAAATATGTGATTGAGCATGCTTTCTCTTATAGCCAGAGTGAATCTGCAATCATAATGCAATTTTCTTCTGTACTGGGATGAATTTCTGACTGAAAAATACGATCAGAGGGTCTCTAGCTGAACATTTCCTATGGATGATAGGAGGGGGGGGTGAATTTTTTTTCCAATATATTACACTTAAATTAATAGAAATTTTGCACTAAGATTAGCAGGACAATAACATATTTACGTTTGCTCCCTGTGGAGGATGTGTGTTGCTTCCACTTAGAAAATCAACAAAACATCATTTGACAGTAGCTGCCCAAACACTGGCATAAGACCGTATTAGACAATCAGAGACTCACAAAGTTTACTACATTTCAAGCAAACATCACAGGAAAACAAGAATTTTCTCTTTGAAATTATGAGATGAATCATGCTTAACCCTTGTGATGTGTGTGTTACTCAGTGGTCTGCTGGACCCACCACATTATTGGTTATTAAATCAATACAGCCATAACAAAAATACCAGATGTTTAAAATATCATGTGTCCAGCGTAGGGTTCTCCTTTAGCAGCTGTAGCCAGTCAGCAGCCTGTCCATGTTGTCCACCCTCTTACACACACACACACACACACATATATATATACAAACACATACACACACACAGACACACACACACTAACAGCAGGCCATGTAGGGGGAGAACAGAGTGAAGGACACAGCACCTCCACACTTTTACTCCCCGCAGGTTCAGCCCAACACCACATGTGTAATATGAATGTGTGGGGGGTGAACAGAGTGAAGGCACTGAAAATGGGTTATTTTATATGTTCTTCACAGAAAATGAGCAAAGGCCAAGAATCTGAGGCTGAAATAATAATAAATCACATTATTTTTTATTTTGGTAAACATTAAAAAAGGGTCCCACAGACCCCCCAACACCACACAAGGGTTAATATAACAAGGCAAATGAACTGATATGGTAAAAGCCATAAACTGTGATAAGTTTAATTTAATAATATTCAGAAGTAGCTCAATTCTAGAGTCCTGACTAGAATTTTAAACTCATTTCCTTCTTTCCCCCCCACAGTGCGGCATCTGCAGTAAACCAATGGGTGATTTTCTCCACAGCATGTTTTTGCACCGCGGGACAGTCCATTGTGAAAGCTGCTATGCTAACGTACTTTAGTCTTCCTTCGTCACCACTGTGCTGAATGTTAGTTACCAATGTAGACATCTCGAGACATTTTTAAGTCCTGGGAGTTTGTCCTTTCTGATTATTTAGAAATGAAATATGTTCTCTATATGAATTCTTCCTCGTTCCTTCAACAACTTGTTACTATTCCTGTTGTTTAACATGATTCTGATGCATTAAATGTGTTTGGTGGTAAAAATGGAATCATTTAGTTTCAGGGTTTTTACTGTTTTCTAGCATCTTAAAGATGAAAAATTAAGAAATTTGAAGTATCAAGAATGAAATATCATTTTTTTTGCTGTTGTTTTAATCCTTTGAAGCCGAATATTTTTCTAAAACTGTGAATACATTTACTTGAAAATATCTATTGTATTTCTTTCATATAGTTTAACAGAATATCAGCCAAACGGCAAATAAAAGTTTGTGTATATCCTCTTTTTATTTGTGTTGTCATTCCAGCTTACAAAATATGCAAAGTACAAAAAGAAATATAAATATATAAATACTTCATACTCAAAATGTTTACATATGTGCACATTTGAAAGGCTAAAAAGACCTGCAAGACTTACAAAACCTGAACAGTTACTCAGTCATCTTGTATATTAGACATGAGCAGCGGCTGAATCTGAATGTCAGGTTCGACAGCCTGACAAATATATTATTCATAAATCACAGAAGGACTTGTTCGTAACAGCTGCACTGATAAATGCAAAACCAGAATGATTCTGTTCCTGTGCTGATCGTGTTCTAAGGTGTCTGCATATAAACATGGATTAAACAAACCCTGGTGACTTCGTGAACAATGTAAAAACGCAAACTAATTACATTCAGTTATGCATATCAGTTCTGAACATGCTGAACATGGATGCCTTCAGACAGAACATGATGTAGAACCTGCTGTCGTTCTCAGCGCATATGCTCGTGTACACGTTGAGCATTTTTAATGTGGTAAGATTGATGACCAACTTACCTGACTGACCAAGAGATTTTCACCGAGTGTGGACAGAACCGTAGTTCTACTCAAGCGGAAAAGATGAACCTTAAGTGGTTTCGATATTTTGGCTTTGGCCTCAGTGGGCGTATTTTGGCACAGAAAAAGTCCTCCATGATTTTAAAACGCTGCCCCTGCAGGAGGCCATGAGGTAAAATACTCCCCTGGAGAGGCTCTCGTGTCATTGACCGCTGCCTCTCCTCATAGCCATGCTGTGAATGTGCTGCCATAGCAGCGTGGGGTCAGACTCATTGTGGCTTATCAGTGACACCAGACCCTCCGCCTGGTCCAGGCTCTGCCAGTAGTCCTGCGGCCACATCTGAAGCCAGCTAAACACAAACACAGGATGTTTATGTTCATATTCACATTTTCATGCTACATGCTTTACATCAGGGGTGTCAAACTCAACCAGTAAAAGGGCCATAATTTAAAAAATGGGTCAGAGAAAAAAAGCTTTTACTTCATTTTTAATTAATGCTGTGCTGTAAACCAAACTGGCCATTGTTTATTCAAAATATGCAAAAACTTCAACTGCAAAATACAGACACTTGTAGTAGACCTTGAAATATTACATGGACAAATGTAAATGTCCTCAGGTGCTCGGTCTTTTAAACCTACCTATTTAATTGAACTAGACTCCTGGCATCCTTTCTTTGCTGCAAGCTTAATAAGACTTGGGCTCAGTTTCTGAGCTGCTGAACTAATGTGGAGTATTTATGTTGGTTGAACTGAAGCTGAAATGCATTTCGGTGATATGACTGGTGTGGAAATGCACAAAATTGTGTAGAATTGAGGTGTAACCGCTGTCCCATAGATTCTTTTTGGGGTAGGAGAGTTGGAGCACATTACATTGCAGTGCATGCTGAGGACCACAGTGCAGCACTTTGTGAAACAGGCTAATATTAATAGAAAATTAAAATAATTTTGTGGGCCAGACTGGCCTGATCGGCTGTGTTTGACACAGATTTTTTGTGCAGTTTCTATTAAACCTATTAAATTGCAAGGGCCAATATGTGGCGGGACAATTTGTCATCGGTATTGATTTCAAGAAGTTTTAAATCCTGATAACTTACAAGGTGATATAACTTTATGTGCAATCATTTGAAATGGTTTGTATGTACTTGCTCTTATTTTTGCATCTGTTGTCTTTACATAAAGGTTTTAATGTTATAACATGTTGCCCTTATGCTGAACGTTAGGTTTGCGCTATACATGCTAGTTCGGCAGGACATTTAGTGCGCCTATGTAGTAAGTGGAGCTGATAAAATGGACAATGAGCTTAGAAACAAGGAGGTGGTCACAATGTTAGGCCTGATCAGTGTGTGTGTATATATATATATATATATATATATATATATATATATATATATATATATATATATATACATATCATTCTGACATCAAGAACCGACATGCTGATGAAATCTGATCTGACTGGTCAGTGTTGCATGTCCAGAATGCGATTTAAATCAGATCTGAAGACACAATAAAATGTGGCTTTTTTCATTTTTGGCTTTTTGCCATTAAATTAAATTAAAATTAAATCTGTCCTGCTTGAATCAGATGCTGAAAAAACAGATCTGAGCTGTCCGAGTAAAGCCTTAGTAACTACCGAAAAATAACACTTAAGACTAATAGCTTTAAATTAAGCCCCAGGTCTATGAAGTCTATGAAAATGGCTGAACTTACCCATCATTGGGGTCAATCTCTTCTATGGGTCCATAGCCAGGGCTAGGAAGTGGGCAGCCCATATGGCTGCTGTTGGCCATTTTGGGCTGGGGTGCAGGGTACTTTGCAGGGTCCCGGCAGTGAGCTTTCATGGCCGCCAGTCGCTCGTTCTCCCGGTCGCACACAAAACACTCAAAACCATTCAGGTAATTGGGCTTACTCATGTCATTGACACCCCACTCTCTGTTCTGGAGCCCATCCAGGAGGCGGATGTTGGTGATCTTGCTGGGTGTCTTGTACTCCAAGTAGCGCAAATACTCCTCATCATCCTGATCCAGAGTTTTGATGAACTCAGCTAGTTCTTGTGGGGAGGCGAAATCGTCGATGAGAATGGCAGAATGGGCATTTGGAAGCCAGTCAGCTACGGAGGATGAGCCCCTGTAGATGGGCACGCACCCTTGGTGCATGGGCCGCCACAGTTTCTCAGTCATATAATCGGGACACAGGCCGTTCTCCATGGCGAGGTGGAACTTATAGCGGCCGACAAAGCTCATAAACTCTCGGTCCTCACCAGTGGCAGTGCTGGTGTCCTCCAAATGCTCAGGTAGAGGCTTGTTATTGAGACACTTCCCGTAGGAGTCCACCTACAAAGAGAGACAGCAGAAATACATATCCATCTATGTTAGCTGAATCCTCTTGTATAAATTTGACCTCTCAGTCTTATTTCCCTTCACTTCATCTTTCACCATCCCTTTCATTCTCTGCCATGCTAACATGGGTAGTGCTTTTTGAGATTATATAAACCTAATTCCAAAAAAGTTGAGACAGTTGGTAAAAAATGCAAATAAAACAGAAAGCAGTGGCAACTGTAAATCTATTTTGACCAGTATTTGAATGAAAACAGTACAAACACAAGATATGTAATGCTTTATCTAATCAATTTCACAGTTTTTTTTTTGTAAATATATGCTCTTGCTGAAACTGATTCCTGCAACATGTTCCAAAATAGTTGGGACAGAATCAACTTAAGACAAGAAACATTCAACTGGGGATGAAATCATGCCTGGGTATAAAACGTGCATCCAGGAAAGGCACAGACCGTTATGAGCGAGGGTGGGTCAAGGCTCACCACTTTGCAGAATAAATAATAATAAAAAAAAAATGCATCAGTAAATAGTCCAACAGTTTAAAGATACTGTTCCTCAACGAGCGATTGCAAGGATTTTATGTATTTCACCTCTACAGTGTATAATAACATGAAAAGACACAATAAATCTATAGAAACATCCCGTGACCTTCGGTTCCACAGACAGCAGTGCATTCAAAAACCTGCATGCTTCACCACATAGACTCAGGAATGCTTTCACAAACCACTGTCAATAAACAATACCCTTTGTTGCATCCACAACTGAGTTAAGATTATACCGTGCACAGTAGAAGCCACTTGTCAACACCGGCTGTGTTTACATGAAAAGATTTTTGACGATCTGACTGAATACATTCCCATTACAGATTAAGACTGAGGTGTTTTTATGCTCACTCTACTCAACAATCAGATGGAAAATCTCAGTTTTCATGCTCACTACAAGTAATCAGATCCAAAATTACACATTGCATGCGTAGAGAATCATTTAGTGTAGACGTAACCATGACAATGAGCATCACGTGAGTCCAGTCAGAGTGAGATGAGCAGCAGTGAGCAGTGCTTGTGTTTTTAACTGCTTTAAAATGATGTCAGACTCAGGAAAACGTCCTTCACATGTCCTTATTAAAGAAGGCCGAGAGGAAGACGTCGTGTTCTGAGACACATAAGCTGGACGTCCGTCCCACCGCCGTCTTTTAAAGACCGGAGCAGAAACTGGTCTGTGTAGGAGACATGTTGAACGGTATAAACTTTCACTATGACACGACGAACATTATCAGAACGGACTTAAACTTTCTGATTGGAAATGTAATCAGATACAGGTGTTTACATGGATATTATTCTTCTATTTAACGGATTATTTACAGGATTACTCACCTCGATTGTTACCATAAAGTTCAAAACCCAACGTCTCTCATAGTACGAGAGGTTTTTAGTGGGCAACTTGCACATCTGTGAAAGCACCTTTAATGCTGAACACAGTTGGGAGCAACATATGCTGCTTTTTAGACACTGTCTTTTTCAGTTACATCCCTGCTTATTTTAACATGACATGCTGAGCTACATACAGTGTTACAACAGCATAGCTCTGTAAGCAGCGTGTGCTGGTGCCAGACTGGCCTCCCTGTAGTCCAGACCTGTCAGACAGAATTTACTAATCACTGCTTTTGGTTATATTAGCATTTCACATACTCTTTTTAAATCGGGTTTGTATGTCATGCACAGCGGTGGAGAGCCAGAACATGAGGAGGACCAAGATTACAACCGCAGCAGCCAGTATTCCCAGAACAGAAAATCTATTTCATGAAAAAACCGAAATATTGATCGTTCACACAGAAACTCAGAGAAAAATGATTTATGAGAAACTCGGTTCTTTAGCTTCTTATAGCAAACCTGAAGTACGACTCCTGGGTGTGATCTTAGACTCTGAGCTCTGTTTTATGTGCATGTAAACACAGTCACTAAAGCAGCTTTTTATCATTTGAGAAAATCACTAAAGTTCAGCCTTTTTTCTCTCAGAGCAACTCAGAGAAACGTGTTCATGCGTTTGTTACAAGCAGAGTTGATCACTGTAATGATCTTCTTACTGGACTTCCTAAGAATACAATACATCCCTTACAACTGCATACAAAATGCAGCAGCATCCTAACAAAAACAACACAAAGAGATCAGATCACTCCTGTTTTAAAAGAGCTGCACTGCCTGTCTGTATTGTTCAGGATAGATTTTAAAGTTCTGCTACTAGTTTTTTAAGCTCAAAATGACCTAAAAGCACTGCTTACATCACAGAGTGTCTGTCTGTTTATGTTCCAGCACATAATCTGCAGAGAGTGGCCTCCTACAAACACCTTCTGTAAAATACAGAAAACATGGAGAGACTCATTCAGTTATTCTGCTTCTAAACTGTGGAGCTCAGTTCACCTTTTATTAGACACTCAAGTTCAGTGCTCACTTTTAAGAAGCATCTAAAAACGTCTCTCTTTAACTCAGCATTTAATTAAAACTCTATGTCTCGTGGTTTTTATCATCTACTTTGATCTTTCATTTTCTTCTGATTCTAAATAAATACTAATGATTTCTTGTATAACTGTTTTATCACCTGTCTATAAAGCACTTTGAGCTGCCACCAGCATGAAAAGTGCTATAGAAATAAAAATGATTATATTATTATTATTATTATTATGTATCCTCCAGAGAAAATAAGTTGTGTTTTTAGAGAAGAACCTTTAACATTCTACTCACTTGGAGGACAAAGAAAATTAATGAAATAAAGAATGAAAGGATAACATAGGGCAAACTATGGCTACTAAAACGGAAACTAACTCACTGGACGTTCCTCCACAAAACCCTCCCCAAAGTCAGATAAAAGCTGAAACATTTACATTAGGCTGGATACCCCAGTAACGACTCCTCAGCTCCTCAGAGTCTGTCCGAAATTCACAGCGAAGATATCTGTGACTCACAAATACCTTCTGACTGGTGACTGATTGTTGCTCTGGAACCAGACAAGATTCTGAACAATAAGGACAAATGTGAGAAAACAGGTGTCACACCTGACCTGCATAACTGACTCCAGAACAAAGCCATTCACAGCAGCACCATGACGCTTCCTGGGAAGACAAATGATCCATCACCAAGCCGGTAAAGCTGAGCAGCACACTCATTCTCTCCTTCAATGGCTGCAGATGAGAAGGCTAGCATAAATGCAGGAAAGCGACCGTCCCACCTGACCCGCACAACCTCCAGTGCCGTTCCACCTCAAACATCTTCACGCCAGCACCAAAGACAGAAGTCATGGGGTAGAACCTAGTGTTGCAGTCTAGACCTTTAGAAGTGAGGACGAGTCAAGACTGAGACCTGAGTGAAAGAGCCTGAGTCAAGACCGAAATTGGGTGCGGTGAGACAGAGACCAGATTGAGATTTTTTTTTTTTTCAGAATATAAAAATAAATTAAGAATAAATTTGCTTATAATTCACTACTTATTAATTATTATTCCTTATACATATGTTAAAAATATTATACTTTATAATACATTTATTAAAATTACATTAAATAATAAACAGCCTAAAATTCTGTTTATTATTACTATGTTATAGTCCAACTTTGCATTGTGAGGTTATTATCTATTTCTTCTTCTCAAAAACTTAGAATTCATCACCTAAAGTGAACTCAAAACACAGTATCAGAGCAAGAAGGGGAGCTTGTGAGGTAAGCCACAAAGAGGTCAACGTTTATTTTAAAGGAGCTACAGAGTTCAGCAGATAAGGTCAATGATATCAAAAGCTCTGCATACAACTGACCTATATGGGAGAGTGGCTAGGGAGAGTTATTACTGAAAAAAAACACATAAAAGCACAGCTGGAGTTTTCCAGAAAGCACCAGAGTAACCAGTTAAAATGCTGGCCAAGGTTCTGTGGTTAGCTGTGACAAAAATGGAGCTTTTCAGCCAAAATTCAAAACTCTATGTGTGGCGCAAACCTAACACTGCCCATTCTGCAACAAACACAATCCCAACAGTGAAGTATGGGAGTGGCAGGTTACCTGTATGAACTTCATCAGCTCCTGGACATAGCGGTCTCGGTCTGAAGGCACATCACAGTGAGACTGCATGTAGAGCACCGGCGCCAGCCCAGCCCGCCTCCAGCGGTTCTTCTCTTGCAGAGAGACTGAGGGAGGCTTGAGGAGGTAGTCCAGTGATGGCAGCCACTGTAAGGTGAGGGGGTAGTCCGACTCCCTCCTGAACGTAGCTGTGTAGTTGAAAAGCCGGATGCCGGGGCTGTGTGACAGGACATAGTTGTTCATGGGCGACTCCTCGTGAAATAGAGCCCATGTCTGGTGGGGCAGACGAGGCAGCGGTGCCTCATATGCACGGAAGTCAGTGCCATAGAAAATGATGGCAGTAGTACGGCGTTGCAGCTGGACCTTGCGGTTGCGTGTGACCAGGCAGGACGAGTGGGCGCAGTCCACCCGCTCAGTGTCGCCAGGGAAATGGGGGAAGAGATTGGCGCTCCACCACAGGAGGATGGGTAATTCTTTGTTGCTACGCATGTCACTGTTGCCAGGGCCTCGGTAGGAGCTTACGGTGACAAACTCCATGTCGCTGAGGGCACTTTGGGGCTGGAACACACCCTTGTCCATCATGTCTACTAGCTCTTGGCCCCTGCATGGCACTGTCCATAGCTGCACAAGCCACCATAACAGCACAAGCCCAGTCTGTACTCCTGTCTGAAAAAGGAAAACGGATGCTGGGTTAGTTTCTTGCATGAAAAGGAAAATCACAGTGTTTTTCAATCTAATCTGGATCAAACTGTTAATTACTGCAAACTACAATCTCAATGGAAAAAGCAGATTTCTAATAAAAGCCAGTGGACAGTCGTTAAATGCTTAGAATCTTAGTATATAATGCAACAGTTAACCACCTCAAAACACGTCCATTAATATTTGAGTGATAATTTGAAGCTCTATATGGCAAAAGGTTTATAAAGTTCATATTTCTATTTTAAAGTATTTTTCTACACTAATTCTCATCACAATGTGTTTCTTATTACCAATATTTATCTTTTTTACTAGAAAAGAATGAGCTTGTAATACTTTTATCTGCTGAAGCGCTTCACTTCAATGTTTTTCTTGTAAAATGTGAGGATGTGAACCGAAAGAACAAAATGCAGCATAAGTAAAAAGAAAAATTACAATGACTGTCAAAGTGTTGTGGGATAAGACATCTTATACAGACTGTGAACAGGAAAAGTGCACTAAGCCTCGCTGGTGACATCCCATATATATAAAAATAACACATGGCCACGCCTTATTAATGTGTGGGAACGAGACCCTAATGCGTGGGAATGAAATAATTAAGTCATGGCCACGACTTAATAAGGCGTGGGAACAAGATCATGCCTTACTAAGTCGTGGCCACACATTAGGATCTCGTTCCCATGCCTTACTAAGTCATGGCCACACATTAGGACCTTGTTCCCATGCCTTACTAAGTCATGGCCACACATTAGGATCTTGTTCCCACGCCTTACTAAGTCATGGCCACACATTAGGACCTTGTTCCCATGCCTTAATAAGTCGCAGTCACACAGTAGGATCTCGTTCCCATGCCTTACTAAGTCATGGCCAGACATTAGGATCTCGTTCCCATGTCTTACTCAGTTGTAGCCACACATTAGGATCTCGTTCTCACGCCTTAATAAGTCGCAGCCACACAGTAGGACCTCGTTCCCATGCCTTACTAAGTTGTGGCCACACATTAGGATCTCGTTCTCACGCCTTAATAAGTCATAGCCACACATTAGGATCTCGTTCTCACGCCTTACTTAGTCGTAGCCACACATTAGGATCTCATTCCCATGCCTTACTAAGTCGTGGCCACACATTAGGATCTCGTTCCCATGCCTTACTCAGTCGTAGCCACACATTAGGATCTCGTTCTCACGCCTTACTTAGTCGTAGCCACACATTAGGATCTCATTCCCATGCCTTACTAAGTCATGGCCACACATTAGGATCTCGTTCCCGTGCCTTACTAAGTTGTAGCCACACATTAGGATCTTACTAAGTTGTGGCCATGCATTATTTTTATTTATGTAGAATGTCGCCACTGGGGCTCCGTAAAAGTGCAAAAAAAAAAAAATACAATTAAAATAATAATAAAAAAACAGTTACACATATCCTTAGATCTTACTGCGCTGCCCTAATAAGAATTTGGTCACTTAAATAGGAAAATGGTACTAAAACTCTATTTTAAACAAATAAATCAAGTTTACTTTTAATTATTCCACCGCCCACTGTTTGTATATCCAAAAAAGGAAGCAGTGAGTTTGTCATTGAGAGTTTTTTAAAGTTGGGTCACAGTATTTGTCACATTCGTGAGAATAACCCAAATTCAAAAGCACCACCAAATAAAAGTCCTCCAGGTTAAAACAGAACCCAAAGCCGTGAGCAGCTGATGGTCCTGCAACGCTGCCACTGTGTCACTGTGTCGTTACCATTAAACGGTCAATAACTAACGTTATAAAGCTCCTCACCATTCTTAAGGCCGTCGCGTACCATGAAGCCTGAACTCCTCTGGTGTTTACAGGTCAACAGGTTTAATAAAAGAGAAGAAATTTAACCGCACAGAGTCAGAGGGGAAGGTCTGGACACTGTTCTTCTTCCACGTCCATTTTAAGGGAACTGGATAAGGAATTGTGTCCTCTGTCACCACCTACAGTTTTGGATGCGTTATCGCCCTAAAATGGGATTCTAATAAACTCTTAGGAAATAAACGGGCAAAATATTCCCACATACGAAGGCGTTTTAGGGCCACTGTTAATAAAAATAAAACTAGTAGACGTCGAGAATAAAGTCGTAATATTTAGAGAAAAAATGTCGCAGAATTACGACATTAAAGTGGCATTAATACCAGGAAAGGTCAATATTGTGGCCAAAGGCTAGGCAAACTGAAGGCAGCCCCTCCTCGTGTTAAATGAGGGGCGGTGAGTTGGTGGAGTTCTACTTTCATATCGATTCACCCATAAAGAAACACTCAGTCTCCCTGTCTCTCCTGCTCATCAGCACCAGCCTGTTATTAGTATAAGAACCGGCTGAAACGGCGGAGCAGGAAACTGTGTTTATCTGGAATAAAGAGCCAGACGGACTCGGAGGAAACTGTCTGTCTGTGTTGTTGAAGGAGAATCTCAGGCAGGGTCGTCTACACGGCTATCGGGGCTCCATCTCCACACCATTCAAAGAGGGCATGAAGTTTCACAGACAGTGAGAATGATGATCAAAATGATCCACAGAGAGGCAGGAGTGAGTGGAGCTCCGGCGCCAGGACAGCAACGGGGACCCCAACGCGTTATGGCAGCCCCCCTACAGTACAGCAACCCAGACCCCAACGCGTTATGGCAGCCCCCCTACAGTACAGCAACCGAGACCCCAACGCGTTATGGCAGCCCCCCTACAGTTAGCCCCCCAACAGTTAGCCCCCCTACAGTACAGCAACCGAGACCCCAACACGTTATGGCAGCCCCCCTACAGTTAGCCCCCCTACAGTACAGCAACCGGGACCCCAACGCGTTATGGCAACCCCCCTACAGTTAGCCCACTTTATCCTCCAAATATTACGACTTTTTTTCTCGAAATATTACGACTTTATTCTCCAAATATTGCGACTTTATTTTCCAAATATTACGACTTTATTCTCCAAATATTGCGACTTTATTTTCCAAATATTACGACTTTTTTCTCGAAATATTACGACTTTATTCTCGAAGTCTAATATTTTTATTTTTATTAACAGTGGCCGCACAACGCCTCCGTACCCAAACATTCAGTGCTGACAGATCTCACATAATGCCAGGTTTCTGAGTCTGTTTTTTCCCTAAGTGAGTATTTTATGATAATCTGATAAAACCCCCGCTCGCGGTAGGAATATGAAGCTGAGCTCCGCTTCTTGTCGGAATTTTCCCGTTCCACCTTAAATGGTGAGCGGTTTTTATAGCAACGTCTCGGTCGCCAGAGCGTCACCGCTGCCCATTTAAGGTGGAACGGGAAAAACTCGAACAAGAAGCTGGCGAATGGGAAGCCGACCTCGGCCCTGCAGCAGGAATGGACGTTAGGACCGCGCGCGGGGACGCCGACCTCACGCGCGCATCGCGTCAAAATCACGGCAGCGCGCGGCGACTCGCCACCGCACAGGATGAGGTAACGAAAGAGGGACATTTCAGCCGTTTTGAAGCGAGAGAACAAACCCTCGGCTTCGGTGTTTTGTGGCTGGTCCCGGCCGCCGGTGAGGGAGACCGTGTTTGGGTTCAACTCGGGTTTAACTCGGGTTAAAAGCGTTTATTTCTCCAGAGCGGCGCCGGATGATGTAGCTAAATATGAAGGCTAACATTAGCCGCTCTGAGGTTTACGGCTCGTTTTTGCACAACACGGTGTTAGTAAGGCTGCAGACCGAGATTGTAGATGGGTAAAAATGTTCTATTTTAATCCCAAACCTTCGCTTTGAGAGAGAAACTAGATTAAAAAGCCGAGTTTCAACAGCTGCAGGCTTTAAATACTGCTGCCTGTCATGCCCGTGTGCGCATGCGCGAAAGAGGGAGAGTAGGAGGGTGATAAAATCATGTGTTTTCCTGTTCAGTGCGCTTATCTTACCGACTCGTTGTTGTTTACCTATTATAATAACATTTAGATGTTGATAAAGAGTTGAACCCAGTGCCCAGCTAGAAATGTTCACGCATGTCTCTTATAATCTGTTGGCTCACAGTATGACAGGTAGTTTGGTAAGTAAGGGATCAATACTGTAATGTATGCTAATGAGGCATCCCCCCCCCAGTAAAACAGGCTGAGGTCAGTGATGTCCTCAAGCACTGTACTTAACTAATCTAAACACTTAGAGCCTCAAATCACTGTAGTTAACCAATCTCTGCGTGTCCTGCAAGAGGGAGGTGCCCTGTCCAAAGTCTCAGGGTCATCCACCCAGATAAACAGATGAACATTTCTCAGCCACAGCTGTTTTTTGGTTGAATAAGACCCGCTCTGTTGCGTTCAGCATGCTCGGCGCCCACTTGCAGAAAGGTTAGACTTATTTTTGAGTTGTAACTGTGAGAACCACGGCTGTTTCTTAATCACTTGTCTGCTTTTGTGTGATTTTAGGTTATGTTGAGCCTGCGTGTCACCCAGCCTTCGCTGGCGTCATGAGTGGGAAGAGCCTCCTTCTGAAGGTGATCCTGCTGGGGGACGGCGGCGTGGGCAAGAGCTCGCTGATGAACCGCTATGTGACTGACCGCTTCGACTCGCAGTCCTTCCACACCATCGGTGTGGAGTTCCTAAACCGTGACCTGGAGGTGGACGGGCGCCTGGTCACGCTGCAGATTTGGGACACGGCGGGCCAGGAACGCTTCAAGAGCCTGCGCACGCCCTTCTACCGCGGCGCCGACTGCTGCCTCCTGACGTTTGCTGTGGATGACCTGCAGAGCTTCCAGAACCTGGCCTGCTGGAAGAAGGAGTTCATGTACTACTCGGATGTGCGTGACCCAGAGCGCTTCCCCTTCGTGGTGCTGGGCAACAAGGTGGACAAGGAGGAGCGCGAGGTGGGCGAGGACGAGGCCCGGGCGTGGTGCGAGGAGAACGGCTGCTGCCCATACTTCGAGACCAGTGCCAAGGACGACACCAACGTGAGCGCTGCCTTCGAGGCGGCCGTAAGGGAGGTTCTGGCCAGTGAGGAACAGATTGACCACGCCTTGCTGAGCAGCACCATCGACCTCCACGGCAACCGCAAGGCACCCCGCTCCTCCTGCTGCTGAGGCGCCAGCAGTTACCATGGTGCCTTTGCGGTCGGTGGACCATGCCTGCACACTCGCAAGAGCCGATGGTACGACACGACACGGGGACGGGCATGGGCCGGGCGTAGCCCTGTTTTGGGCGTCACCTTTGGGTTACGTAGCTACAGATGTAACAGAATAACTGTATTTTTTAGGTATGTGTGTCTGCTTTCTGCAATCTGGCACCTATAATGCCATAGTCTACGCTGTCCTTTCCTGCCAAAGGCTCTTGTGCTTGTGCTGTGTTGGGTTTTCTATTGACGCTGCTTTCTTGCCCTGGAGGTCACTGGGCTCCTGTGTTCCTCACAACACTCTGCCGTCCCCAAGAGCACAGTCAGCTTTGTTGCACAACTCATCGCTCTCTTTCTTGCCTGACCTGTCATTAACGTTCCTCTCAGTTTATCAAACAGATTACTTTCCTGCTGTATTGCCAGTCCTTGGTACTATATTTTTGCTTGTTAACCTAACCTCAGAGATATACAGAGTCTCTACTACTGGGTGGCAAAAAGTCAGATTTTACTGAGATATGTATGTGTATGTTGGAGAAAAAGGGAATTATCTTTTAATGTGGTGTTAAGAGTGTGACCAATGTGAATTGTTGCTCACAATTTTTGTTCATATTTTTTCTAGGTACATTGACCTTGAGTTACTCTGTGGTACACTTATTATTATTATTATTATTATTATTATTATTATTTTCAATCTTCGTTTAAGATTCTGTCTGTTGTGTGAATTGGAGTGGTTCTGTCCGTGTGAGACGGAGCGCTGTGTTTTGATCTCGCTCCAGCACCGTCATGTTGGAAATAAGGGCTGTTTTGCTCCCTGTGGAATAGTGAGGGCTCCAAACCCCGAACCTCTTTCACTGAATGACTTTCAGTAGTGTGGATCCACATTTAGTCTTTCATATCAGAGCGTACTGATAGAGTTGGTACTGAGTCGGCACTATTTAGATACCATAGTGTTTAACCATAAGGGGCATTTGTGCTCTGCCAGTTTTTTTTTTTTTTTTTAAGAAGTCAGCAAAAAATACTTGTGACTCATTGCTTCACTGCCTTTTCCTTGGTTGTTTTAGAACGGAAAAATAATTAGCAGTATCAGTTCATTCCCTCAACTCAGTCTAATCTGAATGTGAAACCAACCAAAGCACATTTGCCCTGGCGTTCTGCATTTAATGCCAATTCTCTTTGTAGTGTTACAAAAGGTACTTGTGAACAATCCCAGTTTCTGATTGACAAAAAAAACCCCAGCTTTAGTACTTAATATTTTGATATTATCGAGCTGTTAACATGTTTTTCCTTTTTGCTAAATCATACTGGATATCGACCTGCCTGATACAGTTGTGGTGGTAATGATTTTGATATTTACTAGCGCTGCCTATACGAAGCAAGAGATGTAGCTCCTTCCACTTAAAAGTTTACTGAAGTTTGCTCACTTCCAAGCCTGAACAGCGTTGCATTAACCCAGCGAATGGTTTTCACGTCTGCTCGCTCTTGCATGTAAACGCCACAACAGTTTCTGATACCGTTTTGCCGCTTGCTTATGGTGAGGCTCAACCTTTTATTGCCGGTCCCCATCCACCGAAAACAGCCCTTGCGATGTTTAATGGGAACGGTCACTGTGAAACAGAATCAGTTAAGGCACTGTGCTTTCCCCTAATGTTATGGTACGTAAAGCTATAGGGGTGTTTGTTTCTCTGTATTGGAAAACGGTATTTAACTGCCAGATGCTGATGGTATTTTTAAATTGAAGTACCGAAATAAGCTGCAACAGTGTGTTCACTGTGATTCTGATCTGGTTTTATTACATCTTGTTTGACAGTATTTAATTTGTTACAGGTGTATTGAAAGGAAGGTTCTTGGTACCTGCTTAAATGTAAATCAAAGCTGTCTTGGTCCTGCACACGCTGAAAATGTCTATTTAATGTAATAATAGTTTATAGACTGTTGAATGAGTTTTTATTGACTTTGTATGGCTGCATTTATTTTTTTCGTTTGGACTAAAACCTGCTTTCTGGTACGCTTTGTTAAGCTGTGTTTACTTCCAGTGGGTGATAACTGAACATTTACACTGTGTTCTGTTACAGTGTACACCGATCAGGCATAACATTATGACCAACTCCTCGTTTCTACGCTCATTGTCCATTTTATCAGCTCCACTTACTATATAGGTGCACTTTGTAGTTCTACAGTTACAGACTGTAGTCCATCTGTTTCTCTGATACTTTGTTAGACCCCTTTTATCCATGGACCCTCACAGAGCAGGTACTATTTGGGTGGTGGATCATTCTCAGCACTGCAGTAACACTGACGTGGTGGTGGTGTGTTAGTGTGTGTTGCGCTGGTCTGAGTGGATCAGACACAGCAGTGCTGCTGGAGTTTTTAATCACCTCAGTGTCACTGCTGGACTGAGAATAGTCCACCAAACAAAAATATCCAGCCAACAGCGTCCTGTGGGCAGCGTCCTGTGACCACTGATGAAGGACTAGAGGATGACCAACACAAACTGTGCAGCAGCAGATGAGCTATCGTCTCTGACTTTACTTCTACAAGGTGGACTGACAAGGTAGGAGTGTCTAATAGAGTGGACAGTGAGTGGACAGTGTTTAAAAACTCCAGCAGCACTGCTGTGTCTGATCCACTCGTACCAGCACAACACGCACTAACACACCACCACGTCAGTGTTACTGCAGTGCTGAGAAAGATCCACCACCCAAATAGTACTTGCTCTGTGAGGGTCCATGGGGGTCTTGACCACTGAAGAACAGGGTAAAAGGGGGCTAACAAAGTGTGCAGAGAAACAGATGGACTACAGTCTGTAACTGTAGAACTACAAAGTGCACCTATATAGTAAGTGGAGCTGATAAAATGGACAATGAGCGTAGAAACAAGGAGGTGGTCATAATGTTATGCCTGATCAGTGTATGCATTAGTTTGTCATTTGCACATGAAGTAGTATTCTTGTTTAAGTCTATCACCTATTCACAACCACATAGTATGCTTGAGATGATGTTGAGGGTCAAGTTTCTGGTTATTCATGAGGGCCATCGCTGCCCTGAATGTAAGCAGCGGCATGGCGAGCTGATGTCAGATGCTGTATGTGTTGCACTGGGCATTCATTCACAAACGCTGTACTGACATAATAGAAAATTGCTGTCTCTAATGTCGCAAAGTATTTGCTTGATGTGCTTTGAACTGAGTTCAAGTTGTGTAATGATGCCTGAGAATGGCTGGGCAGCTCCTTAAACGTCCAACCCACTGTCTCCCATCCCCCCCAGCGCAATAAAGGAGGTCAAGACTGCTTTTGTTTACAAACCAAAACTAATTCAGTTTGCGAGTATCCAATGCCAGTGCGACGAATAAACCTTACAACCGACAATGTGTCTTGATTTCTGTGAAAAGAAAATGGTCCAGATCTTTAAATAGTGACAAAAGTTAAGACCCACTGTGTTTTTTTTTACTGGAATTCAAAGAAGTTTTCAAATATTACATATTTTAAGTCATACTAAGTGCCAAAAACATAACCTATTTTCATGCCATCATTAAGGTAACACAAACCATCAAAATCAAAGCAATTTCAATCTTCAGTGTCATTAACATCAGGCAACCTAATATTTTAACGTAAACTCATATGGTTCAACTTAGTTTTAACTCATGTGTGGTTCTGCTTGGCCATCATTGACCTCCAGGGTTGGGAGCATAAGGAGAACAGGCGCTGCCGCTATGATCTTTCAGGAGGCGAAGGCCGAACATGACGTACTGTCTTTCCTCCTCTCTGACTCTCTTCATCAGCCGGTCTTTCAGCAGAAGCTGCCATATGGCCAGACGCAGAGGACAGTGAACCTGTTAAACGGAAAAAGACGCCATCCAGAACCTCCTCACAAACCCTGATGGATTTACAGAGCTGTTCCAGAAGCCTCTCCCACACAAGGGGGAAAAAAACAAACTGAAAGTTGTTTATTTTACTTCATTTATTACCAAAGTCTCCTCAAATCTCTCCTAAAAGAGCCTAATAAGCTAACATGGGGCCAGCCGGCAGGTTAAAGAAAAGAAACCTGGGTTGGGTAAAGCATTCGCAATATTTACAAACATTGTTCTAACAAATGTTGTTAGTAGCGCAAAATCAAAGAATTGATGAATAAAGTAAATCTTCATTAGGATTAGTAAAATTCTAGCTAAATTAAGAAAAAAAAAGTGTTATACAATAACTACTCATTTTCTCCTGATGGTTACAGGGATGAAACTAAAACACAGCTTTTTATGTCTTTCGACATGAATGCTCACCTAACACTAGGGGGCGCCAAAGCATCCATCCAACACAGCTCTCCACAACACAAGTCTCCCTCTGATAAATAACATTAAATGACTGATGCCTTTTGAAATATTAAACATTCCACTCCAGCCTCCATCGATGTTAGGTCTCCAATAAAAAGTCCCTGATATTTTCATACACACAAAACACTAAACCTGCCAAACAGTCTTTACGACACAGCCGCTACAAACAGGAGCCTGAAATCACCCCCAACGCCGAGGACCCCGCCCTCCCTGTATCCCAGTCACAGAAGAGCTCTATTCAACTAGTTGAAAAGTTTTTGCCCTCTTTTTGTCATGGGGTCTTCCCCTGCACGTGGAGCTGACCCTGGGTGCTGGGCTTGTAACAGGGCCCTCCTCCAATTGGTCCTTTCACTAAGCGGGCCGGCCTCTTTTATTCTCAAGACTGTGAGAAAAAAGAAAGTGCTGAGGTCACAGCAACTAGACACACATTGGTTTGTCTGGCACCATGGCAACCAGATGTGAAAGACGATGTGTCACCATAGTAACCAGTCATCAGCAACATGAGAGGCCTGTTTTTTGGTGCACCCCAAGCAAAGAAAAAGAAAAGTAAATGCTAATCTATGCCTTGGTGGATGGCTTGTCTAATCAATTTATCCTTAAGTCAAAATAACAGGAAGAATGCATGGGAAAGTCTACTAAACTAAATATCCTACTGAATGACATCCACACTGGATGATACTAGAGAAAAACTAACATCCCACACCTAAGAGGGATGCAGGCACTAGGATAAAGACACAAGAATGCCATTTGAGTTGCAAATCACAAAACAAATATAAACAGCAGCACTCTTACCAATTTACATCAAAAAATAGAAAAAGTGAATGCAAATGACAGAATTCTTCTACCAAACGCCAAACTGTGAATTGATTAGGTGCAAAGTGTCAAGGCTGACAGCCGTTTGTCCCTCACTGGAGGAAAGGCACTATCAAAAGTGTGAATTTATTTGCAGAATACATGGTCAAATAACACGTCTTGTTGATTTTCTAAGTGAAAATAAGTTGGCGCATCTATAGAGAACACTTCTGCACATTTTCATGCTCAATTACTGTTTATTTGCATGAATTTAACACACTGGAAAAACTAAAACATAAAATGTGCCTGTGCAAAAATTGTGAAAAATGTGAAATGTGAAGAAATGGCACATTTAATGTTGTGTTTTAGTTTTTCCAATATGTTAAACCACAAAAACAGAAACTATGCACTTAAAAAGTCGCAGAAGAATGCCATATTTCAGTTCCCTGTAGCATGAGTGCGTTTACTTAGTTTCACTTCAACAAAACATGTAATCTGGCCAGAGGTGGTCAAACTTATGCATGTAACAGTGTAAATAATAAAGCAGTGTTAATTATTAGACATTTTTCAGAACTTTCAAAACAAGGCTCAATGGTTCAGAACCACAGCACCACCTGCTGGACATACACTCAAGTGGGTAGCTTTAAAATGTCCATTTTGAAGGAAAGGTTTCTCCAAAGTTTTAAACAGAGATAATACTGCGTCGCTGAACAGGTTGGGGAAAGGATTTCTTCAAGTGTCCCATGGTGTGCATTGTTGTTGGTAACAGAGTGGACAGTGTGGACTGCAGGACAGGACAGGAAGCCTAACACCGTGGTCCTAAGCCTTTCCTCCCCAGATAGCGCAGCACGGCAAAGTTATAAGTAGTGGAGACCACATAGGTGAGCTATAAAGACAAAGAGAGAAAAGAGGAAACACAACCCAAGAGTGAAGACAGTCAGCTTCATCATTAACAGCACCAAAAACAAACGTTTGGACTTTGATAAACACTGATCAGGCATAAGGTTATGACCACCTCCTTGTTTCTACACTCATTGACCCCCATGGACCCTCACAGAGCAGGCACTATTTGGGTGGTGGATCATTCTCAGCACTGCAGTAACACTGACGTGGTGGTGGTGTGTTAGTGTGTGTTGTGCTGGTCTGAGTGGATCAGACACAGCAGTGCCGCTGGAGTTTTTAAACACCTCAGGGTCACTGCTGGACTGAGAATAGTCCACCAACCAAAAATATCCAGCCAACAGCGTCCTGTGGGCAGCACCCTGTGACCACTGATGAAGGACTAGAGGATGGCCAACACAAACTGTGCAGCAGCAGATGAGCTATCGTCTCTGACTTTACATCTACAAGGTGGACTGACAAGGCAGGAGTGTCTAATAGAGTGGACAGTGAGTGGGCACAGTGTTTAAAACCTCCAGCAGCACTGCTGTGTCTGATCCATTTGTACCAGCGCAACACATACTAACACACCACCACCACGTCAGTGTTACTGCAGTGCTGAGAATGATCTACCATAATGTTAATGGTCATAATGTTATGCGTGATCGGTGTACGTACGTACGTACACACACACACACACACACACACACACACACACACACACACACACACGTGTAAAAATAATAAAAAATGATAATTATCTGCCTGTTTTAAGTAGTCATACACAGCAAGATGTCATAATAATAATAATAATAATAATAATAATAATAGCATAATTAGTTAAAAATATCACTGCTGTCAGGATAAAACCTTTTTTATTTTTTGACCTAGTTTAAGAAAGGCAGTCGCCCTTTATGTTGTATCAAAATTTCATGATGAATGGACCATCAGAAATTGTCAAAAATGTCTTGGAAAAATATATTTCTCCATTTACTTCCATTCAAAGTTAAGAACTTTTTTCCTTCTCCTGTAAAGTTACCTTTTTGGAGATATGAGGTTCTGTTCTAACAGCAGTGACATACATACATACATACATACATACATCCATCCATACATCCATCATCTAAACCGCTTATCCTTCTGGGTCGCGGTGGGGTGCTGGAGCCTATCCCAGCTGTCATTCGGCGGAAGGCAGTGATATAGTACTTTTACATAATATATTTGTTTAATGACTTGGATCACAACAACCACACTATATTTTGCAAAAACTGAAAAGAAAAACCCTTTTGTGGTTGATACCAACGAGAAACGCTGAGAGAAAAGTCACATGCAGACACTATGTGGTCATGCCGTTCTCAACTGAGCTGGAAACCACCACAAAACATTTGGAGAAAATGCACAAAAAGCTGTTTTCACAACTATTGGGTTCATTCTGAGTCCGGACAAACACGACTCATAACTGATGGAGGGTTTGAATTCTTTCACACCTACAGCTGCTGTGTGGCGTCACTGGGACACATGACTGATTGTGTACAGCATTTTGGCTACGTTTTTGGGCCTCGTACTCACCAGGGCCAATAATGTGATCCCAGCTCCAGCGAAGGCGGCGATGTAGAGATCATAGGTCAGGAAAAACTGCGAAGAAAGACAGAATCCACAAAGTCAGAGCTGTGACGCCCCCAGGCACAGCATTAACGTTTGATGTCAGTTCCATCTCTGGCGAGCCTTTGAGGCTGGCTCTCCGAGGAATCGCAGCGAGACGTGGAATCACACTTCGCCCGGAGGCACGACTTACCTCCCTTGTTTTGCACACGTTGGACAGGGTCATCCCACAAGCTTTCCCCGGCACCGCGTTCCATGGAAGCAAACCTGAAGGAAGCGAGACGTCTTTGAGCTTTTTTTTTTTAAATCACTCGCTGTCACGAGAATAACAACGGAAAAATGACACAGCGTCCCAAACTAACATCAGTACGGTTTCAGTGCTTCAGGAGCTTTTAGTAAAAGGCTTCAGTGCATCTGAAGAAAAGCAAGTAAGCAAACCTAGTGGGTTTTTAGTTTGTTTGTTTTTTTTGTTTGAATTGAAGGGCTCATTTCATCAAAAACAGAACTTGCCTTTTACTTCGTCTAATTAAGAGTTTGTATAGTATGTAAAATGTAGCATGTAACAAGTGCTAAAGTTTGGAATCAGCATTCTCCCCAGCACATCCAGTCCATACCCTGATAGCAAGAGGATGGTGGACCACTGTTGGCCCGCTAATGGCAAAGCTGGCGGTCCACTGGCGTTTTGCTCAGCGTTTTCCAGGCGGCCCACCGGTGGTTAAGCAGAGTAACAGACAAAATTCCACTTGTCAATGCTCGTTTTCCATTTAAGGTCTAGTTTATTGATTTCCCTTCCTTTCTTTCTTTAGGTATACTTTGTAAATTAGTGTAGTAAATAATTTTAACCCAGCTCAGTGTCAGCAACAACATTTTCTATAAAATCATTTTTCAATCAGGCCTAGTCATTATTTTTTTCTCTCAGTGGTTTTTAATATTTGTCTAGGCTTATTTTCCAAAATTAAAGGCTCTCTGCATTTCAAGTCTGTTTGAGGAGATTAAAAAATACTTAGAGCTTGTATGCAGGACAGTAATCTGGGTGGTCTGAGCGTTGACCAGCAGTGGCACACGGTCAGTGGGGTGCCGACCTTATTAAGCTAGTGGACTGATATATGCTCACTATCTGGGTATATGGAAACTAAGCTCATTGAAGTTATAAGGAGTGTTTCAGACCAGGGTGCTTTTTCAATGACACACAACACAGAGCAATCAGAGCAGAGGTGATTTACATGTAACGGTCTTAAAAGCACAGTAACAAAAAAAGTCAGTTTGATTCCAAAGGATAAAGAAACATTTGTAAAAGGGTCACGTAACGATGAATTACAACTAATATGGCTAAATTCACATTACAAGCCTCATTGCTCAAATCCGATCTCTCTGACCCAATGGTTCACACTCGTTTAGGTAAGTGACTCAAATCTGTCATTATTGTGACGAACCGGCGTCCTGAAATGACCCTCATGAGCTCATCCTACTCAGTAACGTCACGTGAATGAATCACGTTCATCATCAGCACAAACTAACGAGCAGAACGAGCTTCGCTGAGAAGATAATTAACTCTGATCAGCTCTCAGCTTCATTATTAGAGCGAGACGGAGGAGAAAAAGGTGAGATGAGCTGCTTTTCCACCGTTTACAGGCTTTAACTTCTGTTTGGCGCTGTTGCCATGGTAACGCTGAATGATGGCGCACGCGCAGTGGAGAAAAAGCTCATGAATTCCGATCTGAGCGTCACATTAAGGTCACATGGCCACGAATCGGATACGTATCCTATCTAGGACCACATATGAAAGTGACTCAGGTCAGATTTGAAAAGATCAGATTTGTGTCCACACAGCCCTGAAAACATCAGATCTAAGTCACAAATTGGATGTGTGTCACTTTACCCTGGTAATGTAAACGTTGCTTATGTTTATGGTAAATAAAACCAAAAAAAAACATTATAAGCAGATCTCAAGGAAAGAAATAAACTAGAAAAATGTAGGATATGGACCCTTTATGGCTGATTTATACTTAAGCAAAGATGCCCTTAAACACTCTGCGTCACTGCATCTTGATGGGATTCATAGCTTGCAGAGGCCATGACATGCACACAGCCAAGAGGCATTCGTTTATTAAAAAGCAATGGAAAGACTCAAAGCAATACTCCAAACCAGAACTAGCGCAAACTCAAAACCGGTTGGGAGAAGAAGTGAAATGTTTCTATGATCCGTTTCTACAAGTGAAAGAGAGGGGAAAAACATGATACTTTCCTCTTTGTTTTCTGCACATTCTGGTCTGCCCCCTAGTGCACACGTTCACATTTCATGCAAGAATAAGTCTCAAAAGGCAGCCTAAGCCTCCTTAAAGTCAGCACTTTGTTGACGTCAACAGTGTGTGGATGTAGAAGGCAAGAGACCTTGAGAGCGCTGGACATGCATTTCGGACAGACTCATGCATGGCACAAACAATACATGTACTGGAGGCAGTCGTGGGCTGGAGGTCGCCAGTTCGATCCCCTGAGCTGACAGTACGTGACTGAAGTGCCCTTGAGCAAGACACCTAACCCCCAACTGCTCCCCGGGTGCCATGGATAGGGCTGCCCACAAGTGAGCAAGTGTGCTCACTGCCTCTTAGTGTGTGTGTGTGTGTGTGGTGTTTCACTGCACAGCTGGGTCGAAATGCAGAGGTGAACTCTCCCCGTTGTGGGACTTATAAGGGTCACTTAACTTAACTTACGGTACCCAGCATTTTTAAAAATGACCTAATTTGGCTAATCTACAGTGACTCAATATAGATTACAAGCATAAAGCAAATCAATGATAAATTAATAAACAAATGCCTTTTACCTCAGATCACTTCTCCACCATGGTAGTCAGGTAGTATAACCTAAGCACTCCTCTCTGTTTGCAGCCTGTATCTCTGGGAGGTTGATGCTGAGCCCATATAGATGCATTCCTCGACAAAAGCAACACTAAGGGCACCTAGAGGGCACTCGTGCCCCTTTAAACATCAAAATGAGAAACCTACAGCCTTGCAGGCATGTGCAAGCTAGGACCGCAGAACCGCAAGTGTGCCCAATAGGACAGGGCTTGTGTTAGCAGACACGTTTCTTAGTATATAGTCTATAAATATAATTCAGCCTTTACAAACTGTAAACATGCTAACATTAAACTAATTAACTCTTTTCCATTTATGCAAATGGTTATTGTCTGTTTTACAACATAATGCAAATGTTTCAATATTGTTCCATCACTAATTGCATTTATGCGGAGGTAATAAAGTCAGTGTATGCTGGCCCTGCTTTGATTGAAAGGAAATCTGGAGTTAAAAGTAGTAATAAATCCTCAAATAATCAGAATCTGGCTTACAGATCAAGACCACTCTCCCTCACTCACAGCCCATTTCCTAGTAATTGCCTCATTTCCTGCTTATTACAGCAGCACAAAAAAAGACATAACCTTGGAATTTTAATTAGTGTTACACGGGGCCAAATCAAATTCCATCGCAGACAGGAGGCAAAACAGGTGCGATAAAGATATTAAAAGATTCAAGTGTGAGTTCATTACCATACTGTCTGGCATCCACGCACAGCTGGTTGATGCTGGAGGGCGTCTCTGAGAGGACGTCGATGGTGCGGCAGGTGGTGGCCATGTTGTAAAAGAAGTAGACGGGAAGAGCCGAGAGGGCAAAGACCAGCAGCCACACGACGGCCAGGAAATATGTGATCACGATGAACTGTGAATGAAAGGTGACATGGGAGTAATGCTGACGCCACACATGGTGAACAGATTGGGTGAACAACCATAAGGAGGAAGATTCTTATCAAAAAAGACTCAAGTTTTTGGGCATCACTGGACAAAAAGCTTCACTGGGAAAAAAAAAAAAAAAAAAAAAAGGGAAATTTGTTCCTAAAAATGGAAAAGAAAGAGTTCTATACTCACCGTGGTGCTGAGGCAGCGGCCGCACACGGTGCTCCTGAACTCCCCAAACGTCTGCCTGGCCGCACTGGTGGTATAAAAGCCCTCAGCTAGCAGTGCAATGCAGTAGAGGAAGAAGAAGGTGGCCAGGCCGTAGATAATGTACTGGAAATACTCGATACTGAGAGAGAGAGAGAGAGAGAGAGAGAGAGAGAGAGAGAGAGAGAGAGAGAGAGAGAGAGAGATATTCATAAAACACTGCTGTCAAATTAAATGGTTTTATTTTTTCTTTACATTAGTTGAAAATACCAGCTGCCTTTTACATTTAGTGCGTTTACATGCACTTAATAATCCAATTTTGTCAGTAATCTAATCAACGTGTTTACATGCACTTGAGGAATCAGATAATGGGGAAACTCCTGGTCTACATGAGTTCATCAGATTTCTGCTGTACAACCAGCCAATAAACTCACAGAAGAAGACGTGAATTAAACGTAACATAAAACATAAAACAGCTTTCTTTGGAACATCGCGCCACTTTATCTGAAAATATGAACATGCATCTTCTAGAGGATGAGAAATATTTAAATCCTTCATTTCGTCGAGAATGTATTTGATTTCAGTGTCACTGCAAAAGTGTTTTGTTGCGTCTCGTGTTGACGCTGCTCGCTTATTTCCGGTACTACCTTCTGTTTTCGCACATGTGCAGACTGAGAAATCTGAAAGAAATCAGAGTACGATTACACATGCACTGGGAAATCTGATTACTCAGCTAAAATCCAACTGTCTTTATCAGATTTCTTAATCGAATTTCTTGATCAGAGTATGGTGTTTACGTGACTGAATAATCAGATTTCTGCAGTTATCCCATTATGATCGGATTATTGAGTGCATGTAAACACAATCAATGTGTTAGCATTCAATTTCATGACGAATAGACAAAAATGACTTTACATTAGTTTACATTCAAAGTTAATGGGACACCAATAAAATTTTAACCATGGCTACATTCACTGTGAACATACTTACTCAAATCCTACAGTTGTGCTACAGCCGTCTCTCGAGTGAGATTTCCAGTTTAAAGACTCGCAAAACCTCTTTCTAATGATGCATCTTGAAGGTGGAAGGAACTTTTGAAAACTACTGCTTCGTGGTGGATTTTTGGGGGCGAAGTTTTTGAAATGTTCTTTTTTTTGCTTTCCAGTGAAGACAGAGGGAAGGAAGTCTGAAAATCTGTCTTCAAATGATTACAATGGAAATTAACTCAAATGATAGAGATGACTCGTCAGATGAGTCACAACAAGCTAAAAGCTAGAGTTAACAAGGAACCTGGCTCTCCAGATACTTTGCCTTTCTTTGGCTGAACCGGTAAAACTTGTTTCTTTTTGTTCTGTCCATTTTGTACCAAATGAAGATTTTAGATTAGGATGAATCACTGTTTTCTTTACGATTTTGTTCAACGACCGAGGTGGATGGATGCATGGATGGATGCTTTATTGATCCCGAAGGACGTTTAGCAGCCAGTACTCACACAACACAGGGCAGTTATAATAATAAGGGTGATACAATATAAAGAACAATATATACAAAAAACATATCTACAGGCATATATACAACTAGAAATATACAAAAATATGCAATAAGATCTATCCTGAGATAAAAAAGGCAGTGCAATAAAAAAAAGGTAGGAGTTCAGTAAAGCTAGTCTGGTTGCATTTGTTGGCCTATAGATCAGTGATTGGTGGCTGGGCTACTAGTCAGGACTGGTTGACACTACAGGGATTCCCAATATTATTTATTTGCATGATGCATGCTGGGTATTGTAGTGAGAGAGAACTGATGAACAAAACATTCATGAATTATGTCGAACAATTGTGGCTGAGGGATACAGAGGGAATACTGTATAATACCACAAATAACATGAAACATATATGTAGTGTCTCAAAAGTGCTGATAGCTGATCAGTTTCATATGACTGGGCAGTCACATCTACACAAACATAACGCTACACTTCCAGACTTGATGCAAAGGGGTTAGAAGAGTATTTTATACCCTTTAGGCAAAGTACTGAAGGGATACCTCTAAATATAGACACTTACAGGTAGGCTAGGGTAATGTAGTCTTGCAGGTTGCGGGCAAAGTAGTTTTCGATTAGCCTTTCGGTCTCAGTGAGCGCCTGGTGTCCACAGCCGCAGAACAGCGCGATGCCCGAAAAGCAGAGCAGAGTGGCCACTAGGGAGATGTAGGGCACCCCTCCTAGACACCGCATGCAGCACTCGTAGCAACCTGCAAGCCACAAAAGCTTCATCTTCATCATCATCATCATTTTCTAGAACTTTGCTTGTCTGGTCATCTTCCTAACACTTACCTTCCTGCATCATCCTTCCCTCTCTTATTTCTATGTAGGGTGAACTAGCACATCTATTAAGAGAACCTGAAATCAAACTGAACCATTTTTTTTACACACTTTAAAAAAAAAATGGTTCTTCAAGGGTTCTTTAGTAAAGAAAATGCTTACAAGCTTGACATCATAGCCATAGTAGAACCCTTTTGGTGTTATATGGAACCCTTTTCAAAAAGGTGCTATTTGGATCCATCTGCAGCCCATTCTCCATCAATCTGATAAACGCTTTCATGATGCAAAGAACCCTTTAATCATGCAAATGGTTCCATGACTTGTAATGGTTCTAAATAGAGCCATTTACTTTACTAAAGAACCATCTTTTTTTAAGAGTGTAGTTCATGTTCCTTGTCATACTAAGCATGAATTTAAATCAACTAAAAAAAGTTTGTTTTCTATGGAGCCCCGCTGGTGACATCCTGTATAAACAAAAATAATGCATGGCCACGACTTAGTAAGGCGTGGGAATGAGATGATCAAGTCGTGGCCACGACTTAGTAACGCGTGGGGACGAGATTCTAATGCATGGCCACAACTTGGTAAGCCATGATCTCGTTCCCACGCCTTACTAAGTTGCATTATTTTTATTTATATAGGATGTCACCAGCGGGGCTCCGTAGTTTTCCTATAATCTTTCATCAAATGTAAATTCTAAACATCTTTTGAGTTTTTATTACATCATCATGCACAAGCAGGTGTAGAAAAATAACATTAACCAATAATTTAATGTTATGTCCCCTCCTACCACCCCCACCGATCATCCAGTGAAAACACTTAGCCTGAAGCAGTGTTTCACTCAGAAATACATCTTGATATGGCAGGAAAATAGCTGAAGGATTTAGCTGCAAAACATTTTATAGACAATCATTTTTTATTATACACATTGTTGGGAGTGTGCTTCACATAGATATCAGTGCTATATTATTATTGATGCCACCTTTATTAGAGAAATAAAATGTTTCCATTATAGTTCACCTGTTGCTTTCAAATACTTGTTACATCAATAAAATCACAAATGGACATACAGCATTTTGGAATGAAACAGCAGGTTAGATCAAACATACTAATGTAGCTTATGGGGAGCTGAAGCTAGTAGCCACCAACTAACATGATTTTACTGGCATAATAGAATTTGGCACGTATTTCATTCATTTGACTAAACTAAACTGTTCTAAACTTTAAAGACTAACTTTAAGAGTCATTCTTAACATCCCAGTACTAAAAGCTGAGTAGAAAACCTGCCTCACAGTAAAGTTCACAGGTTCCATTTTCTTAAAGATTTGTTTCACCCACATTTACTATTTTCCGGACATATATAAACCACAAATTGCCGCTTAACATGAGTATAATAAGCGGCGAAGGATAAAATCATATACTTAGTTTGATCCCATATAATTCAAGCATCTCAAAATAATAGGAATAGGAACACAACCTTTTGATCTAAAACAACTACATTCTACATAACAGGAAGGGTAAAATTATTCTAGATTACCCTCGATTACAGTGAATGTCTGGTTATGATCATAAACAGTGCCTAGATTCATCTCCATTCTGTCTTTTCTCGTAAACTGTAACATTAATTGAACATAAGTCATTGAAATTGCAGTGCAAAAGGGTTTTCTGTGAACAGCTGTGCCAAAAATATTACATCCCTTAGAGATCATCATAGAGGGATATTTCCTTAGTTCAGGTCCCGCTTTCTTCTTTGTCTTCCCGAGACCCTCAACCCCTAAAACAGAGTTACATGAACGACTTGTGATCTAGTACAGAGTTCTATTCATAATTAAAGGCCTCAATGACTACATCTCGATGCATGTAAACACGTGCCAAGGTCAAAACACTGAGGCATTCCATCACGCAACACAACACAACGCTGGTTTGAGCAGCCAGCTGGGGCCATAAAACTGCAGAGAGGAAACAGGCGAGTGGGCACTTCTCCAGCGTGGTGTGTGGAAGATGGAGCAGGCCGGGGTGCGAGAGTGTGAGAGTGTGAGAAAAGAGGGAGGACCAAGGCGCTGAGGGAGAGTGTCTCCTTTTGTGGCTTCGCTGACAATGGCCTTTGTCTCCGAGCAGCTCAGGGACACAAGGGCAAGCAATGTCAAACAAACAAAAGGCCACAGCCACCTCGGCCACAAACAGATCCACTTTTGAAAGCCGATATTGGGCTCGTGGGGGGTTGGGGGTGGCTTGTGACTGCAGGAGAGATGGAAGACTTGATGGGGATGGTGGGGGGAAGCAGTGGTGGATGCCAGCCTTCCCAGGATGCGGGACCAATGGCACCGGAGATGCTCCACTTGACACGGGAATTGGGCTTGATATCCACCCCAGGAGAGGCCATTTGTTTCAATAGGAGTTAAATTTCACACAATGTTGAATTTCCCTCATTCCCACAGCTGTACAGAGCTCATACATGACCCTCCACACAGACAAACACGTGCATTCTTCCAAACTCTTAGAAAAGAAGTTCTTCATGGGTTCTTCAGTGAAGGGAATGGACCTATTTAGAACCATTAGTTCTATATACATTCACTTGAAAAAATGTTATCTAGTAAAGAAAATGGTTCTATATATAACCATGAACACTGAAAGACCCCTTTGCATGATTAAAGGGTTCTTTGCATCATAAAAGGTCCTTGAGATTGATTGAGAATGTCCTATGTAGTCTTATATAGGAGAATGTCTTAAGGGTTCTGTATAGCACCAAAAAAGGGTTCCATTATAGTTACGATGTCAAAGAAGAACGCTCAGCACCTTATAAAACACATTCTGAATCAATCTGAAGAACCCTTTCACCATGAAAAGAGCCCTTTAATCATGCACTGTTCATGGTCCTATATAGAACCATTTTCTTTACTGAAGAACCCTTGAAGAACCATCTTTTTTTTTTACTGTGTAGACCACTTAATGCTTAAATGGTTCTTGAGATTGACTGAATGTGTTGTATATGGTTCTATATAGGACCTTTTTGAAAATGGTTCTATGTAGCACAAAAAAAGGTTGTTCTATTGTTACGATGTCAAGCTTGTAACCATAGAAGAACCTTTTTTGGTGCTATGTAGAACCCTCTTCAAAAAGGTTCTATGTAGCAACATATAAAAACACATTCTGAATCAATCTGAAGAACCCTTTAACCATGCAAAGAACCTTTTAATCATGCATTCTTTGACTGTTCATGGTCCTATATAGAACCATTTTCTTTGCTGAAGAACCCTTGAAGAGACATCTTTTTTAAGTGTGTAGACCACTTAATGCTTAAATGGTTCTTCAGATTGATTCAGAATGTGTTTTATATGGTTCTATATAGGACCTTTTTGAAAATGGTTCTATGTAGCACAAAAAAGGTTGTTCTATTGTTACGATGTCGAGCTTGAAACCATAGAAGAACCTTTTTTGGTGCTATGTAGAACCATTTTCAAAAAGGTTCTATATAGCACCATATAAAACACATTCTGAATCAATCTGAAGAACGCTTTCACCATGAAAAGAGCCCTTTAATCATGCACTGTTCAAGGTCCTATATAGAACCCTTTTCTTTACTGAAGAACCCTTGAAGAACCATCTTTTTTTTTTACTGTGTAGACCACTTAATGCTTAAATGGTTCTTGAGATTGACTGAATGTGTTGTATATGGTTCTATACAGGACCTTTTTGAAAATGGTTCTATGTAGCACAAAAAAGGTTCTATTGTTATGATGTCAAGCTTGTAACCATAGAAGAACCCTTTTTGGTGCTATACAGAACAATTTTGAAAGTTCTTCTACATAGAATCATATACAACACATTGCCCATCAATCTGAAGAACCATTTCACCATCCAAAGAACCATTTAAATATGAAAAGGTTCTAAATAGAACCATTAAATTTACTAAAGAGCCCTTGAAGAGGGTACAGGAGTCTACAGGCTCTCCTACATCTTACATTTATTCAGTGAAATCAACTGTGGGCTATTCGAGGACTGAGGATGGGAAACAAATCGAAGTTGGTGTGGGCAGCATTCATACTGAGTGGGAAGATGCGCACTTTAAAACCACCAGCAACTAAAATATCACAGTAAAACCACTAAATAAAAGTGGAGCGACCTCTAGGCCCTTTTAGCTGATGTGCTAGGCTGCAAACTGAGTTTAAAGGACCATAGAAACTTACTGAAAGGCCTTCTAGGCCAGTGCTAACACAGCATCAGTACAAGAGGCTAAACCTCTCAACAAAACTTGTACTCAGAACCTACACGGACGGTCAAAAGTTAACCAGGCCACAGTGTATGAAAGTGACCGTCAGAGAACGCTGTCCACATGGAAACCTGACTTCAAATGAAGCTCTTCTCAACTCAGCGAACTCTTTGGCCCAAACTAATAATCAAACGTGATTTACTCACCCATCACTGCAAGGAAGCGGTCTTGGTTCAAACTGGCCTGTAACTCAGCGCAAACGTGCCCAAATCCACTGAGGCTGGATCCTTTATCAGCCTCAGTCGGTGCTCAGCAGGACTGGCGTTATTTTTGTTTTCCACCCGTTTTCTGACAAAGCCCGCCTGCTGCGCTGGGATTGGTTAGAAGTCTCCCACAGGCTGCCCAGCTGTATCCTACACACACACACACACACACACACACACACACACACACACTCAAAGCTTCAGCACTTAAGATGTTTGTGTGACTCTGTAGAACTGCGGTGCTTCAGACGAGCATGTGACGTAGTCACCATTGACTGGTATGGCTGATCACCAGTAATACCAGCCTATGCTGTGATTTGGATGCTGGTCTGCTGGTCAGCAGCAATTGAAGCTAATATGCTGTAGTCACCAGCAAATTTCCATATGTTGAAATCTGGTTAGGGATGAATCAGAGCCCTAGCAACCACCTGGGATAGCTGTGGATTCTCAGCTCCCTTCAGCCAGGCGACTTCCTGCACTGTGGTGTCCTTGACTTGGGGGGTATTCCACAAAGCAGGATTTCTCAGTTTAACTAGATAACATAAGCCCAAAGTCAAGCATGTCCAATAGGAAAAGAGCTGAGGGACACTCCCACTGGACAGTCCTCATCTTTATGAATCAGAGCCCTAGCAACCACCTGGGATAGCTGTGGATTCTCAACTCCCTTCAGCCAGGTGATTGCCTGCTTTGTGGTGTCCTCGACTTGGAGGGTATTCCACAAAGCAGGATTTCTCAGTTCAGCCCAAGGTCAAGCCTGTCCAACAGGAAAAGAGCTGAGGGACATTCCCACTGGACAGTCCTCATCTTTGGGCCTAAGTCATCTGGCTAACTGAGAAATCCTGCTTTGTGGAATTCCCCCTTGGTCGACTTGGAAAAGATAGAGAAGGCTAATGCAGGAAATCAAGGATTGTGCCGGTGGTCCCAGAGCCAGGGCCTCAGAGGAACATTTGCAACAAAAAAAAAAACTGATTATGATGCAGCACCAACTTTTTTGGTAATATGGTAAATGTGGACTATTTTTCACTTTTATTCCAACGACTGATTCGTTTTTGTTTTGTTTTTTGTTGGTACGTTTTCTACACCCACCTGTGAGCGACAGACGGCCTGCTTTTGTATATAAACTACCAGCCAATCGCAGTGCAGGGGGCGGAGTCTGTGCGAATACGGGCGGAGAACGAAATAACGCGTCTGGCTCCCAAACAATGAACAGACCCTGATGATGGCAGCTGAATGGCGCTTTTCAATGAACTGCAGTGGCCGCACTGCACTGGGCCGGGTGCAGCACGGAGAAGAATGAGTAGGTCAAGGTTCCCTGCCTTCAGAGACTCAGGCTGCTTAAAGCGTTGGGGAGAAGTGACATTCATTTGCATGGCATTAACTAACAAAGAGGGCAATATCCTTTTGACTTAGGAGAGCAGAAATGAACATTTCGACACTTCACTGAATACCGTACAGGCCTGCAACATGTGTGGTTTTGAAAATATGTAGGCAATATTAACTTTATTCGTCTTTCTTTGTGGTTCACTGATGTGGAAAATAGCTTTTGGTCTGTATCTAATTCCACAGTGCAGGAGTGTTTCTAAACCTCTGGTCCTGTAGAGCCCATGCCCTAAACATTTTAGTGCTCTTCCTGCTCCAACACACTTCACTTGGTTACAGTGGGTGTGTTGGAGAGGCTGACCGCTATGAAGGACCAGGTCTGCCAAAGTGGAAAATAAAAAATAAATAAATAAATGACTCAGTAAATTAAACAATAAATAAAAATAACTAAATAACGTCTATATTGCATATTTTGATTGTAATTATATACAGATTTACTTTTTCTGCAGTTATAAATTTCTCAATTTCTTTCTTTTTTTATTAATGCCTATGTTCATTTTTACATTTTTGTCTGTATCGCTTTGTTTGCTTTACTTATTGATTCATTTTGTCATTTGTTTATTTATTTTTTCATTAATTCATTTATTTATTTCTGTATTTCTTTGTTCATATGATAATGAGGGGGCATGTTTTTCACGTTCAGGCTTAGCAGTCAAGCCCAGGAGGAGAAGAGTTGATTAAACTGTTCTTTCACCAACTCCACAAAGAGCTGCAGTGTCACAGACAGACAAACTTAAGCAATAGAACCCGAGAGGGAGTGTGTTATCGCGAAATAACATCACGGCTGTGATTTGGTTGCCGTAGATCATCACAGCCGTGGTGTTATTGGCGATAACACACTCCTCGAGTGTTGTATTGCTTTTATACAACAGTTATATATTTATATATTAAATAAATAAAGTAATAAATTAATAAACTGGGCCGTGAACGCGGCGTTTAATATGTTTTAATGTTCGCAGTTCCTTCACCAAATTATAGTTCCTTAACAAGCAGCTCGTTGTTATGTCAGAGTAACGAGCTCCGCCCACTCGCTGCACAGTCTGCTGTAAGCCTCACCTTTTGAAGTACAGACTGAGCCATAAAACTGCTGCAATATCAAGTTCAGCTCAGTTTTGTCAGTTTTTGCCAGATCAGTATTAATGTTGTTTTGTTCCAGCCAGTCTGTAAAGCATCTTACAGCCCATTTAGTTTGGCGAATGGTGTTGGGTTCATTTCTGGCTGATTCCAGGTTGTTTAGCTGTTCTTCTGTCACAGCTGCCGACTGAAAAGCTGCTCAGTGGTGATGACAGTTTGGGAATTTAGTGTTGTCTCATCTTCAGAGTCTGACCAAATCGGCTGTCGGTCCATTTTCTGTTTGTGCACAAAGTAGAAATGTTCAGACGGCTTGAGCGTCTCCTGCAGCTGTCAAAGTCGTTCCTTAGTAACGGTGTCTCAGCAGAGTGATACAGTGTTTGTGAAAAACCCGTGATGTTATGGTGAAATACAGCACGGTTAGAACGCTTCTCAACCAATCAGCTTGCGTGGCCGGAACTAACTCTCAATGGCTTCCACAGGCCGTGTGTGAGACGGGTGTCCGAATGTCTGTGTGATCTGAATTTTGCTGAAAAAGACGATGAACCGCCTCCTCCAAAGCTCTGAACACTACAGGGTCGACCTCTGAATCAGCAGATCAGCTAAATAGACCAAACTGTCCCCACAGCCTCCAGCGAAGAGTCAATAATCCGTGCCTGATTTTCAGCCAGATCAGCCGAGACTCTCAGATCTCTGACTGTCTGCTGTCTGTAAGCAGCCGTTACTGTACTGTCTGGTCCTTAGTTACCACTGATAGAGCAAAACATGAACAATCGATCTACAGAATCTGATATTGGTCAACCAATAGGAATATTAAGACACTGTGACATCATTAATTGACAGCCCCTTTATTATCATAAGGACAAGGAAATACAAAAATAAATAAATAGGGAAATAAATAAATATAGAAATGAATAGTTATGGAAATAAATGAACAAAAAAAATGTAATAAAGAAACATAGATATCAAAATAAATAAGTAAAAAATTTAGTGAGGGGGAAATTACTAAATACACACGTAAGTAAATACAGACATTAATTTATGTATGTAATGTTTTATTCATTAATATATTAATTTCTATGTATATTTATTTATTTTTAGATTCATTATCATTATTCTTTGCAATTCTAATTCATATGTTAATTTACTGAGTCATTTATTTTTTAATTTGATTTAATTTTCATTTGGGCAGATCTGGTCCTTCATAGACCACTACATTTCTAAACTTTACAGGGAATTCCAGCATCTGGACTAAGATCCACTAAAGACCTTTGAAAAGGAAAATGTGATGGGGGCAATACTAAAAATGCGGAGTGGATGCACACAGTCCTACATCCTATACTTGAGTGGCCATCAGACTAAGCATATGCTGATCGCTTCCTTTGTAACTCAGTCTCAGTGACATTCAATCAGGCAGTTGGCTCAAGGGTAACCTCTAGTGTCCTCTCGCAACTCCACACATAACTGTTTAAGTGACTTTTGCTATGTTGAAATGTGGGTCATTCTACTATTTATGTAGTAGTTTTTTGTTTGGTCAAAATGTCCAAAAAATAATTACAGCATATATTTATTTATAAATATATACTTTAAACACTGTGCCAACTCACTGTCCACTCTTTTAGATACACCTAGCTTGTTGGTCCACCTTATACATGTAGTGATGAAAGCTCACCTGTTACTGCACAGTTTGTGTTGGTCATCCTCATCAGTGGTCACAGGACGCTGCCCACAGGATGCTGTTGGCTGGATATTTTTGGTTGGTGGACTATTCTCAGTCCAGCAGTGACACTGAGGGGTTTAAAAACTTTAGCAGCACTGCTGTGTCTGATCCACTCAGACCAGCACAACACACACTACACACCACGTCAGTGTTACTGCAGTGCTGAGAATGATCCACCACCCAAAAAATACCTGCTCTGTGAGGGTCCATGGGGGTCCTGACCACTGAAGAACAGGGTAAAAGGGGGCTTACAAAGTATGCAGAGAAACAGATGGACTACAGTCTGTAACTGTAGAACTACAAAGTGCTCCTATGTTGTAAGTGGAGCTGATAAAATAAACAGTAAGTAGGTGTACTTAAAGGGGAACTCCATCCATTTTTCAAAGGTTCCACATAATTTAATGGTTGAGATGTACACAAAGTCCTTCACAGTGGTTTGGTGTTAAATACTTCATTGTAGAGAGTCAGAATAGTTTACACTGGTGATGATAGGAAACAGGCGTCTGAGGAGTTTAACACCTCTATAAACTCCCTTACAGAAAATTATTGCACAAAATCTGTATATATATATATTTCACTGTATATATATATATATATATATATATATACACTGAACACCTGACGTAAAAATATCATATTTTGAGGGCTTCAGTGTTGTGAGACAGCATTGGTAGAATAACTTGAGTGCACACTGTGTATTTGGGCATATTTAAAAGGACACCAAACTAAGCAAAGGGCAAGAATCTGAGGTTGAAATAATAATAAATTGCATCTTTTTTTTTTTGGTAAACACTGAAAATGGGTCCCACAGACTCAACACCACACAAGGGTTAAAAGTAGCTTAACACACACAAAAACACTGATTTAC